GAGATTGGGATACTAGAGCTGAGAAAGCGGTGAGATTGGGATACTAGAGCTGAGAAAGCGGTGAGATTGGGATACTAGAGCTGAGAAAGCGGTGAGAATGGGATACTAGAGCTGAGAAAGCGGTGAGAATGGGATACTAGAGCTGAGAAGGGGGTGAGAATGGGATGCTAGAGCTGGGAAGGGGGTGAGAATGGGATGCTAGAGCTGAGAAAGTGGTGAGAATGGGATACTAGAGCTGAGAAGGGGTCGAGAATGGGATGCTAGAGCTGGGAAGGGGGTGAGAATGGGATGCTAGAGCTGGGAAGGGGGTGAGAATGGGATGCTAGAGCTGAGAAGGTAATGAGAATGGGATGCTAGAGCTGGGAAAGGGGTGAGAATGGGATGCTAGAGCTGGGAAAGGGGTGAGAATGGGATACTAGAGCTGAGAAGGGGTTGAGAATGGGATGCTAGAGTTGAGAAGGGGGTGAGAATGGGATGCTAGAGCTGGGAAGGGGGTCAGAATGGGATGCTAGAGCTGAGAAGGGGTGAGAATGGGATGCTAGAGCTGGGAAGGGGGTGAGAATGGGATGCTAGAGCTGGGAAGGGGGTGAGAATGGGATGCTAGAGCTGAAAGGGTAATGAGAATGGGATGCTAGAGCTGGGAAAGTGGTGAGAATGGGATGCTAGAGCTGAAAGGGTAATGAGATTGGGATGCTAGAGCTGAGAAGGGGGTGAGAATGGGATGCTAGAGCTGGGAAAGGGGTGAGAATGGGATGCTAGAGCTGAGAAAGCGGTGAGATTGGGATACTAGAGCTGAGAAAGCGGTGAGATTGGGATACTAGAGCTGAGAAAGCGGTGAGATTGGGATACTAGAGCTGAGAAAGCGGTGAGAATGGGATACTAGAGCTGAGAAAGCGGTGAGAATGGGATACTAGAGCTGAGAAGGGGGTGAGAATGGGATGCTAGAGCTGAGAAGGGGGTGAGAATGGGATGCTAGAGCTGAGAAGGGGGTGAGAATGGGATGCTAGAGCTGAGAAGGGGGTGAGAATGGGATGCTAGAGCTGAGAAAGCGGTGAGAATGGGATGCTAGAGCTGAGAAGGGGTGAGAATGGGATGCTAGAGCTGGGAAAGGGGTGAGAATGGGATGCTAGAGCTGAGAAAGTGGTGAGAATGGGATACTAGAGCTGAGAAGGGGTGAGAATGGGATGCTAGAGCTGAGAAGGGGTGAGAATGGGATGCTAGAGGTGGGAAGGGGGTGAGAATGGGATGCTACAGCTGAGAAGGGGTGAGAATGTCTGTGGTTATTGAATGTTTCATGAACTATGGGTTGTGGCGTTTGTGAAAGAGACGGTGTATGACTGAGTGCCTCAATGCTGTGCCTGTCACTGAGAGATGCTTACAGTCTAGACCTCCAGATGTAATGTTACACTAAGTAGCTGGAGATCTGTTGTCACATGGGCGAGCAGGGAGGATGTGCTCCATACAGTTGGAAACACGCCCACACCTCCCTCCGCATCCCTCAACTGTCAGCACCACATGTTTCCATACTCAGTGCCATTGGTTTTTGTTGCCTTCCCATGTCTGATGTAGACGAGGATTTGAAGGTTTTAGTCTTCTTTGTTTCTAATGCAGAAATGCGGTGTTATAGAGAATAAGCATGAAAGTCAAGGAGACCTTGTCATATCCCTCATGTTGAATGTTGGAGACTGAGTGGGTCCTTAGCTTCAAATACTACAGGAGCAAAGCACAAGTAAAGGAACCAATGACCCTCTGAATTTTATACACTTTGTGCCATTATCATGGTGGTGTTTGTTGTTTCATGCCACACTCAGCAATGTTCCAGCGGCGCCCAGAAAGTAATCGTATGTGGACCAGACAATCATGTGATTGGTATTGAGAGAAACTAACCACGCCTTTGGGGCATGATGACATCCAAGTCACTGACCCAGTCCATTAAGTCACCTGGTGTCTGCTCCATAGCTGTTAGGGGGTGCTGGGATAGCCTAGTGGTTAAGGCATTAGCTTGTCCTGCTGAAGGCCCAAGTTCGATTCCTAAAATGGGAACACACTGTGTGAAGCCCATTTCTAGTGTCCTCCACCGTGATATTGCTCACTCACTCACTCACTCACTCACTCACTCATTCATTCACTCACTCACTCACTCACTCACTCACTCACTCACTCACTCACTCACATTTCACAACTGAGTTTGTTGTTGAGGTGGTTTGTGTTTGGTCAGACTGTGTGTTATTTGCTGCAGTACCAATGCAGGGGTGCTTCACGTAGTTGTACAAAGATCGGCTGATGGTGGGTTCAAGTCTCAAATACAACCTGATTATGATCCTTGATAACACAAAAGTAGGGGTGCAGGGGACCCCAATAATTAATTGTAAGATACCCTGCAGGCAATATAGAGATCCGGTAAAGTAATGAAATGGTGTAGTGTACTGTACGTTTAGATAATTACTTAGGGCCTGGAATGAATAAATGATCATGTGGTCAGTGGTCATGATTGATGGATGAAATAACAGACACCCATAACTGCTCTTGATGCGCTGTAGGTACAATAAATATTATTCTGCTTCCATTTGTGTGTTGGGTAAAAGCCTGGTCCTAACCCTCATTGCTTGTCACCCAAATTAGGCTGACACTCCATGATGTGATGGAAAATCTGTTCACAGCACTGTCATCGAAAGTGCTGCAATTCACTGTAGGTTCCCATGGCATGGCTTCAAATCCGGGTTTGCCCTGATTAAGTTTATTGTTTTTTGACACAATATACACGTTGAGGGTTTCACCAATGTGGTGAACATGAAAGACCTGCCTCACTTCAGGCTTTCCTCCACATCAAACAGACACGCCTTGATACAGCTGAAACACTGATGGTTCAAAGCAGTGTTGAACCTAACTTACTCACTCACAAAGCTGACTCAATGTCATTTACGGGGGCATGGGTGGCCCAGTCGTCTAAGGCAGCGTGATTCATTGTGCAGAGTTGTGCCAAAAACCTATGATTGTGGGTTCGAATCCCGGTTTGCCCCGATTATGTTTCTAGGTTTGTCAGCACCATACTGTGCTCATGGGTTTCACCGAAGTGGTAAACGTCTGAGACCTGCATCACTTCGGACTTTCCGCCCACATCAAGCTGACACGCCGCGATATAACTGGAATACTGTTAAAAGCGGCATTAAACTCAACTCACTCACTCACTCATTTTGTGATCTGGATTTATTCATGCACTGAAACCCAAAATTTAAACACGAGGCAATTTATCTAATTATGGACAAAAGGTAGGCCTCCTAATAATAGGATGTGGAAAGCTCAACTTGCACAGATATATTGCATATCTTTTGTGTCGTAATAGGTAAGTGTTGCCTTGCTTAAACTGTCACTTATAAACAGTGCAGTTGGCCAAAGGGAGATAACTTTTCATCTTATCTACAGATTATGGAGCTATTTGAAAAAGTCAAACATTAAGAATGTTGTGTTTAAGTTAAATATTTTCGATGTATTTCATACTCTGCACCATGTGCTACATGTGTTATACATGATGTCCGAAGTATTGCTTTGATAATATTAGATTTGACCAAATCCCTTGAGCACCTTGATTAAAAACATGAAAATATTTGGAAAATATCTGTTGATGCAAAGTTGACAATACACATGCTCTGGAAATCATGCAGTCAACCGAAAGCTGCTTGTTTGTGAACTGGATGTCGATTTTGTTATGTGATTTTGAATGGACTATGCATAGACTTGTTTGTCCAGCAAAAATGTAACTCTATAATTCCTGACTAGTTTTTGGCAAGGGTGGAAACTGGACTTTTATAGTCAGTTAACTCCCTTGCCTCGGGAAGATGTTATTTACAGGCTACACTGTTTTAGATGGAATAGTGCTGTCTGCAATGCAGGGATCATTGTTTTTAGGGACATTGAACGTTTGCAAAAAAAATGTCCAAAAAGAATTTTTTTCAGATTTGGTCATACAGGCAATACAACAAATGTCCTTATGCATATGTCGGCAGCAATATTACAGGTGCTGTTAAACAACATGTTTATTTAGGAATTGACATCAATATATTGTGCTAAATCAACTTAAAAACTAGTGTGCTTATTTTGTAAATAAAGCATATTGAAATCAATTCTTACATTGAACATGTGATTGTTTAGCATCACCAGTACTAATGGTGCCGACAAATACATGTGTACATTTGTTGTATTGTATATATGACCACAACAATCGACTTCATTTTCAAGGACTTTAATCATCGACAAAAAACAAACTGTAGACAACAATATGATTTGTTTGTTTGTGTGTTGTTTAACGCCGCACTCAGCAATATTCCAGCTATATGACGGGGGTCTGTAAAAACTCGAGTTTGGACCTGACAATCCAGTGATTGACATCATGAACATGGATCCAGGCAATTGGTATGGGATGACATGCATCAACCAAGGACAACAATCCGAAATTAGTGACATCGTTCAACACAATAATGCAACATACTCCCTTGTGTCAGCCAATCAGGAAACAGTAGTCCATTAGTGGGCGTGGCCTAAAACGTCAGTTTATGTTACAAAAATTGCTTGGTTTGCCAATCAAATGCCACGGAATCACTTGCAATATATTTCTTTTTTTTTAATTAAAAAATTTAATCCAAGGAATCAAACCGAAAATAGATATAACATATATTCAATCGAGAAATTTATTGCTATAAAAAAGGAAGACGAAAATAACTTTAACAAAAATTAGTCACTTTTATTCTCAGCATTTGATTCTTAGCTCTTTATGAATACATGTTTTGTTTGAGTTAGATTGTGTGTTTCAAACTGGTTAGTTTGAAATGTGACACTGTTTCAAAACCTATTAATTTTAAAGAGTGTATTGTGTCTTTCTATTGCAATCCCAAATGTGTCTTGGTGGGATACTGGTGTCTTGGTGGGACTACTCGGGGAACAAAAAAAATAATTAAACTATATAGTTACCGTATTATTAATTGAAATGCTTCTATCTTTTCCAGCCCCCGACGCCGGCCAAGAAGAACCGGACTGTATATTCCACTGTGCCAAAGAATGCAAAGAAGCAAGCCAAAGACCTGATGGTCCGACAATGTATTGACACATACACATGCAAATGTCACATGATCAAATTCAAATATGAAAAATATGCGGGCAGTTATCAACAGTTACCTGCGTAAGTATACCTCCATCCCTGTCAGCATCACAAACTGGTTGATAATGTAAAGTTATATTCTGACCTGATTATCTAGTGGCTTTTACGTTGTCGCATGACAGAGTTATCTCCATTCGTATTCCACGCAAATTCGACCCGTGAAGATCAGGGGTATAATAGGTCTTCAGCAACCCATTCTTGATTTAAAAGGCGACTATGCTTGTCATAAGAGGCAACTAACAGGATTGGGTGGTTACTTACTGATTTGGTTGAAGCATGTCATCGATCCCAATTGCGTGGATCGATGCTCATGATGTTAATCACTGGATTGTCTGGTCCAGAGTCGATTATTTACAGACCGCCGTCATATAGCTGGAATATTGCTGAGTGCGGCGTTAAACAACAAACCAACCAACCAACCAACAAAATGGCCCCCATGGCGATCTTGGGTTAGAATAGGTCCCCAGCAAACTGTGCTGGTTGTAATGGCCACATATGAATCGGGTGACATGGTAGTGTTTCCCCATACCCCAATGCTGTGGATGTTGCTCACCATATCAACCACTGGATTGTCTGATCCAGACTCTACAGGCTGTGATCATAAAGCTGCAATATTGCTATTAGTGGTGATAAACAACAAACACACATTAACCCCCACATGGATGGCATGGGGGAGCCCATGCTTGGTGTCTTTCTTTCATCAACATAACACCATTATAATGTATTGGGTAATAAAAGTTTTATAGACTGTGTGTAAGTTAGTATAACTACATGTGATCTGTTTATCATTGTCATACTACAGGAATTACAAATCGATGTATAAATGTTGCTAAAGATGAGTTATCATCAGACAGGGCGGTGGGGTTAAAGCGTTTGCTCGTCACGACGAAGACCCGGATTCGATTCCCTACACCGGTACAATCCGTGAAGCCCATTCCTGTTGTCCCACGCCATTATATTGCTGGAATATTGCTAAAAGTGGCGTAAAACCATACTCACTCACTATCATTTGACAGCATTTAAAATTTTGCCTTCAGCGCAGTGAAGCTAATGGCGTCCTCCGGGAATGTTGATGCTTTTAGAGTGCTCGTCTATATGTTAACATGAGTAATTGAGCATACAGAGAGAGATCCTTTATCAATCTGATATCTACCCATTTTTAATGTCTTCATATAGACTCAACACATTACGAGAAACACATTCCATTCACTCGCCACGTTTTTCCTTTAAACGCTCGTGAAAATGTGTCGGTAAAATATGTTACCATGGGAACATGCAAAAGAAAATGTCACAAAATAAATGAAGGCAGATGTCTTGTTCTTGGAAGCCCACATTGAGACGGAAAAGAATATATTTGCTGAATCTGAAAAAAAGATCATCAAAAAGAAATGTGGAGAAATTTCTAATTTAAATTTGCTTTTTGTCTTGAGCTATTTGTAAATAGATGAGCTGGGTCTGTGTTGTATGTTTCGGTGTTGTATTTACTGCCATTTACAGTTGGAGTTGTTGGAGCTGTCATAGCTGTCTGAGCCCCACATGGGTGTGGGTTGAAGTGGGAAATATTTACATATCAGGGCTGTCTGTATGCATGTTTTCCTGGGGGTGCTAGGAGTGCCCATCACAAGTAACCATTATACAGCCCTGCCTCATATTACTGTAAAGCCTCAACATATTGAGCTGGTCTGTATATCTGGGTTTTAGATTGAGTCATTTTTTCTAGGACATTGCCACTGGTACGAAGCTCAGGTCAAGTAGAATTCTGTTCCATCTACAAAGCTTTGCAAATACTAATCCATTTTCTGAAACTGAAAATTAGTAGAAAAATAGACTGAAAAGATTTTGGCACAGAAAAGTTCGGGCTGGTAGACTCAAAAGTTTTTGGCACAGACAAGTTTGGGCTATTAGACTCAAAAGTATTTGGTACAGACAAGTTTGGGCTAGTAGACTTTAAGGTTTTTGGCACAGACAAGTTCGGGCTAGTAGACTCAAAAGTTTTGGGCACAGACAAGTTCAGGCTAGTTGTCATTCAAAATCTCCGGAAGATAATGGGACATATTTTTAATTTTACTGCTGATGTACACTATGGAGGTCAGTCCTATCAAAATTCATGGTTTGCTGAAAACGTATACTAATCCGGCTCTTCACAGGTTAATAGGTCTGTGTGAAGGTATGTAGGATATCCATTAGATTGGCTGAATGAGTGAGAGAATTCTGTTTTGTACAACCTGTGGATTAAAACAATATATACTACTCAAAAGAAGTTACGGATCACCCAGTTCTTTCATATTGGTAATGTTAATCTGTCATGGCATGAGAGATTAACTATTGTAATATGAAAGAATCAGGTGATCCTTAACTTCTTTTGAGTAGTATAGATAATGATTTGGATACTCTGAGCCAACATACCTTAGTTTACGAGAATATACACAAGGTAATCTTAATCCCTGGATGTAAAACAATGCCTAGCTGAAAAGAAAATACAATTTGAAAGGCAATTCAATATGTCATGTGATTTTTTTTATCTCAAATTTCAAATTTGTACTGACCAAGTTTCTTACCACCCGTTTGTTTACCGGAATTCGCTGAAGGGGTATGGTGTTATTTTTTTCTGCTTGTAATGCTATAATATATGTTTTCTCCAAAAACCTGCTCGGGGGGTGTGTGCATTATACTTGGGTGCGCACTATACTCAAGAAAATATGGTACCCATATTTCAGAACAAAAGTTAGGTAAATAAAGTTATACATGTAGCAGATATCTGTCTTTATCATCCATCTATAGGGACCACAACAGAACTTTTGTAAAACGAAGGTTACCTCAGGCCCTCCCTTGATAAAACAGGCCAATAATAAACACAACACACAAGAAAGTTATTTTGCTTCAAACTGACAATTTAAGAATGGAGACATGCCTCAATGTGAGTGCATGAAGCTTTTGTTGTTCTGCTGCAGTTAGGCTCAGTACACACTGATAGTGCTGTCTAAGACTTGTTGGAGCCAGGCACTTAATATGGTGAAAACATCTGGTCTGATGAACCTTGCAATACAATAATCCACATTTTGGGGTACCGTATTCGACATAATAAGTGCCCAGGTCGCGCTCAAAAATAGAATTAGGGGCTCTTATTAGAATATTATTTTGGTGAAAAACAACGGCGTCAATCTCATTATAATCAGATCTTAGTTTTCGCTACCGCTAAACAAAGATCTGAGGACATCCCATTACGGGTCACATCAGAACGACCTTTCGCGAACTTTGACCGATCAATGAAATGACTGACAAGAAATTGACATTAGCCAATCAGAAGGCAGCTTTCTCGAGATTTACGACACTAGTTTTCAAACTGGCAACTACGCTTTGAAACATATTTTGACGTATTCGTGATTAAAAATGTTGAAACTGATAAAAAGAACATTCTGGAATGGCTTATTATAGATGGTCTATATTGTATGGATATAATCATAAAACCCGTACCTGTCGTTCGGAATACCCTCTGTTAAATATTTGAGGTTGCATGATTAGAAAACACAATCCGTCTGTCACTTTCATGATCTGGTAAGCGACGCTCTGATTGGTTGGATGAAAGGTCGTTCTGACGTGACCCGTAATGGGTTGTCCTCAGATCTTTGTTTAGTGATAGCGAAAACTAAGATCTGATGTAAATGAGATTGCAACAGAGTTAAAAATCGTAAAATACGTGGTTTATGCTGACAGCCTGAAATGTTTATTTAGGACAGATTTTTCCAGAATATAATTTTTCCATAATTAAGGATGCATATAACACACGTATTATACACGAATAAATAAGTCTTGTGTACATTGATCAATCGGAAGGGGTGCTTATTGGGATTGTTCACAAGCCAATATATTAGCAAATATCGCAGTGGGCGCTTATTACGTTGAATATGGTATGTCTAAGATCTTGGCACAATATTCGGCACAGACTAAAAATCTCCACTCTTATACTAATCATAGTCAATAACCCAGTGTTACTCAGTCAATAAAAGATGACTTCATCACTGCTATGTTAATATAGGATGCTGGAGCACTGTCAGCATTCTTATTGAATAACTCAGCCTAGCTTCCTACCTTCACACACTTGGTGTTTAGCACTCAGCTAGACATCATCTCACATCAGGGTTGGTGTGGAATCAATATCAAGTCAAGTCCATTGCTGTCAATATTTTTATACAGTTCTCAATATATCTGGTTTGTAGATATGTATACACTTGATTTTAGTAGTGTTTCTGTAAGAAATTAACCATTTAGGAATAGATGTAGGGGATATTTAGTTATCATTTGTTGTTCTGTATCATGCTTTGTGATTCTTATATACAGAAAGCTCTAGGTAATTTTACCCAAATCATGGGTCGTTTAAAAAATGTCGTTGGCAATTATCTGAAAAGGACGGGACACTATTCTCTTCATATCATGCCTAAAGTGAAAAAGTACTCTATTTGTTTTGTCATAGCCAATAGAGGAGGCCTATCTGAAAATATAATTGGTATCAATTGTTTTTTTTTACAGTATTTGGCAAATGGAAATATCCCAGTATAAATAGTATATGGCAGAGATTTAGCTGGAGAGTAGCTGGAGAGTTGTTAATGCGACATAAAGCCGTTATCAGTGTTTGACTGTGCATGTTGAGAGATCCTTGTCTGGAGAGTTAATTCGGAGGATCAGTGAGTGTATTTTGGTATTTCTGTTAATGTAGCTGCATAATACTATGGCCACCGCCTCCGTGGTCTAGTGGATAGAGGATCTGCCCGGAGAGCTGAGGGTTGGTGGTTGGATCCACGGTCCAACCAAAAGATGGTATTTGTTGTTTCCCTGCCTGGCGCTCGGAATTAAGGTAGGGAAACAACAAGTATCGTCTTTTAACATCTTTTGGTTGAACCGTTGTTTCCCTGCCTAGTGCTCAGAATTAAGGGACCCATGGAGTTCCGGGGTAGAATAGGTCTTCAGCAACCCTTGCTTGCCGTAAAAGGTGACTATGCGGGATCGCGTTGTCAGGCTCGCTGACTTGGTTGAAGCATGTCATCAACCCAATTGCGTGGATCGATGCTCATGATATTATTCACTGGATTGTCTGGTCCAGACTCGATTATTTTCCGACTACCGTCATATAGCTGGAATATTGCTGAGTGTGGCGTTACACAACAAACCAACCCACCAAATCAGAATTAAGGGGCTAAAACAAGGACTGGTGGGCTCATACTAGTCATAGGCAGTACACTGTGTCTGTCCAGGGTGTTCACGTTAAACTGCGGCATTGTATCTCAGTGGGATAGCACTGTAAAACCAGCAGTAATCTTGACTTGTACAAGCAGTTCCTGCATTGATTGAGTCCGACTAGAGTCGCTGTGTGAACTCAATCAGTGTGGACATTCCTGGGATATGATGGCTTCTCTGTGGCCATGTAACTGACCACTGTCTTGTATCGACCTGGACGGAGGACGAGATTGATCCTTGCCTTTATCTCCCTCCAAGGAGAAGTAGTAATAAGCAGCAAGATAAATCAATAAGTTACTGTGTGATGTAATTAACCCTGATGTTGAGGCTGTCCCTTCATGTTGGTGTTGAGGTGGTCCCTTCATGTTGGTGTTGAGATGGTCCCTTCATGTTGATGTTGAGATGGTCCCTTTATGTTGGTGTTGATATGGTCCCTTCATGTAATTTGTTTGTTCGTTAGTTGTTTAATGCCACACTCAGCAATATTCCGGCTATATGACGGCGGTCTGTTCAATAATCGAATCTGGACCAGACAATCCTGTGATTGACATCATGAGCATCGATCCACGCTATTGAGATTGATGACATGCATCAACCAAGTCAGCGAGTCTGACCATCCGATTCTGTTAGTCGCCTCTTACGACAAGCATAGTCACCTTTTGCGGCAAGCATGGGATACTGAAGACCTATTCTACCCCTGGTCCATTCGGGTACCCTTCATGTTGATGTTGAGATGGTCGCGGTTCATGTTGGTGTTGAGGTGGTCCCTTCATGTTGGTGTTGAGATGGTCCCTTCATGTGGCTTCAAGTACTTAGGAACCCACTTCAAATTTAGGATAAATTTATCATGGCACTTTCACATAATTCGGAATTGCAGTGTTGTCTCTGATACAATAAAGCCTAGTTGTGGCTTATTAAAACACATTATTCCATTTGCGGGTCCAGAATGAATTGGTTTTCATCAGAGAAATTGATCCATGGTTTATTGAATATTCTGATGATATCATCCAGTGAAGTCATCTGGTGATATCACTTTCGGTTTCTCAGACAAGTAATAGTATTATGTCACTGCCTGCTTTTAACACTATCCCTAAATAGCTGAAAGAGGTGTGTCTGGTATTCAAGTACTTTTGTAGTCTGTCCATTACAAATTATTATCCCCATCACAGATATGTTTTTGTCTGATTGATTTAATAACACACTGGCATATATTTACTGCCAATTCTTATTAAGAACTGTGAATTCATAAAATTAAATGTAACGATGTACAACATCATGTCTAGAACACTTGGAACATGCCATTGGTGAGAAATACCACACCTTGGGATGGTGTTGGTGTTATCAGGTAGGAAACCGAGACAGACTGGAGGGACAAAGGCACTGGGAGATAGCCAGTCACAACAGTTCACACCTCATCTCATGCTGTTCAGGGATATTTGGCTGGAAGTAGGAAAACACAGCCAGTTTTGCGAAAAAGGTCAACCATCTAAGTGTGTAGTTGAAAAAGGAATGAATAATAATATATCTATGTTTTTCTAACAGATCATCATCACAAGTAAGGATTTGAAAGTTGGAATGTTAGCAATGACATTATTTATAAAATATTAGCGAGACAAGTTGCGACATTTGTAGGAAATTTAAAAGATGTGGTTACAAGCTGCAGGTCATTTCATAAACTTGTATACATATATCATTGTTTATCGGGGAGTAAAAGTACATATATAGGATATCTTTCAGTTTTGTATTTTCAAATATACCTCATTCGACTGTTTTGACAACTCAGCAATATAATATTATCATGATTTGGATGAAAGCTTAAGTATCCCCCTATCAGTTAGTAACATGTCAGCAAATATCATATGATTCTGCAAAACAATATGTGAAAGGTTTATGTATAATGAATTCTGCAAGCATTTTCTGTAATGTCTATCATTAGATAAAGGTAAGTGGATGAAAGGAACTCCCAGGTAATGTCCAGTCAGTTCCATCCATGGGTAGAAAGTATGAAATCCCATTCATGGCATCCATCTTGAGAAATGGCTAATGTCATCCATCTTGAGAAATGGCTAATGTCATCCATCTTGAGAATTGACAAATGGCATTCATCTTGACAAATGACTGATGGTGTCTGTCTTCAGTAATGTTTGGTGGTGTCCATCTTGATTAATGACTGATGGCATCTATCTTGATTTATGACTGATGGTGCCCGTCTTGAGAAATTACTAATGGCATCCATCTTGACAAATGGCTGATTGTGTCCATCTTGAGAAATGACCTATGGCATCCATCTTGAGAAATGACTAATGGCATCCATCTTGAGAAATGACTGATGGTGCCCGTCTTGAGAAATTACTAATGGCATCCATCTTGAGAAATGACTGATGGTGTCCATCTTGAGAAATGACTAAGAGTGTCCATCTTGAGAAATGACTGATGGTGTCCGTCTTGAGAAATGACTGATGGTGTCCATCTTGAGAAATGACAGAAAGTGTCCATCTTGACAAATGGCTGATTGTGTCCATCTTGAGAAATGACCTATGGCATCCATCTTGAGAAATGACTGATGGTGTCCATCTTGAGAAATAACTGATGGTGTCCATCTTGAGAAATGACTAATTGCATCCTTCTTGAGAAATGACTAATGGCGTCCATCTTGAGAAATGACTAATTGCATCCTTCTTGAGAAATGACTAATGGCGTCCATCTTGAGAAATGACTGATGGTGTCCGTCTTGAGAAATGACTGATGGTGTCCATCTTGAGAAATGACAGAAAGTGTCCATCTTGACAAATGGCTAATTGTGTCCATCTGGAGAAATGACCTATGGCATCCATCTTGAGAAATGACTGATGGTGTCCATCTTGAGAAATAACTGATGGTGTCCATCTTGAGAAATGACTAATTGCATCCTTCTTGAGAAATGACTAATGGCGTCCATCTTGAGAAATGACTAATTGCATCCTTCTTGAGAAATGACTTATGGCGTCCATCTTGAGAAATGACTGATGGTGTCCGTCTTGAGAAATGACTGATGGTGTCCATCTTGAGAAATGACAGAAAGTGTCCATCTTGACAAATGGCTGATTGTGTCCATCTGGAGAAATGACCTATGGCATCCATCTTGAGAAATGACTGATGGTGTCCATCTTGAGAAATAACTGATGGTGTCCATCTTGAGAAATGACTAATGGCGTCCATCTTGAGAAATGACTGATGGTGTCCGTCTTGAGAAATGACTGATGGTGTCCATCTTGAGAAATGACTAGTGATGTCTGCCTTGAGAAATGACTGAAGGCATCCATCTTGAGAAATGACTATTGGCATCCATCTTGAGAAATGACTAGTGGTGTCCATCTTGGAAAATGAAAAATGGTGTCCATCTTGAGATATGGCTGATGGTGTCCATCTTGGGAAATGACTAATGGTGTCCATCTTGGGCAATGACTGATGGTCTACATAGACAAATGGTGTCCATCACATTACTCTTTCACTCACTCCATATTGTTTGGGTTGCAGGGCCAAGAAAAATGCCAATCTTCAGGAACAACTATTCGAGATTGATGCAGAGATGGAAGAAAAAGATGACGTGAGTTGATGTTGCTTTTTTTCCCTTATAACATCATTATGTAACTGTACAACTGTAATTAGTGAGACTGAAAGATTTGTGTTTCAATATTAACGTAATAGCAGGTTCAAACAAGCTTCCTAAGGGGATTCGGTTAGATCCCCAGCAACCTATGCTGGTCAAAAGAGGCGACTAAAGGATCAGGTGGTCCAGCTTAGTGACATCGTTGATTGTGTCTCATTGTACCCCAAAGGCGTGGATCGTTGCTCACAATATCAGTCACCAAATTGTCTGGTTCAGTATCAATTTTTTTAACAGGCCCCTATCATATAGCAGGAATATTGTGGAGTGTGGCATTAAACAATAAAAAAAGAACAAAAAAACTAAGAATAAAGCTGTAATTTGAAAAGTATTGGTTTGATTAAATGTTCATAATAATGTATTATCATGGGTCATCAATGTCTTCAAGGCTGTGACAAGTTAGATACCAGTGATTGAACGTGAAGGTTAAGATGCATCAAACTGACTGAAATTCTCCTTCCAGGACACTCTGTCACGGTCGATGTCCTCCACCATCACCAGGAAGGGCTGGCTGTACAAGGGGCCTGACTCCGGCAAGGACAACATCATCAGCTTCACCAGGGTACGTCACGAAGTTGTTACTACCGTGATACACCTCTCGATGTTGTTACTACCCCGATACACCTCACGATGTTGTTACTACCACGTTACACCTCACGATGTTATTACTACCATGATACACCTCACGATGTTGTTACTACAACGATACACCTCACGATGTTGTTACTACCCCGATACACCTCACGATGTTGTTACTACCACGATACACCTCACGATGTTGTTACTACCCCGATACACCTCACGATGTTGTTACTACCCCGATACACCTCACAATGTTGTTACTACCCCGATACACCTCACGATGTTGTTACTACCCCGATACACCTCACAATGTTGTTACTACCACGTTACACCTGACGATGTTGTTACTACCACGTTACACCTCACGATGTTGTTACTACCACGATACACCTCACGATGTTGTTACTACCATGATACACCTCACGATGTTGTTACTACCACGTTACACCTCACGATGTTATTACTACCATGATACACCTCACGATGTTGTTACTACCACAATACACCTCACGTTGTTGTTACTACCACAATACACCTCACAATGTTGTTACTACCACGTTACACCTCACGATGTTGTTACTACCATGATACACCTCATGATGTTGTTACTACCACGATACACCTCACGATGTTGTTACTACCACAATACACCTCACGTTGTTGTTACTACCACAATACACCTCATGATGTTATTACTACCATGATACACCTCACGATGTTGTTACTGTCACGATACACCTCACGATGTTGTTACTACCAAGATACACCTCACGATGTTGTTCGTTGTCAGTCATTATTGCAGAACTTCATAAATTTTACATTTTGTATATTTTACAGAATTAAATATATGCTAGTTTCAATGAAATATCAGTCAATTTACCTTGAGTGATTTTGTGGTCTAATGAATAGAGTGCAGAAGGTCGGTAGCTTGATCCCCAGCTGCGTCAAAGGACGAAAAAAGATGGTACTTTTTGTTACCCTGCCTGGTAATCGGTATTAACAAGACTGGTTGGCTCGGAGTCAGTATACTCTGTTTCAGATGGTTATCCATGTTAAACTGCAGCATGGTATCTCAGTGGGCTAGCACTATAAAACCAGACTAGTACAAGCAGCCATACACATTCATGTATTTGCACGTCTCTATATATGTGCAGTATACACAATGTTAAAACTCCATTTCACCTCACCTCACCTCACCTCACCTCACCTTGAGTGATTGTTTCATTGCAGCAGTTCAAACGGCGCTTCTTCGTGTTGAAGCAGCAGACAGACTTCACCTACATCCTGGAGTTCTTCAAGGATGAGAAGAAGGCAGAGGTGAAGGGCGCCGTGTATCTCGATCTGGCTACTGATGTCATCAAGGTACACACTGCAAGCCACAGAGCGGCAATATGAAGTAGAAGTGCTGTAAATTAGACATCGGAATGTCGTCTTAACATTTTTAGGATATCACAGTCATGAGACTGACTTTAAAAAAGATAATTAAATGTGCATAACTGTTTGACTAGTAAGTACCATTTCTTTCTGACGATGCACACATTCCTTTTGACTTGTATATGTTTGAGTAAAGATAAAGCTTTAGTCAACTTCAGTGTATGCATGATATTATCGTTTGATACATGTATCTAAATAGTTTTTGCCGGAGCTGCGGTAAAACAATTCCCAATCAGACATTTTGTTCCCTACTCTTGAGATCTTTAGCGGGTACCTAGGTAGGGTTGGGTAATAGGGTGTCGAGTACCTGGGGGGTCAATTTGGACTCGTCCCAGCCCTATCTTGAGGAACTGACAGTAAAACCCCATTGTAATCCAGACTAGAGTAGGTACCCAGCACCTTATGTGTGTATCATATTATGATGGGTGGTCAGGTGACTTAGTTGATGCCGTATCATCGTACCCAACAGTGTGGGACGTTGCTCACAATATTAATCACTGAATTGTCTGGCCACCATCACAGAACTGGAATGTTCAAACACACACGTGCTGTCAGAAAGAATATTTTCTTTCGAAGAAAAATTCAGGTTTCCACACAGAATATTAGATTATCAGCCCCTAGGAACATCCTTCTTATAAATCATGTGTCATGTTTTGGTGATTGAATCCAATCTACTGGATTTTTCCAGAACACGAAGAAGGGCAAGTTCTGTTTTGAGATCCGGATGAGTGAGGGGTCGTCATGTCTGTTCGCTGCCGACAGCGAGGTGGACATGGAGGAGTGGATTGTGACCTTGAACAAGGTCATCAGTGCGGCCGAGACGGCGTCCCAAGTGTCCAGGGACAGCATCAAAGGTGACAATGGAGATGATCATGATACCACAACAAACACCACAGATGCAACATTAATGGAACTTAATGCACTAGCTTTTTAGGGGCGGTCGGGTAGCCTAGTGGTTAAAGCGTTCCCTCGTCACGCCGAAGACCCGGGTTCGATTCCCGACATGGGTACAATGTGTGAAGCCCATTTCAGGTGTCCCCCGCCGTGATATTGCTGGAATATTGCTAAAAGCGGCGTAAAACCATACTCACTCACTCACTCACTCACTAACTTTTTAAGATTTAGAATTTGAGTCAATGATGTGGTTATGGGGTACGTCTGCTTCCTGTAGGAAATGGATACAATGAATTCTGATGCTGATAGACTGTTCAAAGCAGAGTTAAACCCAACTCAATCATCTCAGTCAGATATTGATAATGATGGAATATTTTTGTCATCTGTGGATTTTGTATCCTTCCAGAGGATCTCCCGGCCCCTGGTCATGCCGAGAACTACAAGGAGAGTTCCATGAACCATCCAGTTGTAAAGGTGGGTATCGCCCTCGACAACATAACATTTGGCACCGACAGTGGAGTTCACCAATGAAGTATAAGTTTTTAAACTGATTCCTTTTGGAGTTTCATCCCATATTTTGAAAACATGCTGTCATGCTGAAATACTGTTGAAGTATATCACAGATTCACGAGAGATCATGCTAAAACTTTGTATGGGAGGAAAACACCATTTTCTGATTTGTTTGTCAGATATTTTTCTCAATTTCAAACAGCAATATGCTCTAGGGGAGATAACTCTCTGTTGCAGTACTCGAGAGAATCAGACACGTCGCTATCCAGTGCCCGCCAGGAGGGTCGACAGAACCTCTTCCACGTCTACCCAGACATGAGGGTGAGTCCACGAGTTCCTTGTGTCAATAGTGGGGTTTGCAGCACATTTGAACATTGCAGACTGAAGGTTGATGGTTGTGTACAGATGTCAAGCTCTTACATTCCTGTACACAAGACCAAAGATCCATGGTTGTGTACAGATGTCAAGTTCTTACATTCCTGTACACAAGACCAAAGGTCCATGGGTGTGTGCAGATGTCAAGCTCTTACATTCCTGTACACAAGACCAAAGGTCCATGGGTGTGTGCAGATGTCAAGCTCTTACATTCCAGTACACAAGACCAAAGGTCCATGGTTGTGTGCAGATGTCAAGTTCTTACATTCCAGTACACAAGACCAAAAGTCCATGGTTGTGTACAGATGTCAACCTCTTACATTCCTGTACACAATACCAAAAGTCCATGGGTGTGTAGAGATATCAAGCTCTTACATTCCTGTACACAAGACCAAAGGTCCATGGGTGTGTACAGATGTTTAGCTCTTACATTCCTGTACACAAGACCAAAGGTCCATGTAAGTGTACAGATGTCAAGCTCCTGCGATCATGTTCGTCACGGTAAAGACACATGCACCAAATTTATCAGAACAAAACCATAAGTTAGTGAGACTTCTATTAAATTTGTTGAAATTGTGTCTCAATTCAGAAATGATATAGTTGTCAAAGTTTGAAAGAATGGGCATTTCACAAGATCATTTCTTGCAGAGGACAAATTTTGAAGAGGAGGAGGTAGAAGAGGAGGACGAAATTGATGTGTTTCCGAAGCAGGATGCAGAAAGATTTCTCCTCCGCCTTGAAGAGTTCTCCCTGAAGCTGCAGGTCAACATGGCCGACGAGGGTCTGGGCAACAAACACTGTAACGTGAGTTGGTACACGGAGACTGTCAGGGAGCTCTGACCTGACAGATAGGTCTTACAGGGCAACAAACACTGTAATGTGAGTTGGTACACGGAGAATGTCGGGGAGCTGTGACCTGACAGATAGGTCTTACAGGGCAACAAACACTGTAATGTGAGTTGGTACACGGAGACTGTCGGGGAGCTCTGACCTGACAGATAGGTCTTACAGGGCAACAAACACTGTAATGTGAGTCGGCACACGGAGAGCTGTGACCTAACAGACAGGTCTTACAGGGCAACAAACACTGTAATGTGAGTCGGCACACGGAGAATAGGTCTTCAGCAACCCATGCTTGCCATAAAAGCCGAGTGTGCTTTTTGTAAGAGGCGACTAACGGGATCAGGTGCTCAGGCTCGCTGACTTGGTTGATGAATGTCATTGTATCTCAATTGCGTGAATCAATGATCATCATATAAAGTACTGGATTGTCTGGTCTAGACTCGATTATTCACTAACCAGTCATGAATGTAGTCTTGTAACAGCACAGTTCAAGTCCCATCAGATTACCTGTGTCACAAGTTACTGCAGTAGTTATGTTTCCTTCTGTCTTCAGCCGGAACCCTTCTTCATCTCATTTGCCTTATACGATGCCAAGGAAGGCAAGAAGATTTCAGAAGATTTTGTGGTGGATCCCAATGAGCCTGAAATCAGTCGCATGATCCCCCCCGATGTCCTGCAGGCCTCTGACAAGCTGCACACAGTGGATGGGCTTGAGACGATGCCGGATCTGAATGGCCTGAAAGAAGATTGGCTGCGACACAAGCGACAGGTACACAGGTTCATGGGCCGGGGAAACTGTTCTGAGGGGCGGGGGGGAGGGGGGTAGCCTAGTTGTTAAAGTGTTGGCTCGTCACACCTAGGTTTGATTCCACCCGGACACAATGTTTAAAGTCCATTCTTGATATGGTTGGAATAGTGCTGAAAGTGGTGTAGCTCACTCGCTGTCTTTTGCTGGGATTTATATTGTGCTATATCCACACCACAGGGGCATGCTCAGAGCGCTGCACTATTATTACCCCGATCAATGGATTAGTGTGCACTCAACCATCATTCTCCTCTCCCTAGGGAGTATACAACCCATGCTGCCTGTGAGGCCCTAGAAGGTTAACGACATTGCCTTCTCATACTACCGAGTACCCATGCACTGCTGGTTGAACAGAGGCACATTTAAAACAAAGTCATTTGCCCAAGGAGACACCACATGATACGAGTGCTACAGTGTGGGGCAGGACCGAAGCTCTAGAAACTCTCAAGCATGCCGAACACTGTCACTCACCCAAGATGTGTTGTTTCCCATGTGTATTCATGCCTCTGTGTCCTTGCAGGGTATCTTCACCGTGATCCGCCGGCACTCGGAGATTTACCTGGTGGCCAAGATAGAGAAGGTGCTACAAGGGGGAATCTCGCAGTGCGTGGAGCCATACGTAAAATTAGCCGACCAGAAGATTGCAACAAAAGTCCATCGGCAGATGAAACAGCTGTGTAATCACATTGGACATTACCGCATGCCCTTCGCCTGGTCAGCAAGGTGAGACAGACTAGAACAAAACCTCAATGTTGAATGTGTAATCACATCGGACATTACCGCATGCCCTTCGCCTGGTCAGCAAGGTGAGACAGACTAGAACAAACCTTGATGTAGAATGTGTAGTCACATCGGACATTACCGTATGCCCTTTGCCTGGTCAGCAAGGTGAGACAGACTAGAACAAAATCACGATGTAGAATGTGTAGTCACATCGGACATTACCACGTGCCCTTCGCCTGGTCAGCAAGGTGAGACAGACTAGAACAAAATCACGATGTAGAATGTGTAGTCACATCGGACATTACCGCATGCCCTTCGCCTGGTCAGCAAGGTGAGACAGACTAGAACAAAATCACGATGTAGAATGTGTAGTCACATCGGACATTACCGCATGCCCTTCGCCTGGTCAGCAAGGTGAGACAGACTAGAACAAAATCACGATGTAGAATGTGTAGTCACATCGGACATTACCGCATGCCCTTCGCCTGGTCAGCAAGGTGAGACAGACTAGAACAAAACCTCTATGAAGAATGTGTAGTCACCATCATAGGTGAAAGAGGCTGAGGCTCTTTGTCAGTCCTGAGGCCCTATAAACACTTTCTTTGTCTACAAATTCTGTGGCAATTAATGATTACTTTTATTAAACAGACACAATATGTTTATTGTCAAGAACTAGGCAAGGGGCACCAGACCATGGAATAGCTGATCTTATCAGATATGAAGAGAACTTTCATCAAGCAGTTTTGTGTAGTAAGCTTAATGGTATTCAAATGTAATATGAAAGTGTTCACCCACATCTGTGTGGAAACTTTAAGGTTTTAGGGTGTTGATTAATGTCCTTGGAAGTTTTCTAGTTTGCATCATCATTGCTTGATAATCCATAGATATAGCTAAAACCTATTTGTGGAGGGTCACACACGGTATGAGTTGGAATCAGTGAGCTGAATGACGTCACTCTTGACCGTTGTGTTATGTATTAATCTGCCACTGTAATCATGAGAGTAGACAAAATATGCATCGATTTGATGCTAAAATTGTGAGAATATCGGATGTGTAAGAAACAGGTTACTGCACACAAGCCTATCAGATATACTGTTTATCTTACAACTGGTGGTGAGGTAAATGGTGTCTTACAGCAACTCATGCAGTAACCTCTATTTACAGCTGACTTTGGTTGAGACCAGATCCATTGTAATTTGTATGCTTGCAGACCAATCGGCACCACAGCATATGGGCACACAAACCTGCCCATCTACAGACAGGAGGGATCCAAGATGTCGGAGGAAGAAATAATCAAACAACTGCAGGACTTCAAAAAGTAAGAACCCATCCAGCAGTAGAAACTAACATTTTTTGTCCCCTAGTCCTTATAATGACAACATATAGCAAAACCCTTAAAAATGGCAAATTTCTACTAGTCCTTATGATACCTTAACTATTGGGCAGTTTGGCAAGGACTACAGGACTATTGCCAATTTCTACCGCTGCCATCTAGTTGTAAGTTGTGGCAGAGTATTGTGACTAAGGGACAGTAGGGAAGTGGTAGCGGGTAGATCCCTAGCACTGTGGTGCTGGTCATGGGAGACATTGTCGGGTGATGAGGCACTGTGACATGGTTGATTGAATGGCAGGGACTTTGCTCATGCTATGAACTACGTCTGGGACGAGTCCAAATTTACTACCCGGGTACCCAACTCCTGCTGTACGTCTTAAGAGATGGGTACAAAGTGTCCGTTTGGGAATGGTTTGACTGTAGCCTTGGCAAAATGTATTTAGGTACGCGTATAAAATGATCTGAAGTTGACTGAAGCTTTATCTTTATCTTTATTCAAACATACATAAGTCAGAAGGAATGCGTTCTGTGAATGTGAATATTAGTGACTTGTAGTGTAACCATGGAGTTTTAGATACTTTTTGTCATTAAACAATACATCACATGACTAAGCATGGGTCCGGTAAGTTCTGTGAGTACCTGGGTCCTACTCAGTACCCACCGGACCCGAGTACCCAAGTTACTCGTCCCAGCTTCTGGTTTGCCTGTCCAAGACTATCATTTTCAAGCTGCTTTCATGCGGCTGTATAACTGCTACCTGTGGCTTAAACCCCCCTCACGCACTCAAACAATGATCCAAAATATGCTGATTTGGCATTTATCACTGTCAATTTCCATAAAGTTATTAACATTATTATTGCTGGTGTATTTCTCAAACATATTCTCCACCCAGTTATTATCAGAAAGAATATTGTTCATTCTGTTCCCGTTGCAAGTTCTATAAAGTTGTTCAGATTATTATTATATTTCACAAACATATTCTCCACCCAATTATTATCAGAAAGAATTTTGTTCATTCTGTTCCCGTTGCAAGTTCTATAAAGTTGTTCAGATTATTATTATATTTCACAAACATATTCTCCACCCAGTTATTATTAGAAAGAATATTATTTGGTTTATCCTGTTGTTTCTAATCCAATGTTGTGTTTGTAGACCAGAGAAACAGAGCAAGCTGCAGAGTATCCCCGGCGTGCTGAGGATCTGGTTCGAACATGTGCCCTGTAGCCAAGTCATCAACAGTAAGTGTTTGTCCTACACAGGGTTGCCCAGGCGTCTAAAGTTTCTTAATTGTCTAAGGCTTCTTGGTCGTACGAGGTTTTTTGGTCGTCTAAGGCTTCTTGGTCGTCTGAGGCTTCTTGGTTGTCTGTGGCTTCTTGGTCATCTAAGGCTTCTTGGTCCTCTAAGGCTTCTTGGTCATCTGAGGCTTCTTGGTTGTCTAAGGCTTCTTGGTCCTCTAAGGCTTCTTGGTCCTCTAAGGCTTCTTGGTCATCTGAGGCTTCTTGGTTGTCTAAGGCTTCTTGGTTGTCTGAGGCTTCATGGTCGTCTAAGGCTTTTTGGTCCTCTAAGGCTTCTTGGTCCTCTAAGGCTTCTTGGTCCTCTAAGGCTTCTTGGTCGTCTTAGGCTTCTTGGTCATCTGAGGCTTCTTGGTTGTCTAAGGCTTCTTGGTCCTCTAAGGCTTCTTGGTCATCTGAGGCTTTTTGGTCCTCTAAGGCTTCTTGGTCATCTGAGGCTTCTTGGTCATCTGAGGCTTCTTGGTTGTCTAAGGCTTCTTGGTTGTCTAAGGCTTCTTGGTTATCTGAGGCTTCTTGGTCATCTAAGGCTTCTTGGTCATCTAAGGCTTCTTGGTCGTCTGAGGCTTCATGGTCGTCTAAGGCTTTTTGGTCCTCTAAGGCTTCTTGGTCCTCTAAGGCTTCTTGGTCGTCTAAGGCTTCTTGGTCATCTGAGGCTTCTTGGTTGTCTAAGGCTTCTTGGTTGTCTGAGGCTTCATGGTCGTCTAAGGCTTTTTGGTCCTCTAAGGCTTCTTGGTCCTCTAAGGCTTCTTGGTCGTCTAAGGCTTCTTGGTCCTCTAAGGCTTCTTGGTCGTCTTAGGCTTCTTGGTCATCTGAGGCTTCTTGGTTGTCTAAGGCTTCTTGGTTGTCTAAGGCTTCTTGGTCATCTAAGGCTTCTTGGTCGTCTAAGGCTTCTTGGTCGTCTGAGGCTTCATGGTCGTCTAAGGCTTTTTGGTCCTCTAAGGCTTCTTGGTCCTCTAAGGCTTCTTGGTCGTCTTAGGCTTCTTGGTCGTCTTAGGCTTCTTGGTCATCTAAGGCTTCTTGGTCATCTGAGGCTTCTTGGTTGTCTAAGGCTTCTTGGTTGTCTAAGGCTTCTTGGTCGTCTAACGCTTCTTGGTCGTCTAAGGCTTCTTGGTCGTCTAAGGCTTCTTGGTCGTTTAAGGTTTCTTGGTCCTCTAAGGCTTCTTGGTTATCTAAGGCTTCTTGGTCATCTGAGGCTTCTTGGTCGTTTAAGGCTTCTTGGTCGTTTAAGGCTTCTTGGTCGTTTAAGACTTCTTGGTCGTCTGAGGCTTCTTGGTCGTCTGAGGCTTCTTGATTGCCTAAGGCTTCTTGGTCGTCTGAAGCTTCTTGGTCGTCTAAGGCTTCTTGGTCGTCTAAGGCTTCTTGGTCGTCTGAGGCTTCTTGGTCGTCTAAGGCTTCTTGGTCGTGGCGTAAAACCCACGCACTCACTCACTCACTTTGTCCAACACAAGTATAGTATCAGCGTAAAAAATGAACAGGTCTGGCAGTTATACAGGATTAGCCTAGTGGTTAAAGTGTTTGCTCAGCACACTGAGGCCTAAGTTGGATGTTCCACCTGGAAAAGCCTGAAGAAATCACTGATACCTGAACACTAGACAAAACAACAGGCTTGAGGGATAGTGTCGATTTCTATCCAATCGAGGTATAACTTGAATACTGTTCAGCGTTTAACACAACTCACTCACTCTCTCACTGTTGACTTTCACAGATGTGCTGACCCCCTCTCTAGTGCCTGTACACCCCTTCCCCAACCCCCCGGCTCAGGTGCCAGCTATAGAGGTGCAGGAGTTCGTGCCGGACAAGGCCCCCCTGTACACGTCCTACGACTACTACCTGAACCATCTGTACGTCTACCCCCTCGCCCTCAAGTACGACAGCCAGAAGACATTCACCAAGGTAGGCAACATCTTCAAATAGACTTCAGGGTTGCCCAGTGATTCACGGTGCAGAGTTGTGGCCCTTAGGCATTCAAGGATCCTATGAAATACCTTTGTGGGTTCCATTCAGGAAACATCTTAGACCTGCATCAACTGCATCCTCCCACATTAAGCTGTGATATGGTAAATGTTTGGCTTAATTTTTAACATTTAATGTGTACAGAATTGACCGTATGATACATACCACTCCATTTTTGATAGGGATATTTCTTATCTTTTGAAGACACACAAAATTTATTCTCATTATCGCATTTGACGTAATAAGCGCCCTGGGCGCTCTCAAAATGAGAAATAGGGGGCTCTTATTAGAATATTATTTTGATGGAAAAAAAACAGTTGAAAGATAAATTTCGCCTGACATGTTTATGTACGACAGATATATTTTCCAGAATTTAATTGCCCATAATTAAGGGTGCATATAACACACGAGTGAGTATTATACGCAAATAAATAAGTCTTGTGTACATTGATCAATCGGAAAGAATTGCTAATTGGGATTGTTCACTAGCCAATATATTAGCAAATATCGCCATGGGTGCTTATTAGAGCGGGGTGCTTATTACGTCGAATACGGTATATGTCAAGTGTGTATTTAAATAGGATGACATGTCTGATTTTCCCTATCAAAAGTTGAGTAGTATGTAATGATATAAAGTTTCATTAGAAATTATCTAATGGGTGATCTTACCTTTCCATGTAATATTATTCTTACATTTGTTAAGCGCATAGTGATACATGTATATCACTTAGTATCTAGTCCATACAACATGAAGGGGTGTGTGCTTGTCGTAAGAGGCAACTAACGGGATCGGGTGGTCAGGCTCGCTGACTTGGTTGATATATGTCATCGTATCCCAATCGATACTCATGATGTCAATCACTGGATTGTCTGGTCCAGACTCGATTATTTACAGACCGCCGTCATATAGCTGGAATATTGCTGAGTGCGGCGTTAAACAACAAACAAAACAAACAAACAGTGATACTTATGTAAGGGTCACAACTACAATCAGAATGCACAGTGTAATGTGATAGACATGTGAAACTAGTAATCCAATATGGATTCCTCCCAATGCTGGCTGAGATAACCTGTGGGATTTAGATGACCCAAGTGACAACTCGCATTTGAAGAGAGTTTGTAAATATCACTGGTTTCTTTATGATGAAGGTGTGGTGGGTTCGTCAAGTGGTTAAACCCTTTGCAGGGAGCAATGTGTCCTATTCTGCCTCTTGGCATGACACAGCTGGAATATTGCTAAAGGCAGTGTAAAACCCAACTGACTCACTCACTCACTTTATGAAGACATAGTTAACCTATCAGCACATCGGACAGTTCAGTACAATGTTGCTGGGTTGCAGGCGCGGAACATCGCCTGCTGTATCGAGATGAGGGACTCGGACGACGAGGGAGCGGTGCCACTTAAGGTGAGCATCATCGTGTTCAGTAAAATGACATTAATCTTCAGCCGATATTAGCTGCTTGTCCGAAGCCTGAGTTCAGTGAAATTCTGTTCGGTTTAGTAAACTCATCTGGTAATAGTCTAATAACATCATCAAAATCTACAGAAAATGATCCTTATAGTAATAATCAGGGGCGTAAAACCTTTGCCTTCTCTAACCCTACCTAAATATTTGTGGATCATATGGACCCATGAAGATCCGGGTTAGTGCTGGTCTTCAGCAACACATTCTTGTCATAAGAGACGATTGATGGGATTGGGTGGTCAGGGTCGCTGACTTCTTAGAAGCATGCATTTGCGTTGATCGATGCTCATGATAGCAATCACTGGAGTGTCTGGTCCAGACTTGATTATTTACAGACCGCCGTCATATAGCTAAAATATTGCTGAGTGTGGCGTTAAACAACAAACAAACAAACAAGTTTATTATATGGTCTATTGTGAGATGATAAAAGTCAGTAGGAAAATGAACTTAAGGGGAGACTACTCTGCAGCAGGTTCAGGTTACACAAGACCAAATGTTTCCCCATAGACTTCTATCTATCCAGACACTACTGTCCGGATGAACAGGGTTCTACTGGACATCCTAAAGCAGATGTAGTATGAAAGCTTGTTGTCAGTGTTTGCTTCTGTTTGTACAACAGTGTATATACGGTCGCCCCCATACGTCGGTGTTCACGACCGAGGCCACCACAGCTGTTCTCCATCACAACACCACGCCGGAATTCACAGAGGAGGTAAGTACACTGGCCTGATGTCTTCAGGTGGCACAGTCAGCTAAAGTGCTGCAATTCACTGAGTTTCAGGCATACTAGAAACCTGTGATTGTAGGTTCAAATCTCAAATTTTATCATGTGTTAATGTTATATACTTGCCAAATGCCTTCGATGCGCAGGAGATAGCATACTGGACCCCAAGATGATGTTTTGAATGAGTAAACATTATGTTGTACCAGCATCTTGTTTTGTTCCATTTATGAACTTCAGTCATACTAATGTATCAGATTGCTTCTGAATTAGAAATTTAGAATTATACAATATATCGTGATATTTCTCTTTGTTAAAACAGAGTAATGTATGGTACAAGCATTGTTGTCTTGCAGGTGAAGATAGCACTGCCGACTCAGCTCAATGAGAAGCACCATCTGCTGCTGAAGCTGTACCACGTCAGCTGCGAGGCCTCCAAGACCGGCCCCAAGACATCCTCTTCCTCCCTCAAGTCCAAGAACAACATCGAGTTCCCCATTGGCTTTGCCTGGTTGCCCTTGCTGGGAGACGGCAGGTTAGCAAGCCTGCAGCAGACAGACCACAACACTCTAGGGGGACACGAGTGGCCCAGTCGGCCATTGCCCATACCCCCATCGCCCCGTACTATAGGCGATGGGGGTACTGGGGCGCACCACCCTGGACAAGTTCCAGCCCCTGAAAATGCTTCCATGATGGTCTTATGTTTTATTTATTGTATGATGTCAACCACTGGATCATCATGTATGACTAGCAAAATGTAGCAACTGCTTAGCAAAATGTATGACTCGGCCTAGCCGAACTGCAGTTCGCTGTGGAGAGCTGTCTTGCTTAGGTGTGCCAGAAACCTGTGATTGTGGGTTCAAATCCTGCTTCACCCTGATTATGTTTCTAAGTTTGTCAGCACCATACCCATGCTGTTTTGTGTTTTGCCAAAGTGTTAAACGTCTGAGACCTGCACCACTTTGAGCTTTTCTCCCTATCAAGCTGACACGCCATGATATAACTGAAATACTGTTCAAAGTGGCATCAAACCCAAGTCCCCCAGCTTCATATCGTGTCCATTGGTTTCATCAAAGCAGGGACTGCCTCCGTGGTCTAGTGGTAGAGCGTCCGCCCGGAGAGCCGAAGGTCCGGGGTTCGATCCCCAGCCGCGTCATACCTAATGATCTAAAAGATGGTACTTGTTGTTACCCTGTCTGTTGCTCGGCATTTAGGGGCTAAAACAAGGACTGTTTGGCTCGGAGTCCGTATAATGTGTCTGAGTGGGCTATTCATGTTAAACTGCGGCATGGTATCTCAGTGAGCTAGCACTAAAAATCGGCATCAGTCCGGACTAGTGCAAGCAGACACCCACACACGTGCATGCACGTCGCTATATATAAGTGCAATAATCTTGGATGCGATGTTAAACCCCATTTCCCCTCACCTCACCTCATCAAAGCAGTTGCCTTCTTGTATCAGCACAGTACCACACCCTGTACATAGGACTGCAGACAGGGAAGTGCACTCTGTGCTACCAAACTTGCTGCCACCTCACCCTGTACCTTATAGTAAGGCTAAAAACATAATAGTCTTGGTTCTCAGGCACCGCCCGCATCATCAGAAAGTCTGCCACACGTTAGGTTTTTATTTCCTTTTAAGAAAAAAAATGCCTAATACTTTAAGAAAAAACAATGCCATTCAATATAGCATGCAGTTACTTCCCTTTACATGTGCACTGCTTCACTGTGCATCTTGTGTTATGGTCATGGCGGCAATAGGAGTTTGTATGCTTGTTTATGTAGGGAGGCCCTTTCCCAGGTCGATGGTACACTGTTTATCTGGCTACATACTAGTTTGAACAAGCAAAAAAATAAATAACCACCGCCCACCCACACTACATGTTTTATAGTCATTGCCTGAGAACCAATTCTTGTATTTTTTAAGCCTAACCTTAATGGTCGCTGTGTTTCAGGATCTCGGTGGGCGAGCGGACGATCAAGGTGGCTGTGAACCTACCCCCGGGCTACCTCAACAGCGAGTCTCTGGGGCTGGGCAGAGGGGTAAGTAAGGAAAGTCGAGTTCTAGTTCCCTCTGCTTTCAAAGCCAAGCTTTGAGGCGGGTTGGTTGGCCTAGATCCTGCTTGTATGTAGCCATGCTTCCAGCTGGTTCGGTGTAGCAATAGTGCTTATATATCTTATGAATACAGTGTCTGACATTAAGTCTGGAAATCAAGGGGTCCTGGTCCTGACCTGATGTAAAGGTTACAAGGGGGCACGGGTGTCCCAGTTGTCTAAGGCGCCGCAATTCGCTGTGCAGAGTTGCGTCCCTTGGATACGCCAGAAACCTATGATTGTGGGTTCGAATCCCGGTTCACCCTGATTGTGTTTCTAGGTTTGTCAGCACCATACCCGTGCTCGTGGGTTTCACCGAAGTGGTAAACGTCTGAGACCTGCATCACTTTGGGCTTTCCTCCCACATTAAGCTGACACACTGCGATATAACTGGAATACTGTTAAAAGCGGGGTTAAACCCAACTCACTCACTCACTCACTCACTCACTTTAAGGTTACAAGTTGGGAGGGCTGTGTAAGGTGTTCAGATGAGTCGTTCACCCCAGGACTTCTCTTAATTACAGACACTGTGAATTATTAGCTCACTGCTTCAAACTTGGTGATGGTCATATATGTTGGACTCGGATATATCAGCCATAGAAACAAACCTTTTTTTATAGTCCACTAGTCCGCTAGTCTTATAATAACATATTGCAAAACCCTTTAAAATGGCAGATTTCTTTTAGTCCTTATGATACCTAAGCACAGGGCAGTTTGGCAAGGACTAACTTAAAGGTTTGATAATTATGATAATCAATGATATCCTCCCTATCACTACTCAAACCAAAGGGAAGTAACTCTATTCTGAAGTTATCATGTTTAAACTTCTTACGTAGTAGGTACAATGCAAACTTACTGGAACAGCAAATGCAGAACATTAATGAATGAGAAAAACCACATGTGTTGGGTGAAAGAGAGGGTCTCGTTTAATGACATAGGATTAAATTTTGCTGCCACTGTATGCTTGCCAGCCACAGGATATGGAAGTACGCTGAACTAAAAGCTGGACAATCCTGTCCAAGGGGAGGTAACTCCTACCGTTTTAATTTTTTTCACTCTGGAAAAACACATTATTTATGACTGATTGCAACAATTGAAACTATCGATTGTTATGCAAGCTATTGACGAGACCATTGCCATTTTCATATTACTATTCATATATAAATTACTATTGTAGAGCAAATAATTGCGATAGTTTGCGATCATTACACTCCAAAAGACTCATCTGTGTCATTTCCTGTTCTGTTTGGCCTGCAATGTAGATACTGAGTAACGATGATGTTTTTTAGTTCTTATCCCTTAACCAACTCCAAAGATTAACCTTGACCCTATGCATAGTGAATGGTGCCTTAGAGCCAAGTACCAAAGGAGAAACAAGGACGAAACACAAGAATCTTGACAGGAAGGACCTCTGACATGGAGTGTATAATGTGTAATCTAAGATGAGAGACCCACCATTGATCTGAGTCCTACATATATGCCTTAATTTGCTCCTTGGTACTTGCTATCCTATAAATATAACATGTGTTTATTTGCAGTACTATGTAGCAGTATGTGTTGTCATTGTCTTTGATCAGAATTCCAGATTGATATGTCAGCTGAATAACATGTTAGGCTTACAAAAATGAAAGAATTGGTTCTCAAGCAATGGCTTTTGAAAACATAGTTAGCGGGCGGGGTTTATGTAATTTTTTTGCTTGTTCAAACAAATGTAACTAAATAAACTGCTGTGTACAATCAACCTGGGAAAGGGCACCCCTACATAAATGTATTACTTATTGAGCAAAATACATGAATACTGTATGACCATAACACCAGATGTGCAGTAAAGCAGAGCTCATGTAAAGGGAGGTAACTGCTCACTATATTGGATAGCATTGTTTATAAGTACCATGTATTGTAGCATTTCACTGCCGGGGTCATGTATTCAACATGTGGAAAATGTAGGGATTTTTTTTTTTTTTTTTTTTTTTTAAATGGAAAAAAAAACGAAAGGTGCAGCAGACTTGATGATGATGTGGGCGATGCCTGAGAACCAAGAATATATCTTTATTTAGCTTTAATGATACACGGAGATAGGCAATAGGTGTAACGTGTGTTGATAAGTTGTTGATAGTATTTCAATCATGTAGCATGTTTAATGGTACAAAGTTGTCCTTAGCATTGCAGGTAATTTCAAAGGGTAATAATTCACTTTGTGTTCATATATCCATAAATATTATTGGGAAAGGCCATCTGAATTAAAACTAGTTAGCCTGCTACAAACAAGCTGTAAAACACAACTGTTATACATTTCTAAATATATTAAATCCTGTTTACAGTAAATATGAAATCGTGTCCTATATCGATTGCCAATATATATTTTTGTTGTATCTGCTAGACGAGGGGCAGAAGCCCAAGTCTTTTTCATGAATAAATTTCTGTTCCATTCTGTTCTGTTCTGTGTTGATAATGTTCTTTTGTGTTTTACAGTTTGAGTAACTGATTGTATAAATATTTTGTATTTTAAATGATCTGGTGACAATATAGAAAATACTATACTAAGAATATAAGTTATTTGTTAATGTAAGTGTGTTCTCAATATATCTGCGTTTTTGCCATCAATAGTGAAAGATCGATAATGTCATTTAATTTCTTCTTGTTATGAAATAAATATGTTTTGGCTGATAAAAGACAAAATGTTTATATTGAGGCCAGACCAAATTCATTTCTTGTTTATACAAAGAGGCAGGAGGCAAAATGATGTTAAAAGAGCAGTATCTGTGACCAGGGGGTGTTGATGTGGAATGTGTGTTACAGAACTCAGGGCCAGACATCAAGTGGGTGGAGGGAGGCAGATCTCTCTTCAAACTTGGCATCCGACTTATGTCGACCATCTACACTCAGGTACGACACAATCACTAGTCAAGGATAAGAAACATGTCACGTAAATTAATATCCACGAAGAAATGTATTCAGTAATTTTATCACATTTTGGGCCTGTCTCTTCAAAATTCCATGGACCGCCTCCGTGGTCTTGTGGTAGAGCGTCCGCCCGGAGAGCGGAAGGTCCGGGGCTCGATCCCCGACCGCGTCATACCAAAAGACGTTAAAAGATTGTACTTGTTGTTACCCTGTCTGGCGCTCGGCATTAAGGGGCTAAAACAAGGACTGGTCGGCTCAGAGTCAGTATACTGTGTCTGAGTGGGGTATTCATGTTAAACTGCGGCATGGTATCTCAGTGAGCTAGCACTATAAATCGGCATCAGTCCGGACTAGTACAAGCAGCCACACATACACCTGCATGCACATCGCTATATAAGTGCAATAATCTTGGACGCGACGTTAAACCCAATTTCACCTCACCTCACCTCAAAATTCCATGTGAAAATATGGACATTTGAATGTGGCTGTTATGTTGTCTCCCTGGTACAACCAATGCTGTTCTGTTCTCCTCCCCAGGACCAGCATCTGCACAACTTCTTCCAGCAGTGTCAGAAGATGGAGAGTGACACCTCCCTGGCCGTCGACATGAACAGTGTCAACAAACTCAAGGTAATTGTCTCACCTGGGAAAGGTCATTTACCTTAATTCAATAATCATCACTTCATTTAATAATACACAAATGAACTGATATCATACTTGACATATTTAATGTCTCATCTAAAGATACATTGGCAACAATATTTTAGCTTTTCAGTCATGAGGCTTTCAGATTGGAAATTTTGTCGAGCACTCAGTCCAAAATGAAATGAAAAATATGATTACTGATTTAGTCATTTTCTAATTTTCTTTTTCAAAGGGGCGGTCGGGTAGCCTAGTGGTTAAAGCGTTCGCTCGTGATGCCGAAGACCCGGGTTCGATTCCCGACATGGGTACAATGTGTGAAGCCCATTTCTGGTGTCCCCCGCCGTGATATTGCTGGAATATTGCTAAAAGCGGCATAAAACCATACTCACTCACTGCAAAAATGCATTATGAGTCGTCAAGGGAGCTAAGTCTATTGCAAAACCTCAACAATTCAGTTCTGTGTGTGCAGGGAACTAGTATGTCAAGTATGATGTGATGTATGCTACTCAAAACAAGTTTAGGAACACCCACAATTGGAAGACGGTATTCACGAGCCATGACATAATTAACTATGATTTGATTTGATTTGGTCATGAAATAATCGGGTGTTCCTTAACTTCTTTTGAGTAGTATATATATGTGTTCCTATCCATCAGTTATATCATTAAATGTGTTTCATGGTTGATATTAATCCATTAATTCATTGCACCGTTCATAACTGCATTCTCATCAGTAGCTGTAGATGTATGTATAGGACTAATGCATGGAGGTAGCAACTCAACCGGTGTATGCGTCCGTACACTGGACACAGTGCAGACAGTGCAGGTGCTTGTTATTGTGTTCTCATGCCTTGTAATGAATTCATCGTCTATTTAAGCAATAAGTTTAAACAAGCATACAATTTATCCCCACAAATCAGAGTGACTCGGACGATTCAGAGAATTCCGACGACAGTTCTGATTGGTTGTCAAACTTGATAAAGGTATTTCTTCCATCCTGTCATGTGACCTGTCCTACCTGTTGTCTTCTCGGTGTCTTCTTTACGCCCTCTTGTTTTGTAATACTGTAATTTGTTTACAATAAGTGGGTTCTTTGGTAAAGTGTGTATGATAAGATTTTGTCATTTGTTTTAAGCAATCCTATATTTTCGCAAAAAATACATATAATTGGTTCTGAGGCACTTAGATTAAAATCAGTATTGTGGGATGAAATGGTCAATCCTGGGATAGTTTTAAAGTACTGTATTCGCCATAATAAGTACACGCAAATTGACGAAGGGGGGGCGTTTAATAAAAATAATTATCAAGTTAAATTTGATCTGAGAGATCTAGCAATAGAGAACAAAATGAGTTTAAATGTTTCTGGATCTGAAACATTTTCAACAATAGTTACTTAAGTACTCACGGAAATGAAAAAAAACCTGTATTTTTCGACCTCAGATCTTAAATAAATGCAGTTAATATACAAAATATGTAAATATTCAAACAACTAAATTAGTACTAATTGGTCCGTGGCACAAATACAGCGTATCAAATGTTTTTATGCCTTTTTACACGTAAAAGTGTGTAAAAATGTGAATAAAACAGACTATTGTGAAACAGGGCATAACCAGGTGTAAGTAGATCAAGGTGACCTATGACACCTTGACGACAGGTGAGAACAGGTGCATAATGCCTATAGTCTGTTTCTGCTATGTCAATTTGGACTTAGTTTTATTTTTTAATGTTGACAGTGCCGACAAATTACCTCCTGTAAAGTACATTTTGTATTGTTCACTGAGATCAAACTAGCAAATCCAGACTAGTACTTTTCAAGTTGTTTCGTTATTTCGTATTTACAGCTGCGTAACACTTTGTGTCGATTTTTAAATTGAGAAAAAGTTTTTTTTCATTTCCGTGAGTACTTTAGGCAGTTATATTCCAATTCTACTGCTGTGTTTACTTAAAAAGATCTGTAATACGCACAAGAGAATATGAATGTAAATTTTCAGGCAGTGTATTGGGAGCTTTCATTGATTGCTTACACAGATTGGTCTGGAAGTTGCTCAGGGCTTATTGGAGCAAGGTGCTTAGTACTGCGAATACAGTATATGTTTTTAGATGAAGTGACAGCCTAGTACACAGGTGTGATTAATGTTCATGCTTTGATATCAAAGCCTCAGAACCAAGAATACTTTTCTTTGTCTTAGATTAGATAAGATGTATGTTGTAAAGAAGACGGGAAAGTTTTCTCTAAGATTTGTTTTCAATTTGCTTGCTTTTTGGATCTGCAGACCCCATTTTTAGAAATTTGAATTAGGCTTAATTTTTTTATTATTATTATTAAAAGTTTCTTCCGCATATTTTTTTTAAAAAAGTGAGGAGGGAGGTCTGTCTTGGTATATAATTTTTTTTTAAACAAAAGTGATGCGGGATGATGATATCGTATGTTCATGGGTTTTCGGACATCATACAGCAGTAACTGTTACTCTGCTGTAACAGGGGATGTAGCGTCATACAGACAATGTAAATACTCTGATGATGGCTTTTTTTAAAGAGAAAGTTGTCTTTTATAAGTGAGTGAGATGTTTTACATTTATTCATTTGCTTAGCGAGAAAACTATGAATGTTTCTTAAGCGTCTGAATACCCATAAAATGGGGAATAGTTATTTTTCTCACCAAGACACAACTGAGCACATTGAACTTGGCTCTTTAATAAATGTCAGCTGTCAAGCGTGTTGATAACAGAGTATGTTTCACATTACTTGGGAAATTTAAAAATATTGGGGTTTTTTTTGTAACAAAAATGACTGACAAGCAGGATTTATAGTGACGTGACGTGTTAATACGCAAGAAACATTTTTCTATTTTTTCTTAGCCTTTGAGTTCATATTTAAAAACATTTATGTTTCTTCCCCCTCAATCTGTTAACTTGTATCAATAAAAAACAGTAGATTGATTTAAGGAGACTCTTCAAGAATCACCTTTCTTCCTTTTTTTTTCTTCCTTTTTTCACTCTACGAGTCTTTACTGGGATTACTTTTTCCTATTTTTATTTTTCAGGTTTTTATTTTTATTTTTTAATCCAATTTATTGTGGATCAATTAATTTTGCTTCAGCTAAAGAATCTTGTTGCTTTATAAAGTTTAGTTCATTTATTGTTTTCTGATTATAAAATGACTTTAAGACATGCTAATGCAGACTTGTCAAGTTTCTTTGCTTCAGTGCTTGGGGTTGTATCATTTGATGTTCGGGATTTATGACATTCAGCTTCATGCATTGGTGGCCCAGTTGTCTCAAACATCACAATGTCCTTGTAGACTAACCTCCCTTAGACATAGCAGGATCAGCTGATTGATTGTTGACATGACACATTGTCCCACATGAGGCTCACATACCATGATATAATCAGTGTTGGACCTTATCACTGATTGATTGTTGACATGACAAATAAAATTGTAAATAGGTAATTTTGCAGTAGTTAAAATTTGTATTTATCAAAAACATATGATTAACTAAGACAGAGTTGAACACTTGATAAGTATATAGATTTTACAAAGAATCAGGAGGGTATCACTATGGGTTGGCTGTGGGTTCATTTTTTATTTGATTTTGTATGAGTTTGTGTATTGTAGTCAAGGTAAGTTCCCCTACGTTATTCTGACTGTGTCTGATATGAAGACTTAGCAGAATAATACTGGATAGCAGGTTATTATTGTGGTTTATACCTCATAGCAGGGTATTATTGTGGGTTATACCTCACAACAGGTTATTATTGTGGGTTATACCTCATAGCAGGTTATTATTGTTGGTTATGCCTCATAGCAGGTTGTTATTTTGGGTTATACGAATTAGCAGGTTACTATTGTGGGTTACACCTCATAGCCGGTTATTATTGTGGGTTATACCTCACAACAGCTTATTATTATGGGTTATACCTCATAGCAGGTTATTATTGTTGGTTATGCCTCATAGCAGGTTATTATTGTTGGTTATACCTCATAGCAGGTTATTATTGTGGGTTATACCTCATAGCAGGTTATTATTGTTGATTATACCTCATAGCAGGTTAATATTGTTGGTTATGCCTCATAGCAGGTTATTATTGTGGGTTATACGAATTAGCAGGTTACTATTGTGGGTTACACCTCATAGCAGGTTGTTATTGTGGGTTATACGAATTAACAGGTTATTATTGTGGGTTACACCTCATAGCAGGTTGTTATTGAGGGTTATACAAATTAGCAGGTTATTATTGTGGGTTATACAAATTAGCAGGTTTTTATTGTGGGTTACACCTCATAGCAGGTTATTATTGTGGGTTACACCTCATAGCCGGTTATTATTGTGGGTTATACCTCACAACAGGTTATTATTGTGGGTTATACCTCATAGCAGGTTATTATTGTTGGTTATGCCTCTTAGCAGGTTATTATTGTGGGTTACACCTCATAGCCGGTTATTATTGTGGGTTATACCTCACAACAGGTTATTATTGTGGGTTATACCTCATAGCAGGTTATTATTGTTGGTTATGCCTCTTAGCAGGTTATTATTGTGGGTTATACCCCATAGCAGGTTATTATTGTGGGTTATACCTCATAGGATAAGGATTATCTTTGTTTATATGACTGGGAGTGGGTCTCACTTGAGCTTGGATCTCTTTACCATCAGGAATTGTTCATATTTATTCAACACAGTTTCATGACCATTTTCTCATTGTGAATGTTAATGAAGAGAGAATGTTAATGTTGTGTGTTCCACCTCCTTGTATGAAGTGCTCTCATCATTTTGTTGAATGAATTCTCCGTTATGAACAATGTGTATACATGATGCATAAAACAATATTAGCCATGGATGCTTGTATTTTGCTTTCCATATTGTGTGCATGAATATCTTGCCATTAATCGTACGGCAATGCATGATCATTTGATAACATGATTTCAGCTGTCAACAGTTTTGTATGGCCTTTGCATCTGATGCTTGTGGTTGCATATTATCCTAGTTTTCAGGTGGTGATTGAAAACAAAGTGACATTTTTACACAATTTCTTTGTCAATTTGCCAACAGAGAGAAAATTAGACATGTTGTCCCGTGTTGAATTAAACTTTATTATCTTACCCAAAAGTCTTAACAAAAAATTTATAGAAAAGATTTCTTTTCATTTTGTTAATATTTTAAATATATATTTTTCCACCTTTATCCATGCTCCTGTTTCATAAAGTGATCTTAGCCTTACCAGATGTAGCACTGAGGTTACTCTGTAAAACAAGGCTTAGGGCAGTATCCCTTTCCCTTAACAGTTATCTCCCTTGCATGGCCGACAGTAAAATTAAAATGTGTGATGTTATGATATATACCCTAAAATGGATATTAGGTATAGTTGTTACAGTAATATAAGGGTAAAGCTATTTTTCAGGGTGTTATCATTTGCAAAAGCGAATGGTCTTCCATTAACTGCCCGATGAAGGAGGGCAGTTTGAAAGACCGAGGGCTTCTGCAAATGATAATGCCCTGGAAAATAGCATTTCCGTTATTATAGCTAAAATGGATAGAATTTCAAATAAAAACAAATGACAATATCAGTTTTGAAACATTTACTGCAATCAACACACAACTAATGTCACTGACCCGCTTTTACAAATATGGAAACGTCATAGAACAAACCAGATGACGTCACAGTTGAACATCAATATGACGTCACCTAACAACGAACGTGATAATGGCCTATCGTCAAGCAATATGAGGGCATTATCAAGTTACAGTGACCCCCTCATTTCTGATAACATACAGGCGCTTAAATGATAATGCTATCCATTTTAGCTATAATAGCTGATATGATATATCTGTGAGGCTCCTTATTCATGCCTAGACAAGATTAGAATGGATTTCAGTAAATAATTTGCCTGGTCAACACTTGATTGTTTACAGGCCACATCAATATAACAGAAAAATTACTGATTGTGTGGTTAAACCACATTCACTCACTCACCCTATGTTGCCATGGTTGCTGACATGTGTGGCTGTGTTTCAGTCCCTGCTGGCGGTGGAGGTCTCTGTCTACATCCAGTTCCTCCCCACCCTCCTCAACCAGCTCTTCCACCTCCTTGCCCGCACCGCCAACGAGGATGTCGGCATCAACGCCGTCAGGTTCGCTCACCAGCCATTTTATAGCTCTCCATAAACATGTGTTACATGCTTTGATAATTTTCAGAATCTGTCTGATCAGATTGTCTTGATGTGTATGGTGATCCATAATGTGCCGCTCAGAGTTTGTATCCCTTAGATGTGCCAGGATCTGCTTTTAATAGGTTGTATGTATCTGAGTATCACTAAAATGGTAATCATCCTCAATCTATAACACTTCAGGCTTTCCTCTCACAGTAAACTGACAAATATAAGTAAAATACTGTTCAAAGTGACCCATGAAGATTCGGGTAGAGAATAGGTCTTCAACAACCCATGACTAAAAGCGGCGTAAAATCAAACTCACTCACTCAACAACACATGCTTGTTGTAAGAGGCGACTAATGGGATAGGGTGGTCAGGCTCACTGACTTGGTTGATGCATGTCATCGTATCCCAACTGTGTAGGTCAATGCTCATGGTGTCAATCACTGGATTGTCTGGTCCAGACTCGATTATTTACAGACTGCCGTCATGCAGCTGGAATATTGCTGAGTGCGATGTTAAGCAACAAACAAACAAACTGTTCAAAGTGAACTACTGTCTGATGTATGTGTTGTGTCCACAGAGTGCTGATCCATGTGGTGTCAGAAGTCCACGACAACAGCAAGGAGGAACTTCTCCAGAAATATGTCAAGGTTAGTAGCCAACAACAATCCATGCCCCTGGGGAACGCTGAAGTGCATTCCCAGCCAAGTTTAGGAATTATGGCTGGGACGATACACTGACTGTACGATCCGATTCGTATCACGATACTTTGCTCATGATCCAATATATATCATGGTACTTTGCTCATGACGCAATATGTATCATGATACTTTGCTCATGATCCGATACGTATCTTTGTACTTTGCTCATGATCCAATACGTATCTTTGTACTTTGCTCATGATCCAATACGTATCTTTGTACTTTGCTCATGATCCAATACGTATCTTTGTACTTTGCTCATGATCCAATACGTATCTTTGTACTTTGCTCATGATCCGATACGTATCATGGTACTCTGCTCATGATCCGATACATATCATTGTACTTTCTCATGATTCAATACGTATCTTTGTACTTTGCTCATGATTCAATACGTATCATGATACTGGATTGTTGCTTATGCTTTCAGTCACTTGTCTACCTGGTCCAGACTTGATTGTTTATAGATTGCCATTAGTAGTGGGGAGAAACACCTATGCGTCAGTGGAAGCAATTTTTTACTTCTCGATACAAATATTGATCACAATCGCACACTAAGTAAAAAGTATCGATTCTTACCCTAAATGTATTCTTTAATAAATGCTACACCAAATACTAATTTCTAGTGAAAACGAGTAGTGAAAATGTAAATATCTTCATTCATTGCGCCATACTTGACACTGCCAACTGTGAATTGTTAGTGTGCCAGGTATTTTGGCATCCTGTCTATGGAAAAGATGGCTTACGCACCACAGATAAGAGCACATACAAGTATTGTGATACGTATCAGATCGCATAGTTGGTATATCGCATATCGTCCCAGTCCTAGTTGTCATGGTGTAGCTGGAGTATGGTTTTAAACAACACTCATGCAGTCACTCACTCCCATCGAACATAATGATCATTTCCAATGCTGTTCAGTATATGTGATATATGCATTATCTATATGCCCCCTGGGGATTACAGGTTCGAATAGCTGCCCAGCAGCCTATGCTTGCCATGTGAGGCAGCTAAATGGATCAGGTTGTCAGATTTGGTGGCCTGGTTTGTTGCATGTCATGGTACCATGATGGCGTGGGTATTGCCTTTATATCTACCACCGGTTTGTTCATTCGGCCTCACATTCGATTAATTCCAGGTCACCTTCATATGGCTGGAATATTGCCCCTGTTGATTGGCTGTTCCATTCATTGATTGTTGATTGGCTGTTCTATTCATTGATTGTTGATTGGCTGTTCCACTCATTGATTGTTGATTGGCTGTTCCATTCATTGATTGTTGATTGGCTGTTCCATTCATTGATTGTTGATTGGCTGTTACATTCATTGATTGTTGATTGGTTGTTACATTCATTGATTGTTGATTGGCGGTTACATTCATTGATTGTTGATTGGCTGTTACATTCATTGATTGTTGATTGGCGGTTACATTCATTGATTGTTGATTGGCTGTTAAATTCATTGATTGTTGATTGGCGGTTACATTCATTGATTGTTGATTGGCTGTTACATTCATTGATTGTTGATTGGTGGTTACATTCATTGATTGTTGATTGGCTGTTACATTCATTGATTGTTGATTGGCTGTTACATTCATTGATTGTTGATTGGCTGTTACATTCATTGATTGTTGATTGGCTGTTACATTTATTGACTGTTGATTGGCGGTTACATTCATTGATTGTTGATTGGTTGTTACATTAATTGATTGTTGATTGGCGGTTACATTCATTGATTGTTTATTGGTTGTTACATTCATTGATTGTTGATTGGCTGTTATATTCATTGATTGTTGATTGGTTGTTACAGTACATCTTCCGTCCTGACCCGGTTCAGAAGGGCAGCAAGCAGAAGACAGTCCACGAGGAGCTGGCAAGGAGTCTGACGTCCATGCTGCGCCCGGCCAATGCAGACCCGCTCGTCATACGCAAGTTCCTGGAGCACGCCTGGTTCATCTTCGAGATACTTATCAAGAGTATGACACAGTACCTGATTGACACGGACAGGGTCAAGGTGAGTTATAGATCATGGTCAAGGTTATTGTGAGGATTTTCATGGCGCTCATCCGAAGTATTCCACAGTACCTGGACATGGTTTCAAACATGTGTCACTCAACATTATATTTGTTACTCTGTAAGTTCATGATGATAAGAAAGTAATGTTAATTGTGGAGTTTTTTACTCTCCCTTATCTAATTGGAGGGATGAGAATTTTCCGTGGATTCGCAAATTTTAGTGACCACAAATTTGTTAAAATCTAATCACTTTCCCCATAAACACCCCCAAATTACGGACCACGCTCCAAGTTTCAGCTGAAAAGGAAAAAATCCATTCTAATCTCAGTAAATGTTTTTGTTCTCCTGCATGAGATTGATGCTACTCTGACTCTATGCTGCAGATGCCTAGGAATGAGAGATTTTCCCCGGACTACCAGTACCGTGTACAGAACCTGCTCCAGATCGTGGTGACGCTTATCTCACAGCGACACCAGGAGGAGGGCACGCAAAACGCCAACAGGAGCCTTGCGTTCTTTGTCAAGGTAAACATTCCATCATCTTCTCATTAACTCAATCATCCTCTCATTAACTCAATCATCCTCTCATTAACTCAATCATTCTATCAGTAACTCAATCATTCTATTAGTAACTCAATCATCCTCTCAGTAACTCAATCATCCTCTCAGTAACTCAATCATTCTATCAGTAACTCAATCATCCTCTCATTAACTCAATCATTCTACCAGTAACTCAATCATTCTACCAGTAACTCAATCATCCTCTCATTAACTCAATCATCCTCTCATTAACTCAATCATTCTACCAGTAACTCAATCATCCTCTCATTAACTCAATCATCCTCTCATTAACTCAATCATCCTCTCATAAACTCAATCATCCTCTCAGTAACTCAATCATCCTCTCATTAACTCAATCATCCTCTCATTAACTCAATCATCCTCTCATTAACTCAATCATCCTCTCAGTAACTCAATCATCCTCTCATTAACTCAATCATTCTATCATTAACTCAATCATCCTCTCATTTACACACTCTCAGTAACTCAATCATCCTCTCATTAACTCAATCATCCTCTCATTAACTCAATCATCCTCTCAGTAACTCAATCATTCTATCAGTAACTCAATCATTCTATCATAAACTCAATCATCCTCTCAGTAACTCAATCATCCTCTCATTAACTCAATCATCCTCTCATTAACTCAATCATCCTCTCATTAACTCAATCATCCTCTCAGTAACTCAATCATCCTCTCATTAACTCAATCATTCTATCATTAACTCAATCATCCTCTCATTAACTCAATCATCCTCTCAGTAACTCAATCATCCTCTCAGTAACTCAATCATCCTCTCATTAACTCAATCATCCTCTCATTAACTCAATCATCCTCTCATTAACTCAATCATTCTATCATTAACTCAATCATCCTCTCATTAACTCAATCATCCTCTCAGTAACTCAATCATCCTCTCAGTAACTCAATCATCCTCTCAGTAACTCAATCATCCTCTCAGTAACTCAATCATCCTCTCAGTAACTCAATCATCCTCTCGGTAACTTAATCATCCTCTCAGTAACTCAATCATTCTATCAGTAACTCAATCATTCTATCAGTAACTCAATCATTCTATCATAAACTCAATCATCCTCTCAGTAACTCAATCATCCTCTCATTAACTCAATCATCCTCTCATTAACTCAATCATCCTCTCATTAACTCAATCATCCTCTCATTAACTCAATCATCCTCCCATTAACTCAATCATCCTCTCATTAACTCAATCATCCTCTCATTAACTCAATCATCCTCTCAGTAACTCAATCATCCTCTCATTAACTCAATCATTCTATCAGTAACTCAATCATTCTATCAGTAACTCAATCATCCTCTCATTAACTCAATCATCCTCTCATTAACTCAATCATTCTATCAGTAACTCAATCATCCTCTCATTAACTCAATCATCCTCTCATTAACTCAATCATCCTTTCAGTAACTCAATCATCCTCTCATTAACTCAATCATCCTCTCATTAACTCAATCATTCTATCAGTAACTCAATCATCCTCTCATTAACTCAATCATCCTCTTGGTAACTCAATCATCCTCTCAGTAACTCAATCATTCTATCAGTAACTCAATCATTCTATCATAAACTCAATCATCCTCTCAGTAACTCAATCATCCTCTCATACTGTCCCTTGGGTCCTCAACAACCTATGCTGGTTGTAAGAGGTGACTAAATGGATTGGGCGGTCAGATTGCATGAGTTGGTTGATGGCTTGTCAACGTCCCCTGACAGAGTTAGAGCAGTGCTCCTAATATCAATCACTGGATTGCCTGGTCCAGACATGATTATCAACAGGCCGTCATCATATAGGTGGAATACTGCTGAGTGCTGTGTTTAACAACAAACAAATAAACATTCCCTCATTCACTCATGCCATGTTAATGTTTCAGAACTGTTTCACATTAATGGACCGAGGCTTTGTGTTCAAGTTGGTGGCCAAGTACATCGAAATCTTCAATGTTGCCAACAACAAGGTAGGTATTTTAACGATGAGAAGCAAAATCAGGGAAATAAATAATCTGGCTCTCTTTCCCTTTCTCCTCTTCTTGTTTCTGTAACAGACGTGGTGCTGAGGGAGTGTAACTAACACAAGGTTTCCTGTGTGGGAAGTTGACTGTTACACTGTTGGCGTTTACTTTTGTTAACATTGTGTGTTTACTACTGTTACTGTTACTGTTACTGTTACTGTGATGTTTGAAGGAACTTTGGAAGCTGTATGATCAGAGCAAGAACCCCTCGTGTTCTGCTGACACGACATGTTTGGTGGTAAGAATTTACACAGCTTGCTGACCTAGACACTGATACGTGGCTCTTTGTTATCTGTGAAGACTAAATGTGTATACTCTTTAGTTTTCCTAAGCCTATTTGAGAAATTCAATACCGTATTCGACGTAATAAGCACCCAGGGTGCTCTTAAAATTAGAAATAGGGGGCTCTTATTAGTATATAACTTTCGTGAGAGAAAAAACAGAGTTGAAAGTTTGTAAATTTCGTGTTTTATGCTGACAGCCTGAAATGATACAAAAGAAAAGTCTGTGCGTATATACACGACAGATATATTTTTCTAGAATTTAATTGCCTGTAGTTAAGGGTGCATATACACGAATAAATAAGTCTTGTGTACATTGAACAATCGGAAGGGGTGCCAATGGGGATTGTTCACCAGCCAATATATTAGCAAAAATCGCCGTGGGCGCTTATTAGAGCGGGGCGCTTATTACATCGAATACGGTAATTTGCACATTCCCATAGCTGACATATTTCAAGGAAACTGTTCAACAAAGTTGTTTTTGTCAAGATAACAAGTTGCCACACGTAGTTGTCCAATTGGATGTCACCTGAACCAGAGGTTCATGTGAGCTAATGCCTTGGCATGGTGTCTGTCGTCTAACAATCCATCTGTTTGTGTGAATGTTTCATTTTCTGTATCTCCTCTCAAACCAAAGGCATGTGATGCTGACACTAGAGAGGCAGGCAATGTTGTTCCCTAAAGATCCTCACAGATTTCCATCCAATCAGAATTTAAGCATGGCTGTGTTACGGCTGCCAAATTGAAAATGTCATTTTTGATCAGTATTCAGGCATTGTTTTATCATGAAATTTGATAATGCATACATAGTTGGTAGCAAATTAACTAATTAAGAAAATGAACAACTTCTGGTTTATTGTATATAGCGATGTTTTTTTATGTAGATTCTTACACCGTTATCAAGAGTTTATCCAGAAGTTGTTCTCCTTAAAGTTCAGCGGTAGAAACTAACAGTTTCAGTCCACTAGTCCTTATAATGATAACGTATAGCAAAACCCTTAAAAATGGCAAATTTCTACTAGTCCTTATGATACCCTAACTATTGGGCAGTTTGTCAAGGACTACAGGACTAGTGCAAATTGTAACGCTGAAGTTGTATGTTTTCTTATGTATTCACCAACTTCTAGAATGCCTATCGAACAGAAAGTTAGTAATGGTATGACGGAGGCTGAAACTACCCACAGTTTCTGATTTCTATCTTGCTATGACAGCCTCCCTGGTCTAGTGGTAGAGCGTCCAAGCAGCCACACACACACATACACGTGCATGCACATCGCTATATTAAGTGCAATAATTTTGGACATGACGTTAAACCCCATTTCACCTCACCTCACCTCACCTCACCTCACCTCACCTCACCTCACCTCACCTCACCTCACCCCACCTCACCCCACCTCACCCCACCTCACCTCACCCCACCTCACCTCACCTCACCTATCTTGCTATGTGTGCTGCAGGTTGAATTAACTTCCAGGAATGTTGGGTTAAGGTATTGACTCACCTCCTGTCCTTATTCACCATGGGGGCACACATGGCCCAGTCATCCAAGGCGCCGTATTTCGCTCTACAGAGTTGCGTCCCTTGGGCACGCCAGAAACCTATGATTGTGGGTTCGAATCCCGGTTCACCCCGATTATGTTTCTCAGCATCATACCCCTGCTTGTGGGTTTCACCGAAGTGGTAAACATCTGAGACCTGTATCACTTCGGGCTTTCCTCCCTCATTAAGCTGACACGCCGTGATATAACTGGAATACTGTTAAAAGCTGTGTTAAACCCAACTCACTCACTCACTTATTATTCACCGTAGTAAGCTCCAGGGTGCTTAGGAAGTTGATAAATGGGTGTGCGTATCAAAACCATCCACAAGTTAAATTTGATTTCAAGACGTCAATCGGTTATACAGGGAACAAGCTAAATTCAAACATCACTGAATCTAACAAAACTATAATAGTTAGTATAGATACAAGACATATATATATCCCCTCTGGGCTTCTGTTTTCTGCAAAACATTTGTATTTTACACAAGAAAATATGAACTGTCATGTCAATTTTCAGTCTTATACAGGGTAGCTTATATAGATTACTTACATACTGGACTAGGAGTTGGTCAGGGTGTGCTTACTGGAACTGGGCACCTGATATGGTGAATATGGTATGTCATCCCAACAATTGTGTTGCCCACAGAATTCAAATCCTATTTCAATGGTGCCAAAATGTGCTCATCCTATGTACTAGGTCAGTATTTATTATGACTTTCCCAACTTTGATTTGAAGTAATGTTTATGTATGAGGTTACAAACCCCCCAACATTCAGGTGAGCTGCTGAGCCTCATGGCCGAACCTCTCAGCAGAAGAAAGTAACCTTAGAATAACTGGCCAAATAACCGTATTCGCCTCAAGAAATGCGGCTTGTTGAATAGAGGTGTGTCTTTTGTCTGAATGTGCATTGGGTCTCATACACTAACCACAGGATGTACTGAGTTCTAGCTAGGTTACTATGACAAATAATGACATTGCAAGTGATTCCATGGCTTTTGATTGGCTAACCAAGGAAATGTGTTTGTGTTCGTTTCCATACCCCACAAAAAAGTAGGCCATGCCCACAACTGAACTTGTGTTTCCTGATGGGCTTCGTCACTGATTTCATATTGTTGTTAAATAAGCAGTCTATGAATTTTTTATCTTTGCCTTTTTTATTTATAAGAATTGACTGAAAAATATATTTACAGTGTGCATGCTTTGGATTTATGCAGATTTTCACAGTGTGCACAGGGGCGGTCGGGTAGCCTAGTGGTTAAAGCGTTCGCTCGTCATGCTGAAGACCTGGGTTCCATTGCCGATATGGGTACATATGAAGCCAATTTCTGGTGTCCCCCGCCATGATATTGCTGGAATATTGCTAAAAGCGGCGTAAAACCATACTCATTCACTCACAGTGTGCACATAAACACAAATACATTGAAGTCACTTCTTCGATATCCCAGTTGTCCAAGGCACTGGAATTTGCTGTGTGGTGTTGCATCAGTTAGGTGTACCAGAAACCCGGGATTGTGATTCGAATCCCTGTTCACCCTCGTTATGATTCATGGGTTCACTGAAGTGGTAAAGATCTGAGACCAGCATCAATTCGGGCTTTCCTCCCAAATCAAGCTGACACGCCATAATATAACTGGAATACTGTTAAAAGCGGCATTAAACCCAACTCACTCACTCACTATTGCTGCTATGATCTTTTTGTGTTTATTTATGAACACAGATAAAGTATAGAGTGTAACACAATATGAAGGGGCTATCTACTTCCAGATTCCATGCTGTGATATACCGTATTCGACGTAATAAGTGCCCGGGCGCTCTCAAAATTAGGAATAGGGGTCTCTTAATAGAATATAATTTTGGTGAGAAAAAAAACAGAGTTGAAAGATTGTAAATTTTGTAGTTTATGCCGACAGCCTGAAAAGATACAAAAGAAAAGTATGTGCGTATCATACGCGACAGATATATTTTCCAGAATTTAATGGCCCATAATTAAGGGTGCATATAACACACAAGTGCGTATTATACATGAACAAATAAGTCTTGTGTACATTGATCAATCGGAAGGGGTGCTAATTGGGATTGTTCACTAGCCAATATATTAGCAAATATCGCTGTGGGCGCTTATTAGAGCGGGGCGCTTATTACGTCGAATACGGTATGTGGAATATTTTCAAAATGGCATTAAGCCAAACTCATTCACTCTGAAAAATAGAAATGTTTACCAAATTGGGTCCATATGTTTGTTTGTAAACCTTTCCTATGGTTAGAATTTTTTGTTCTATTTTTTTATTGTGATTGTAAAAGATATGCTCTAATTAACAAATGCATCCAGTTTATGCTATTGTGTGGATTGTTTCTGCCCACTAAATCAGTTGGACCACTGTGTCTGTAGCCCTGCCTGCCTGCCTGCCTGCCTGCCTGCCTGATGACTGTGTGATCTGATCAGGGGCCTGTTTCATAAGATGATTGTAGCACTAAGACTGTCGTAAGTCTTTGTTGAAGTTTTGAAGTTACGATAGTCATAGCACTACGATCATAGCTTTATGAAATTGGATCCAGGGCCCCATTCCACAAAGCTATAGTTGCGCTAAGGTGATCGTAGCTCCCATACTTTAACCTAGACTTATGACTGTCGTAGTGCTAAGGTGATCGTAACTCCCATATTTTAACATAGACTTACGACAGTTGTTGCCTTAAGGTGATCGTAACTCCCATAGTTTAACATAGACTTATGACAGTTGTTGTGCTACGAGGGCTATGTGGAGCAGGCCACTGGTCTTTAACATGTGTAACATGTTTGTACATAATTAGAATTTTTGGATAGATTCAAGATAAATAGAGGATGTTTCACGTGACAAGTGAAATATGTCCTTGCCCCCGTCACGAGATGAGACAAATATGACATTTCTCAAACACATGGAATATCCTATTTATACAAAGTAAATCGGGGGTATATAGCGTTCCGTCTGTCCGTCCTTCCGTCCGTCCGTCCGTCCGTCCGTCATTCTGTCCGAGCTTTGGTACAGCCCATAACTTTTTAACCACACACCCTAGCTTCACCAAACTTGCTACACACATTTACCACAATGAGTACTTGTGCCTTTTGCTAATTTGAAGATTCTGAATTTTTTAATTTTTGCCGTTTCCATGGACACATTAAGAAACTTGAACTTTTAGGGTGGGTGTTCTGTACAGCCCATATCTTTTTAACTATGCATCCTAGCTTCATCAAGCTTGCTACACACATTTACCACAATGAGTACTTGTGCCTTTTGCTAGTTTGAAGATTCTGAATTTTTTATTTTTGCCGTTTCCATGGAATCATGGTGAAACATAAATTTTGGGTAGAGTTTTTGTACGATCCATGTTTACAATATTATGTATCCTAGCTTCAGCAAACTTGCTACATTAACCACTATGATTGTTTTTTTTATCTTTTATAAGATTCTGAAAGTTTTCTCTTTTGCTGTTTTCATGGAAACATGATGGAATTTAGACATTTTGATGACTGGTTTTGTATAGCTAATATATTTTCCAAAATTGTTTCCACACATGTAGATCATCATAAGTATCTGTGCTTTATGTTAGTTTGAATTTATGAATTCATTACCATATCTGTTAAGGCTAGATGGAAATTATCAATTTATTGATTTTCTTATATGATATTGTTCCATTTTTTAAGTCCTAAATCTCCAATTATGTGTTTTTATATCAACAATTTTTGGTCCTTTTGATAATTCTTCTTATGTAACCCCTCAATCAAATTTTTATTCAAAGGTGTTCATGGTGATCTACTACCTCGTAAGTGAACACTGGTAACATGGGAGATTTTGGGGGGGTCAATTGTCACTGAAACTTAATCTTAGTTTTTAAAACATTGAAGTTAAAACAATTTACTATTTGTTGTTGACCAGCGGGGATAACGGGGGGTATGTGAGTTTTGCTCACTTCTTTCTTGTTTGTGATTTTGTCTACAGGAATGTTGTTGGGTTTTTTTCATAACATATGTAAAACCTTGAAGCGTAAATTCTCCCTGTGCAACTTTTTGTTTTGAAGCGGGGTATGAGGGATTTATTCTGCCCTCAGAAATCCACGTGCAGCCTGACTTGCTCGTGGCGGGGTATAAAATTTTTGGCGAAACCACATTATCAGTGGTTCTAATTTCAAACGGGAGCTATCTCTGTTGTTTTTCGTATTTGCGAGAAATGGCGTTACCCACCCTGTACGTTTTTGGTCCAGCTATTAAATGCCCCGCTTATCCCTAAGGTAAAATGTATTCTTAATTTAATGTTTGAAAGCATTATATATTTATGTTTCCATCCGTACATCTTCTAAGATTGGTTTAGTGCTGATAACCATTTTCTAAAATGTGGGCCCACATTTTTCCCGTCATCTATGGTGATCGAAATAAGTGGGCCCACATTTGTATTTCGCCTAGCTTCGTTAGGTTGTTTCGTTAGTTCTGATAATCATTTCCTAAATGTGGGCAGACGTTCTTCCGTCATATTGATTGCAACAGGAGGGACCACATTTATTAATCGCGAAATTCTACTTAAATATTGATATTCATTTTCTCAAATGTGGGCCCACATTGTTCCGGTCATATATGGTGATCGAAACAAGTGGGCCCACATTTGTATTTCGCCTAGTGGGTAGACGTTCTTCCGTCATAGTGATTGCAATAGGAGGGGCCGCATTAAAAAATCGCTCAGCTTCATTAACTTGGCTTACTTATAACCATTTTCTAAAATGTGGGCCCACATTGTTCCCGTCTTACAGTGATCGAAACAGGTGGGCCCACATTTGTAAATTGCTGGGTTTCATTGGGTTGACGAAGTCATTTAGGCTAGTGGGCTCACATTTGTCATTACTTTGCATGGGTATGTGACATATATTATTCTCATTTTGTAATATTGATGGGAAATATCTTTATAAATCATTTTGTGAGTCGTTAATTCCACGAAAGTCTTTGAAGTTTGAATAATGTCATCATAGCTGACCACACTAGTTTTACAAAAATAGTTACAAAGGAAGAAACTTAGATCTACTTCAAATTAAATTTACAGAGGCAATACCACTCATTCTACTTTTTCCAGTATAACACATCAATCTTATCATAAGTGTTGGTGGCGATATAAGCCTGAAAATATGTCGACGCTTGAATTGATCTCGGACATGATACAAGCCTGAATTGCTTCTGAGAACTCGTTCCATAAAGGGAATAACTCATGAATATTAATGACCCCACGACCTAGTTTGGCGATGTTCGTAGAAGTGAGTTCTGCTGTATTGCCATCGTATTTGTACATTTTAATTCAATTATAAGTCATAATACTTATTTTAAATAGACAAAATAGCAGCCGTAATGCAGGTTTGCTTTCGTAGTACATATTCTCAACAACAAGTGCGTTTAGTTTCGAATGTGGGCCCACCTCGAACTTTCGATTAGGCAAACGGAGTTAGCTCCCTTCTCGGACCACCGATAATGCGGTTTTGCCAAATTTTTATTCCCCCACTGCGAAATTTATTCCCCTTCAAGGTGGGATACACAGTATTTTATCAAGATGACATGGACCAGTCAGATCTCATCATTCTGACATGGAGGTATGAGGTGTGATGAGTGAACGATTTATTCACTGAGTTACCCCTCCGCCTTGAAAAACTGTTGAAATTGCCTCACGCACATATTGGGTTTTTATATCAGGTGGCCCTTTGGAAACCCAGGACAGAGTTGGTGTCATGCACCCGAGTGTTTGTTGTTAGAGCCAACATGGGGATCGGGTGGTACCTCACAGGCAGCTTGGGTTGTATACTCCCCAGGGAGCTGAGAATGAAAATCAGCGTTCTCATCATCAGTGGATGAAAGCGTGTATGTTTTCCTAAATACAAATTCGATCTTGCACGTTAAGGGGCTCAAATGGGTGACTTTCATTGTGTCATTTCAGATTCTCCATCAGTTCAAGTTTGAGTTTCTGCGCATCGTTTCAAGCCACGAACACTACATCCCACTGTGTCTGCCGATGATGAGGAGAGGGCGAGTTAAAAACTTCAAAGGTATGATCTTTTGTGTTTACATATTCATATTAAATGGAACACTAATCACCAATATTTCCCCATCTGATGTTCTCATACCATTGTATCTTTATTTATGTTATATGCAAAAAATAACAGCTAAAAAAAGTAATATTTACTCTCACAAGAAGTATATGAAAATATAATTTGTAATATATTTGTACCAGTTTATATGAAACTGATCATATTTAAAACTCGTATGCATCTTACGTATGAATACTGAGACAAATTATGTAATGCATGATGTATAGCCTATCATGATACATATTGATTATATCAGTTCCGTGCCTATATCATCATATCCTACTGTGGCAGTAAACCATTATGTCATAGAGTATTCCAGGGAAGTAACGATTTAAATGTTTTAGTGTAAATTGTTTGTTTGTGATTAAGTACTTTGTTACTGTTATGGAAAGGTAGATGACACAATATTTTAGAATAATTTTCTTTAAGTGTAGCTTTTGTTGTTTTTAGTTACAAAATTATGTATGTACTTGTTGTGATATGATTTGGTTTTGATAGATCTTCAATACAATTACCGTAATCATTCCAGTAAATGCAATAAAACATATGTTTGTATTAACATAAATTAGGCCACATATTTTTTATTTTTTGTTTCATGGGCCCACCCCCCCTACTGAAAAGTGTCCGATCCCGAAAAAAATAAAACATTATAATGTTTTGTTCTCCTGCTAGTAATATAGACCCTCTTGTACAATATAAAATGTTATATATAAATTCCATTACTATCAGTGATTCCAGAGGCCACTGACTGCCTCCGTGGCCTAGTGGTAGAGCATCGGCCCCAGAGGGCGGATGGTCCGGGGTTCTCCTGCTAGTAATATAGACCCCCTTGTACAATATATAATGTTATAAATTAAATTTATAAATTCCATGTCTACATTACTATCACTGCCTCCCTGGTCTAGTGGTAGAGCATCCGCCCAGAGAGCAGAAGGTCAGGGGTTCAATACCCGGCCGCTTCATACCAAGAGACGTTAAAAGATGGTACTCGTCGGCTCGGAGTCAGTATACTATGTCTGAGTGGGGTATTCATGTTAAACTGCGGCATGTTATCTCAATGAGCTAGCACTATAAATCGGCATCAGTCCGGACTAGTACAAGCAGCCACGCACACATGCACACACACACACACACACACACACACACACACACACACACACACACACACACACACACACACACACACACACACACACACACACACACACACACACACACACACACACACACACACACACACACACACACACACACACACACACACGTACGTGCATGAATGTTGCAATAAGTGCAATAATCTTGGATGCTACGTTAAACCCCATTTTCACCTCACCTCAAAACTCCACAGCAGAATGACTTTCATATCAGTTAATAGATAATTTGCATAGCTATTATATTTTATTTTTTGTTTTGACCGACCTTGTGTGGAAAAGCTGGAATAAATCCATGAAACATAAAATTAGTGTGGCCTCAAAATTTAAGAAATGTAGGTGTCATAAAGATAACATGCTTTCTGAAAAGTTAAATTATTTGAAAGCAACATATTTACATTAACTCCATGGCATATTGTAATATCCTCTTTCTTAAAATTTGTTATATAATTTATCATAAAAAAATGATATTTACAAAAAAAACCCATCTATTTGTATTTTAATATATATTAAAAATTTAGAAATGGGTTTTATTTAAAGATAAGTGTCTTTCTTAAAATTTGAAGACAGCAACATAACACCATCAGTTGAAAATATCTTTTGTTTTAAGTTTTATTTTGAAAATTTGATGTAAGATGATATCAAATTTAAATAAACGGATGTTTTCATTTTCAAAAGGCAGGAAATAAAAAACTTGCCAGGTTCAAGTTTTTGTATTACTGGAATAATTACGGTAGCATGAGAGGAGAACTTTGCATGGCATCAAGCTTTGTTTCCCTGAGTTTAGAGCCTCTGTCCCCTGAGCTATTGATGTAGATTTCCTTTCAGCGACTGTACAGCTACGTTGTGTGACAAACTATTTCATTCACTTTATCAACAGAGTTCAAGCCAGAAGGTAAAAGCCTGAGGAAATAAGACTTTTATCAAAGCTTGTTTTTTTTCGTTTGCTGACCACATGCTGCTAACATTTCATGTAGAGCCTTCATCGACTGTCACACAGAGTTATCTCCCCTCCTTGTGACATCCAATTGTGTTAACAACAATCTCTTCTTGTGAATGGGCCTCGACTTGCCCTGTGCACCAAGGCCCGTCGGGATCAGCGTTTGTCCGCAGTTGTATTTGTTGTTTTAGAATAATAGCTTGTAATTATCGGAAAGAACTTTCAAACCCTTGTTATGTTGGTATTGAGAAATAATTCCTTTTAAGTTCATGTGTACAGATTGTCCATTCTTGTTATCTTAATGTTGACAAATAGTGAACCCTTGTTATCTTGATATTGACAAATAGTGAACCTTTATCCTAATATTGACAAATACCATTTTTTGTTATCTTGATATTGACAAATAGTGAACACTTGTTATCTTGATTTTGGCTATAAGTGAACCTTGTTATAGTCCATGGGCCAGAGCACATATCGGTACCACCTGGGGTGGCAAAACCTAAGTGGTACTAACATGTATATAGGGTCAATACAAGTGCAAAATGATATGATAACCTTTCCGCAGAAGTAGCTTATTACTACATTTCCACATACCTCGGATTTCACACTTTGCACTATAGCGTAAGTTCTTAAACATAAGACACAAACTAGTTTTATTTCAGATAGCAGCTGGAATTGATCTAAATCAGTGTAAGAAAGGCTGTAGGAATTTTGCAATGAATATAAAATGGCAAATACATTATTGTCCGTCTTCATTGGCTGGGCCAATGCCACAGGGTACCCTGCCTGAAGTCAACAAGAAGTCCAAGAAGAGGAACATCAGCGCTGCCCCTCTGATTCAACATCCTGACCCGCAATGTATTATTGTTGCTCAAGATACTGTGAGCTACCTGCCCACCATCAATGCTCCTGCAACAAACATGTCTACTGTGAATGAAGTGCTGGCGCAAACTCTTCGCATCATGCAAGTCCTGCAGCTGAATGAGATTGTGTGTGTGTTCGACCAAGCACTCTATGCCAAGGCTGCAGAGATAGTGTGGAAACACGAAAAGTTCAAGAACATAATCATTAGGATGGGGGTCTTCCACACAATCTACAACTCCTCTCCATCATAGGGAAGAGATTTCAAGATGCAGGGCTCAGAGATGTGTGTGTTGAATCAGGGGTGATTGCAGACGGATCGATAGCTGGTGTCATGGAAGGGCGCAGGTACAACCGGGAAGTTAGACTACACAAGCTTGTGTATGAAGCACTGATGAGGCTTGCATGGAAAGGCTTTCTCCCATGGCTGCAAAACAACCATATCCACGATCCTCACCACCTAGACGAAACCCTGCAGAGGATTGTCGACTTCCAATGCCAAGCTTCACTCCTGAACCTACTTGAAGACCACTCCTGCAGGAGGATCTTGGAGCTATTCCAATCTTACCTGATCTCCCTCAGAGAACACAGCCTTCTGGATGTCTTATGTAGACATGTTCGAAATCATGCTGGGCCTCATTCGATCTTCTCGAGAGGGTGACTGGATACTTCATTTGGCAGCCATCCGACAGATGATTCCCTGGTGCTTCTCCTGTGACAAGCTCAACTATGCCCGCTTCCTGACCTACTACTATGCCACCATGTCTCAGCTGCCCATCGAACACCCTGAAGTCAACAAGCACTTCATGCAGGGCGGGTTCTCAGTCCAGATTGGTCATCAAAACCCCTTCGTGCTGATCCCTGTTGATCAGACGATTGATGAGACCATCAACAAGGACACATAGATACCTGGAGGCACCAAAGGTTTCAGTCTGAAACCTGGCGCGGTTGCAAGACACTTCCTGACATCAGAGTACCGGAGCACCTACCCGAAGCAGCTGAGGGGTATGGTCCATATAGGGCAACATGACTGCCTGAGTCATCCTGATCTGCAACTCCCTAGGATCTGACGAGACGAAGCTGACATCCAATCCCTCGTTCAGTTAATGGAGGCGAGCTGGTTCAATCCTTTCAACACTGACCAAGAGCTTGTCAGTATGTCGACTGCTACTGCTGCGCTGGAAGAAGTGTCCAAAGACCTTCTCAGGGCTCGCAAGATAGTAGAAGATGCATACCAGACCTTCAAGCAAGAACGCTTAGAAGCATCTGACCCATCAGTTCCACGACAGGATGCAAAAGAAGAATCTGAAAACTTTCGCAGACATCAGAAAGAAGTCCCGCAGCAAAGGCCGTGCCAAAGAAGTGGTCCTGAAAGCTGACAGGAAATTATTTGGTCAGGTGATCCTTGTAGCTGAGAGTCGAAAACTACGCATGAGTGTGGTACTTGCTCATCCTCTGGGGCCTCTGCCATGGGCCCTCGCCAACGGAGATGGGTCCCTCCGCAAGACGAACAAAGCAGCCTTTCCCAGATCCATCCGCAACTGTAATAGATGGAATGAGCTTCATCCAGAAGTTGAACGGTAATGAGAAAACCTTCGAACAGCTGGCAGAAGCAGCCTTGTCCCTTGTTCTGCATGAAGGCAAGAAGAGCCAACGCATCGATGTCGTCTTTGACGTGTACAAGGAGACGTCCATTAAAGACGCAGAACGATGTAACAGGAGGTCAGACACAGGAATCCAATTCAGAAACAATGCACCTGGTCACAATATTCAGCAATGGAGAAAGTTACTGAGCAGCTCATCTAACAAGACAAGACTGATCAAGTTACTGGTGGAAGAATGGAAGAAAGCAAGACAAAGAGAGAAACTCGAGAAACAAGGTACTGTATGTTACCTGCGAAGACATCTGCTATAAGATAACCAAAGAAGAGTGGGGGGAGGCTGGAGAGCTGAAGTCTTCTCAAGAAGAAGCCGACACCCGCCTTCTGCTCCATGCTCTGCATGCAGCGGAGCATGGCTACAAGAGTGTAGTCATCACTGCCGATGATACTGATGTCTTGGTCTTGACCCCCGCGTCAGCAGCAGTATTGCATGCCCAATATTCCAGAAATGTGGGACGAAGAGCCGCACAATGTACATAAACATCCGGAAGCTACACCAGGCACTGGGAGATGATGTCTGTAATGCGCTCGTCAGCATGCACGCGTTCACGGGCTGTGATACAGTCAGTGCCTTTGCTGGCCGGGGGAAGATGGCAACGTTGAAGAGGATTAAGTCAGACAAGACCTACCAGGAGGCCTTCAGTGAACTTGGTAGTTGATGGGAGGTATCAACGGAATTGTTCCAGGGGCTGCAGAAGATCACCTGCCAAATGTACTTGCCTTCTGCCCAGATGACCGATGTGAACAGACTCAGACACCAACTCTTCTGTGCCAGACGAGGGGAGGTGGAGTCAAGCCAACTGTCACCTTGTGAAGACTGCCTGTTCATGCATGCTCTCCGTGCCAACTACCAGGCTGCCTTCTGGAGGTGATGTCTGCAGACCCAGCCCATTGTCCCAAGGCCGAAGGAGTGTGGTTGGACAAACAGAAGAGGACGGCAAGCTGACAATTCAGTGGATGCGTGGCTCACCTGCACCAGATGCCGTTCTCCAGTTGCTCTCCTGCAAATGTGTCCGCTCATGCAAACTGCCAGATTGTTCTTGCCTCACCAATGGCTTGAGGTGCACAGACATGTGTAAGCTACAAACCTGCACCAACCAAGCCAAGGATGACCCACAGTTGGAGCTTTCAGATTTGTCCGACTCTGATAATGAGCTTGACGGTGATTAGGCCCAGTTACTCAACTATGGACACATATAATTCAACTTTCAAGTCAATTTTCAAAGCTACTAGTGTTCTGATTGTGTGCCCAAGAGATTAACCATGGTCTCTATGCTGTTTTTATTCCGTATGTACACGTTTTATTGTCAGAGTAAATTACATTAACAAAATACGAGTTTATGGCTGTTTTTCCTAGGGTATGCTGATATAATGGGTTAAAACTACTATTAAGCTACCAATCTGCGATGGTTATCATATCAAAACATAAACTAGACATATATAGCATGTGAAAAATTGCAACTAGAATTTGCCACTCTGAGTGGTACCGATAAGTGAAATTTTCGGTCTTGGCTCATGGACTATTATATTGATATTGACAAATAGTGAACCCTTGTTTTCTTGATATTGATAAATAGTGTGTCCTTGTTACCTTGATGTTGACAAATAGTAAACCCTCGTTATCTTGATATTGACAAATAGTGAACCCTTGTTATCTTGATGTTGACAAAAAGTGAACCCTTGTTATCAGGATATTGACAAATAATGAACCCTTGTTATCTTGATATTGACAAATAGTGGACCCTTGTTCCATGGAAATTTTGACCTTGTTATCACAAGCAGTTGTTGCAACAAGATGTAAGTTGGATAATGAAATTTGTATGTGTACAAGTCTGATCCCGACATGTGGCTTGAAGCACCCGTGGTCCCCCCGTCTAGGGCAACAGGTGTGCGTGTTACAGAGGTCGGCAGCCTCACTGGGGACTGTCCTTGTACTCCGTCATGAATTGATATTGTACATAACATATTGCTTGTAGCCTATCTCAAACATCAGCTTTTTGATTAGTTGTCGTTTTCTGATCTATCTTTCTGCTTTGTTTATAAGTTGGATGGTGCTTCGATGAGCTTGTGTGCATGTGATTGACAGTGTATAATGTTGACCCAGTAATTCCTTCGTCCTCCCACCTCCCGAGTGTCCGGTAACAATCCATAAAGGGAGACTACTCTCAGTGTGGTGCCAATTCCAGGCTAGCTCTAAAAGTTGCAATTTGTGAAATAGCAGGGTTAGAAATTGGCACTAGTCCTATAGTCCTTGCCAAACTGCCCAATAGTTAAGGTATCATAAGGACTAGTAGTTATTTGCCAATTTTAAGGGTTTTGCTATATATTATCATTGTAAGGACTAGAGGACCAAAAACGTTAGTTTCTACCGCTGGAAATAGAGACATCGTCTCTGTGTACTGAGAGTAATTGTTGTTGCAAGATTGATATAAATCATGAACTTGAGTATGATGGACGTGGGTTTTTTAATGATTTGAATTAAATTTGATATGAGTGGAAGACTAGCACCTCTTTATCCCTTCTGTGTTGGGGGAAGTGTTGTGGTGGCAGCTGAAATGTTTATACCCTGGGTATGTTTTCCCCCCCCCCCCCCTCCCCCCCTCTCCTGTTGTGTGGCAAGACAGGTACACCTCCTTCCTGTCTGCGGTGTACGAGGTTCACAGGAGTTGTCATGGTGATGCTCCTCAGCGGCAAGCATTTGATTTTCAAACTTTATGATGTATCAATGGTATGTGTTACAATGTTTTTCGGGAGAACATAATCGAGTGATAATATTTATTAGATTGTTTATCTGGATACATAAATCCACTATCGAGTGATAATATGTATAACATTGTTTATCGGAGAACATAAATGCACTATCAAGTGATTATATTTATTACTGTGAAACATGCAATCGGTATTCACTGAGTGAATATTCCTTTCGGACATAACATTATTTTCAGTCTGCATCAATGACGCTATGCCATTTCATTGAATTCGTTAATGTTTTCGTTTTGTCACAAATCGCTCTTTTTTTTAAAAAACCCTTCCTTTCGGCTCCTTCCTTGTAGTTCGTTGTGCACTAAACTTGTGTCACGAGAGACTGGATTAGTCAACATTGGCGCTATGGTTTTCAGAGTCAGATAGAACAAAAAGAAATTTCATAAAAAATCGAACATTAATCTTTTCATGTTTGGTAACGTGTTTATCTCTCCTTGTGACCTAAATAAGTTGATATTAGCACTTGTTGCTGCCACTTATGTATCAGGTTTGTCAGGCCACTCCTTGAGATAACATGCTACTGGACAAAAAATTCTAGTAACCTCTATATATCCACTAGGTATGTAGGTCCCTAAATAATACAGACTACATTGAATCAGGCAGTGGCTGCTTAGGCCTTTGGGTTTTATTAATTGGTTTACCCATGATGATCCGGGTAGAATAGGTCTTCAGCAACCCATGCTTGCCGTAAAAGGCGACTATGCTTGTCGTAAGAGGCGACTAACGGGTTTGGGTGGTCAGGCTCGCTGACTTGGTTGTTGCATCCCAATTGCGTAGATCAATGCTCATGATGTCAATCATTTGATTGTCAGGTCCTGACTTGATTATTTACAGACCCCCCTCATATAGCTGGAATATTGTGCAGCGTTAAACAACAAACAAACAAACAATATTAACTGGTTTAATACATTTTGTGGCCAATGTTCATTATAGGTGGTTGAAACCAAGATGATTTATTTCAATTTCACATTAGTACTGCTACTAATAAATAAGAAACAAACCCGTAGTGCACTACGTCATGGAAGTACAATTGTAAAATGATATAAATGCCACCCCTGTTTGCTGGGTTCCATTTTACCCTTACCAGTTTTCAGAAATACCCTGGTCATAACCTTCATGTTAAAAATCCAAATTTAAGGGGTCCCTTGATTCAAATACTAAATCAGAATTTTTACACGCAACGGTGTTCATACCATTGACCACAGGATTGGTTAGATTTTATGAGTTGACAGACCACTGTGATATTGAATTAGTGGTAAACTCCATTCCTTCACTCACTCACTCCCGATAAGAGGTCTTCAGGAGGGAGGGTCCCCAGCAACCTATGTTTCTTGTCATGGTGACTGATTGGTTCAGGTCGTTAGACTGGGTGCAGTGTTTGAACTCACTTTAAAACCCAATGAGACAGTCAGGCAGTGACCCATACATGTTGCCTGCAATCTTCAAAGTTACCTGCCCGCATTCAGATATTATTAATATTGAAAAAATGCAACCAAAAAAAGAGACAAATTGTGTCTTGATTCAGTTGAAATGATGTAAACAATCACTTGAGAACCTACAAGGCGTTATAATAAAACTGAATACGCAAGTAGTCTTAAAATTATCTGCCAGACAGTCAGGGATTAGAGAAATATTTCATGCAGCCAGACTGAAAAGTTTCCAGCCATTGGCAGGCAGGCAAGCAGTTATTTCAGACATTTTGGTTGATTGGGTGTCGTCATGGGACTCTCCTCATAATATCAATCTGTATTTGTCCTGCCCAGCCTCAGTTATTTACAGGCTGCTGACATGTCTCTGGAATGTTGTTGAGCGAGACATTCATCAACAAACAAATGAACACTGGGCAGGGTTGTGTTTTAGGGGGTATCCTGATGATGCTATCACTGCTCCGAAAGTTGATGGTTACTGCCTTGTTAGTCCAGCTTTCAAGTCCTCTTCATGTGGTGGAAATTGTTGCGCACAAACATTTACTGTTTCTGGAAGAAAAAGATATGATTTGTTGACATGATTACTTGATTCATTGGACTAAAACCCATGTTCGTCACTGTCATTGCACAACTTCAGCTGTACAATGTTAGTAGTCTGATACAGAAACCTGTACTCTTGTCTGAAAGTGTGAGATTCTTTGCCAGATTGTAAACAGCTTGTCTAACATTGTTACACTGTGTGTAGTGTCTGTTATCATACTAATACTCCAGGGGCCACTTGCACAAAGCAATCTTAGCACTAAGATGATCGTAACTCCCATACTTTAACATAGGCTTACGATAGTCTTAGCGCTAAGATCGCTTTGTGCAAGTGGGCCCAGGAATATAGATCTTCAATACTATATGCTTGTTGAAAGACCAGAATCAGACTTGGATGGTATATACTCACCGCCAAAAGAAATGCGAACCATAGAGACTTATTATGAAGTATGTATGTAAAGAAGAGATGTTTTCAATATGAACCACTTCATGATAAAACTAACAATCAGTCAAGTGTTACCACAGAGTGTCTTTATTCTTATCACGATATGCTGCACGTGATTTCCAAACTTTACACATTAATCCTGGATGAGACAAATGGTGCATTTCGAGTCATGGATCTATGACATCACGTGTGATACGTTTATGAGTGTCAGTTCACATAACATAACAGTATATTCATTTGTGCATTGTACCAATATAATGTGTCTTGAATATGAGTAATTCTTCATATATTAACCAACATGTGTGGTATCCGTGTTTCTTTTGTCGGTGAGTATAAATTGACCTGAGTTCCGTTCCACAAAGCGATCTTAGCTCTAAGACATTCATAACTCTCATACTTAAGCAAAGACTTACCATGCAGTCTTAGCGCTAAGATGATCGTAACTCCCATGCATTAACATAAACTTACAATAGCCATAACACTAAGATGATTGTAACTCCCATGCTTTACTGTAGACTTTTGACAGTCTTAGTGCTAAGACCTACGTAACTCCCATGCTTTACTGTAGACTTTTGACAGTCTTAGTGCTAAGACCTACGTAACTCCTATGCTTTAACATAAACTTATGACAGTCGTAGCTCTAAGATGATCATCACTCCCATGCTTTCACATAGACTTACCACAATCATAGCACTAAGATGATCGTATCTCTCGTGCTTACACATACACTTATAAAAGTCACAGCACGAAAGGTAATCGTAACCCCCATGCTTTAAAATACACTTACCACAGTGCTTAGACGATCATAACTTCCATGCTTTAGTGAAGACTTACGACATGCTTTAACATAGACTTACGACAATCGTTTTGTGGAACAAGCCTGGCTGATAGTGTCATCGTACTTCAAAAGCCTGGATTGTTGTTTGTGCTTTCGACCTCTGGCCAGGATTGTATACAAACTGCCATGAATTAGCTGGAAAAATACTGATTGTGGCACATAACTACATTTCCTCTTGACCAAGTTACATGTGGCAGTAATGTAAGAGAACAGTGACTATATTGAAAGGCCCCCACTGCTGGGAAACAGAATAAATGTTTCAAGTATGACATTGAACTCTGAACTTAGGAGTAAACATGGAATCAAGCTTAATTTCAGAAAAAATGGAAAGAAAGTGGTTGAATAAGAAATTCCAATTCCCATCTTGTCCTATGTTTGTCTCTGTTTGTTGTGCATTCAGAGGGCGCATGTCGTCCAGTGATATGAGAGGCTGCAATTTCTGTTCAGAGTTGTGCCCCTTAGTCATGTCAGGAGCTGCTAGTCCCAGATTTGCTGCAATTATGACCTGTAGGCACTGGTTTAGTGGCAAATGTCCAAATGTTGGCCTTTTCGACAACATTAAACTGATGGGATGAAAATGCTTATTACGTCGTCAACTCACTCACTCACTCACTCACTTGTATGCGTCCAGGTGATGATACCTGTAACTGTAGCCTAGAGACTACCACATTAAACCTTGTATCACCCTGTTATATATACTGTATCATCTTTATATTCACCAAGAGCATCTTTGGTGCATGATGTATCCATAGTATTCGTGGTTTTTGAGGTTGGTCACACTTTCATTTTCTATCAATATTTTCATTGAATTTCCATGGCATGGAGTTTCATAAGAGTTATAAAAGCATGTATTGGTTTAATGTAGTGATCAAGCTACACAATAATTCCACATTTTTATAAAAGTATTCTTTTGTACTGTGGATGTGTTTTGGATTTCTAAATTGTCCAATCTGAACATTTTTAACCAATTAAATGTCTTGAATGACAATGTCCTTTTTACACCCAAAGGTAAATCATGTTTCTGTTAGTTATAAAGTATCTGTCTTACTTAATGGCAATGCTACCTCTTGGTGAATACCAGTAAAATAGATTTTATGTACAGCACCAGATCAACAATACTTTCCTTTAAACTTGCTCGTTTTTGTGGGAATTTGAATAGGTCCGCCTGAGTCATTTTGAAATAAACAAAAGTGAATGACAGTAAGTGAAACTTTCTCGTTAATAATTGTTAATCCTTTAACTGTCTCTTTGCCCTGTCAATCACCTCAAAACAATTCAGATTATTAATTCCCAAAACCATGGAAAATATTTTATGATTTGTAATATTGCATGTAACTGTAAGGCTGTTGATGGTTCACTACAATGCCTGTACGAGGTGTTTGCAAGGTGTGGTGTGTTTCAGATCTGAGGCAGGATTACACGCTGTCTGAGGAGTTCCGTAAGACTCACTACCTGGTCGGGCTGCTCATCCATGAGCTCAAGCAGGTGCTTGTCCAGCCTCGGGACATGCGTCGCTGCGCCATCACCGTGCTCCGCAACCAGCTCGCCAAACATGCCTTCGATGATAGATACGTTAAAACGGTGAGATACGGGTTGGATTGGACCCTAGCTTGTGAGATGTGACTGGCTCAGTCATGTAAGGCGGGGGTATTTGCAGAATTGTCTCCCGAAGGTGTTCCATGATGGGTCTAGGTTTTTCAGCACCATCCCTTAATTGTGGGTTTCGCAAAGGTGGTAAAAATCTAAAGCATTAAAGGCATCCAACTCACTTACTATTTGGTCATAAATTGGAGTGTCAAGTATTCAAACTTGGTGACTTGGTCGATTGAAACTTGAGTATGTGGAATATTGCTCATGATATCAACCACTGGTTTGCCTGACCTAGATGTGATATGCCTGGGATATTACTTACAACAACTGTGCAAACCCTTATGACTTAAAATCTACATTTTTGTTGTTGTCCAAAACAAAATTCTTATCTCATTGGTCTATACCTGCCAAGTAGTCTTAGATTTGCTCATCCAGTCACACAGTCAGTTATAAATTATCAGTTGTAACTTCATAAACTTGTCCGTATTGATTACAAGGACTCTTGATGTTACTGCTGTGTAATTACAGGGTTAAAGCCCCACCCTGACTATAAATAGCCCGCAAGGTGGCGGTGTTTCAGTTTCGAACAATGACAGACAATGTAAACACAACCGAGTGACAGGAACCAGATCACCATTGACCCTCAAACTTCGTATCAACTTGAATGACAAACCATGGATACAACAAATGGCTCCATATCAAGATATAAGTCAATAAATTTTCTGTAGTTTTATCATAAAAAATTGAATCGATCGTGTTTGGCGTCTGCATCAATCACAGTAGGCAGAGCTTATTTACGGTTGCGTGTCTGTAGTTATCAGGTTCCACTCTTGTCCAACAGGCCCAGCAGGGACGTATCGCCGCTCTCTATCTGCCCCTCATCTCCGTGCTCCTGGAGAACAAGAACCGCCTCATCAAGGACGTCCAGAGCCCGACCTCCAACTCAGCCCCGAAGCCCCCCGTTGCTAATGGTGACGCTCATGGACTGAAACCACCCAGCAACCAATCAAAACAGCCGGCTCCTCCTGCCCCGCCCCCAGCCCCGGAACAACGCCCCTCGTCAACAGTCTTTGATATGATTGGTGGAGGTGGGTTTGTATGGAATATTGCAAGGGTTAAAAGTGTGAGCAAGTGATTTTGGTTTTATGGTGCTTTTAGCAATATTCCGGCAATGTCACATCGCCAGACACCAGGAATGGGCTTCACACATTGTACACATGTCTGGAATCAAACCCGGGTCTTCGGCGGGACGAGAAAACACTTTAACCACAAGGCTACCTGACCACCCCACAAAGCTGAAAGAATGACTTTGGATGATAAATAGAATCTCACCTAAGTGTCTCTTGATATCAGATATATCAGCACTTAGCATGCCTCAAAGTCTTAAGATGCTTCCATGGTCTAGTGGTAGCGTTTGCCCAAAGAGCTGAAGGTTGGGGGTTTGATCCCAGGACGCTTCGTACCAAATGATGTTAAAAGATTGTACTTGTTGTTACCCTGCCCGGCGCTCGTCATTAGTCGGGACCAGTACAAGCAGCCACACACACATGAACTTGCATGCACGTCGCTCCAAGTGCAATAATCTTGTACACAACGTTAAACCTCAACTCAACTCAGTTTTATACAGACCTGTGTTGATGTTGGTGAGATTCTCCAGATCGGCTCCTCATGAAACAGTCCCTCACTTTCACTCAGGACAAATCCATACTGCCTTGTGTCTCATCTTATTCTCTAACGCCATGCATCTAGCTGCCAGTCGTTCATGCTGATTTGTGATGTTGCAGTGACTCCGTACTCCAGCAACATGCCGCAGCTGAACGGTCGGATGTCCCGAACTGTGAACGGGTCAAGTATCTCCATCAACAGTGACTCCTCCTCCTCCACCGAGAAGGGGGACCGGGATGTGACAGAGAAGTCACATGCTCGGTAGGTTCATTGTCAGATTTTCTCTCTGTCCTTAAGTGGCACTTACCGGTAGAAGTTACCGATTGATGAAGACTCGTTTCTTCGTTATTGTTATACCTCTCTTAAGAATCTTGCAATTCTATTAGTTAATCTATGTGCCATATGACTAAGTAATACATTTGAATGTTGACTCCAAAACCATGTGACTGACACTGACCTTGAATATTGACTCGTCACATGATCAGTATTGACCTGTCACGTGAGAATTTTTGACTTGGCTGCTAGAAAACAAGATGGCGTATGGTGCTAATATTTCACGATTCGCAGCTAATTTACTGTAATGAAACAGCTCGGTTTAAAGGATTCATAAACTTTATATGAATTTCAGTATTACAAATCAAATGATTACTTTTGACAAGGTCAATATGCAAAAACAAGAACCCTCGGATCCGTCCACCTCAGGTTTTTAACATATTGACCTTGTCCAAAGTAATTATTTGAATAATGTGATGTTGTTAGACAATGGCAGGGTTCTATTTAAGGAACTTGATTTAACTTGCACCAGGTGAATGTTGACACGAAAACCTCATTGCACCAGACTAAACCAGCCTTTACCTATAAATTTATCAAAGTTGAAACGTGCACATAATCTTTTGATGACGTCTTGCCCAAAAGCAAGAACAAGCATGAAATAGAGGTTATTGATTAAGTATGATAAATAAGTATTGAATATGTTCAAAGATTGATGTCGTGTGGACATGTAAGGGTTACATACAAATGTTGACATAAATATTAGGTTGCATTTTTCGATAATAGGTTCTACTGGTGCATGTTTTATATAGCTATTCGACCTGTGAACTGGGTTGTGATGATTATTAGCCAACATTATGTATACACAGAGATCACATACACTAAAACAGTATATACCTGGGATGACTAGACAAGGTCAGGGATAGCACCATGGGATAATATAGCACAAAATGGCTGTGCAGTAAGTCTGGATTTGGTATTGATATATCCATATCCTTTTCCATTCTGAGTTAAAATTAAACGTTGAATTAGCGTTATTTCAGCTGTATAGTGCCGAGAACAGGTAGATATTCACACAAGTGTGTCATGAATACAAAATTATTTTTAAAACATATTTCTCCAACATATTTGGGCTTTTCAATTCAGATAACACTGGGAATTTCATGCCTTTTGTGGTATTATGCTGAACCACAATGCCAATTCTTTGCAATTTAGGCACTATAAACAAATCATGACCAAAAGTTCTGAGATTTACTTTGCTGAGTGGTATCAGTTGTGACAGGTCACAGCGTTAGAAACTAACAGTTTTTGTCCACTGGTCCTTATAATGATAACATATAGCAAAACCCTAAAAAATGGCAATTTTCTACTAGTCCTTATGATACCTTTACCATTGGACAGTGTGGCAAGGACTACAGGACTAGTGCCAATTTCTAACCCTGCAGGATCCTATGATCTTGTGTTCCAATCACTGATGCACTCTGATTATCATCCTTGGGTTTGTGAGAACTATACCCGTGCTCATTGGTTTCACCAAAGTGGTAAACGTCTGAGACATGCGTCCCTCCCACATTAGGCGGACACACGGTGACGTAACTGGAATACTGTTCAAAGCGGCACTACACCCAACTCACTCACAACATAACAAGTTCAGTGCACTTGACTGATTATGGGTAGCATGTTTGTTTGTTTGTTTGTTTGTTGTTTAATGCCACACTCAGCAATATTCCAGCTATATGACGGCGGTCTGGAAATAATCGGGTCTGGACCAGACAATCCAGTGATTGACATCATGAGTGTCGATCCACGCAATTGGGATCGTTGACATGCATCAACCAAGTCAGCAAGCCTGATTACATGAGTTTTTGATATGGTATGATGGTATAGCACCTTGCTGACACTCTTCTGTTATCCCTGCAGACGTGAATCTACTGCGACCTTGACCCCCGCCCCACCATCTCCCTACCTCCACCGCTACGACAAGCTGGACATTCTAGAGATCCGCGACCTTCTCCTGTGCTACCTGTACGTCGTCAAGTGTCTCCCTGAAGGTCAGATAATATTTCAATAATACTCATCTTGTATGGATTTTATAGAAATTATCAACTGTTTCACTCTTTCCATTGTTTTTTTATTTGTTTGTTGTTTAACGCCGCACTCAGCAATATTGCAGCTATATGACGTCGGTCTGTAAATAATCAAGTGGTAATGTCACATCCTACAAAGACAGTGTCATCATTAATTACAGATGATATCTGTTGTTCATGATGTCACTTGAACATATTTACAAAAGTCTGTGGCAAAGAACCAAATGATTATTTGTTTTAGTTCCTTGTTTTATGATTATTTTCATTTGTTATTATGCATTGTGATGAAAGGGCAGTGCATGGTTGGCCAAGGGGTCATAAGGCACCAGCGTGTCTAGAGTTTGGATTCACCGAAGTGAAAAACATATACAACTTCTGCCACTTTGGGCTTTAGACCGCCTCTGTGGCCTCGTGGATAGAGCATCTGCCCGGAGCGCAGACAGTCGGTGGTTTATCCCCGGCTGCCTCATACCAAAAGGCGTTCAGAGATGGTAGTTGTTGTTACCCTGTCAGGCGCTAAGCGTCCAGGGATACAACAAGGACTCAGGACTTGGAGTCAGTACACCTTGTCTGAATGGAGTATCCATTGTTTGTTTAACTGAGGCATGGCGTCTCAGTGGGCTAGCACTATAAACTGGCATCAGTCTGGACTAGTACAAGCAGCTGCATGCTCTCACACACACCCATGCATGAACGCACGCACATGCACACACACTCACATGCAAGCAGGCACACAAACACACATAAGCTGACATGCAGTGATGTTACTGACATTCTGATAAAGATTATTACACACTCACTCACTCACTCACTCACTCACTCACTCACTCACTCCATCAACCCCCTGTTCTCCCCTTCAGATATTCTCCTTGGATGGTTCAACAACTCCTCTGAGAATGATATCGTGGACTTCTTCACATTGCTTGGGTAAGTCAAGCAACAGGCTGTTCTGTGGTGTATATATATACTCGTATATATGACTCCATCACATTACTGCAGTTCCTTCATATCAAAGGCTGTGTCAATTTACATGTAACATTTTTTCGTCGTCCCTCCTATAATAAATGACCAGTACATAAGTAATGTACAAATTTAGTATGTTGTTTTTGTTTGAAAAAATAGAATTCATTTTTCTTCATTGGCCTCTTTCTCTTTCTCCCCCCCCCCACCCCCATTAACTGTGGCGAACCGCATCGTAACTCAGTGCTTTTATTGTTACATAGCATCATTGTTTGGTGCTTATGTTGTGTGTTCCAGAGCATTGTGTCTTGTGATAAAGTCTTAATTTGTACAATCAACCCTACTTTTGCCAGAGATTTATTATGAATATGGAAAATGTTTTGTCACTTTTATTGATTATTATTGTGTTGTCTTTCAGAGTGTGTCTGCATCAGTTCAGATACCAGGGCAGGAAGAGGATCTATACGCTCAGGTAGGGTGATCAGTTTTATATCTGTGACTCCAGTAATGTGTGGATATACCGTATTCGACATAATAAGCATCCAGGGCGCTCTTAAAATTAGAAATAGGGGGCTCTTATTAGAATATTATTTTGGTGAATAGTTGAAAGATAAATTTGGTGGTTTATGCTGACAGCCTGAAATGTTTATATACGATGATATATTTTTCCAGAATTTGATTGCCCATAATTAAGGGTGCATATAACACACAAGTGCGTATTATACATGAATAAATAAGTCTTGTGTACATTGATCAATTGGAAGGGGTGCTAATTGGGATTGTTGACTAGCAAATATATAAGCAAATATCGCCGTGAGGGCTTATTACGTCGAATACGGTACCTGTTCCAGCATGGTCTCAAGTACCATGTTAAATTTGTTTTCAGAGATTGAGTGGTAGATGACAAACTTAGTTTAAATGTCAATGAAACAAAAACTTCATTAATAATGGGTATTAGACAAGTAAATACACTACTGAAGTTTTAGGTTGTAACTATCCTGTATTACCAATAAAGATTATACAATATACATATATTTTCAGTTTTGACTTGACAGCCTATAGACAAGGCCAATGCCATGTTTGTTTGTAAACACTGAAAGTAGAACCTTTCTACCTTCTTTAATTTCATATCTATCCGTAAATGACCCTAACGAATGTCTTTTTTATCCAATGGTTTTATCTTGCCAAGAAACCTACCTATCATTATATATGATAAACATTCTTATCTCAACATTTCAAAATAATTCTGGAATATCAAAATTTCTTGGTTCGATAGAGAGAGAATTTGCATGCCTCTTGCAGTTTGTTTTATCCTAGATCACTCCCTGATAAAGGATTATAGTACATGTACTTCCTCAGCAGTATTCTGAATAAAGTCTGTATTGATTGTTTGGTCCCTACCCTTTACTCATGGTCATGGAGAATCATTTATGTCATATTGGTCATTAAACATATGAATCTAGGCATGTTACCTGTGAACTATGTTACCTTTAACGTGTCATTAACCAACATCAGTGAATGGGTACCCGGTAGGATGAGATGGTGAATGATGTGACGTATAACCTTCTAGCACCTCACAGGTAGCTTGCATTGTATACTACCCAGGGAGCTGAGAATGAAAATTGTTTGCACTCTGATTCATTTTGACAAGGTTAATGATAATGCAGCACCATGAGCTTCACTTGGTGAATGGAATCGTGCATTATTAATGGAATTATTATTATTATTATTATTATTATCTGGTCGGCAGTATGATCGGCGACACATCTAAGAAGGCGTTGTCCCTGCCGTCCAGCAGGAAGTCTATTCCTGGATCCAGCCTGTCGTCGGGGCGGACCAGCATGTACAGCGACGTCGTGGACGGCTTCCACAGTAAGTCCACTCTCTCACCATCATCCATTGTATCCTGTTGTTTCAATGACAGTGGTTTGATAACACAACTTTTATTCAGAGATCTTTTGTTCAATAACAACATCTCTTATTCATTCACACAACTTTTATTCAGTGACATTTTGTTTAATAACAACATCTCTTATTCACTGACAAACGTTTAGTTCAATGACATTTTGTTTAATAACAACATCTCTTATTCACTGACAAACTTTTCATTCAATGATATTTTGTTCAATTCCAACATCTCGTATTCAATGACAATTTTATTTAGTAACAACAAGTTATTCAATAACAATGTCTCGTATTTCAATGACTCCATCTGTGTGTTACAGCGCCGACGTCCTCTGATGCGGATGCAATGATGCGGGCACTGAAGGAGGCCAACATGACGACAGAGGTGGGCCTGGTGGTCCTAGATATCCTCGGACTCTACTGTCAGTACTTCAAGGTCAGTCACATCAGGCGCATGTGTTTACTGAGTTAACCGAGTTCCTCTATCAGTACATGTTATCATCCCCAGGCTTGTTGTAAGAGCTTGACACCCATGAAGATCCGGGGTAGAATAGGTCTTCAGCAACCATGCTTGTCGTAAGAGGTGACTAACGGGATCGGGTGGTCAGGCTTGCTGACTTGGTTGATGCATGTCATCGTATCCCAATTGCGTAGATCGATGCTCATGATGTCAATTACTGACTTGTCTGGTCCAAATTTGATTATTAACAGACTGCCCCCGTATAGCTGGATTATTGCTGATATAGCGGGGTAAAACAACAGACAAACATTACATAAGACCTTGACTCATCTAAGATTGTCTTTCTCTTTTCTTCGGGTTGCATTTAATATACAGGGAAAGAATGCTGTGAAATTGAAGTGTGTGTAGGCTCGGGTCAAATTTGATTCATTTCATTCAGAGAAGAGTAGGTTTGTCTTCATCTCCTATATTTTTGGTGTATATAAATCCAGCAATAGTTACTGTACTTAAACACTGGCACATCACATAGTATGTTGGTAGATCTAGTATTTCATCCTGTGTCGTAATCTTGCATATCACCATGTGTTTCCTTGTATTACAGAAAGACATGGAGGCACGGGAGGGGGAGAACGCCCCAATGAAGGCTGTGTTCCGTCTGTACCTGACGTTCCTGCGCACCAGCCAGTCTGAAACGCTGCAGAAGCATGTGTTTGCTGCACTCAGAGGCTTCATAAAGAAGGTATACTCCCTGCTGGGGATAGTTACTTGTGTGCAATACGGGAGGTATACTCCCTGCTGGGGATAGTTACTTGTGTGTAATATGGGAGGTATACTCCCTGCTGGGGATAGTTACTTGTGTGTAATATGGGAGGTATACTCCCTGCTGGGGATAGTTACTTGTGTGCAATACGGGAGGTATACTCCCTGCTGGGGATAGTTACTTGTGTGTAATATGGGAGGTATACTCCCTGCTGGGGATAGTTACTTGTGTGTAATATGGGAGGTATACTCCCTGCTGGGGATAGTTACTTGTGTGTAATACGGGAGGTATACTCCCTGCTGGGGATAGTTACTTGTGTGTAATATGGGAGGTATACTCCCAGCTGGGGATAGTTACTTGTGTGTAATACGGGAGGTATACTCCCTGCTGGGGATAGTTACTTGTGTGTAATACGGGAGGTATACTCCCAGCTGGGGATAGTTACTTGTGTGTAATACGGGAGGTATACTCCCAGCTGGGGATAGTTACTTGTGTGTAATACGGGAGGTATACTCCCAGCTGGGGATAGTTAATTGTGTGTAATACAGGAAGTATACTCCCAGCTGGGGATAGTTACTTGTGTGTAATACGGGAAGTATACTCCCAGCTGGGGATAGTTACTTGTGTGTAATACGGGAGGTATACTCCCAGCTGGGGATAGTTACTTGTGTGTAATACGGGAGGTATACTAGGGGATAGTTACTTGTGTGTAATACGGGAGGTATACTCCCTGCTTGGTATAGTTACTTGTGTGTAATACGGGAGGTATACTCCCACAGCTGGGGATAGTTACTTGTGTGTAATACGGGAGGTATACTCCCACAGCTGGGGATAGTTACTTGTGTGTAATACGGGAGGTATACTCCCACAGCTGGGGATAGTTACTTGTGTGAAATATGGGAGGTATACTCCCAGCTGGGGATAGTTACTTGTGTGCAATATGGGAGGTATACTCCCAGCTGGGGATAGTTACTTGTGTGCAATATGGGAGGTATACTCCCAGCTGGGGATAGTTACTTGTTCTAGATAAGGAAAGTTTGTTTCAAAGTTAATTGTGTGTAGTACAGGAGCTATATTCTTTTGTTATTGGTACACATTTGAAATGAGGGAGTTATATACCCTAGTTAATGAGTATATACCCTCGTGTCAAATATTCCGATGAAATTTTAACAGAATGACACATTCATTTCAGCATGGACCAGTTTACTCATTTAGATAAATTAGAGAATTATTAAATTAAAGGAATGAATTGAGATTAATGGGATTAATATTTGTGCATTTAGTTTTCCTGATCAGTGGTGTTACTAGACCTGATGGTGGATGCTGTTGTTTCATGCCTCTCAATGTACAGTTCCAGATCGCCTTGTTCAAGGGAAGTGCCTCTATGTGTGGGGAACTCTGCTATGAGGTACGTTTGTTCATTCATAACTTGTTCAGGCAGCAGTCAGTTGAGACAGCTTCTAAACACCAGTTGTTTCCTGGCTACGCTCAGCTGTTATATGAATGTGCGACATGAATATATGTAGGACTTGTATGATGCATGTTCTCTAGAATTTGGTTTATAAAAAACAATTTGTGCAATAACGCTCCACGCCACGCCACGCCACGCCACGCCACGCCACGCCACAACTCATCCACTGTCCCCCTCCCCCATCAAACTCACCACTCACTCACTCACTCTGTGAGTGGCTTCCCAACTTGACTACCTTGTGTTGTGTAGACTCCTCCATCCTACCCACCGCTCACTCTCTCACTCTATGGCGTCCGCCCGGAGAGCAGAAGGTCCAGGGTTCGATCCCTGGCCGCGTCATACCAAAAGTTGTTAAAAGATGGTCCTTGTTGTTACCCTGTCTGGCGCTCAGCATTAAGGGGCTAAAACAAGGACTGGTCGGTTCGGTGTTGGTATACAGTGTCTGAGTGGGGTATTCATGTTAATCTGCGGCATGGTATCTCAGTGAGCTAGCACTATAAATCTGCATCAGTCTGGACTAGTACAAGCAGCTACACACACGTGCATGCTATGTAAGTGCAATAATCTTGGATGCGATGTAAACCCAATTTCACCTCACCTCACCTCACCTCACCTCACCTCACCTCACTCACTCTATGAGTGGGTTTCCAACTTGACAACCTTGTGTTCATGTAGACTCCTCCCCCATCAAATCAAACCCACCACTTACTCACTCACTCTCTGAGAGGCTTCCCAACTTGACTGCCTTGTGTTGTGTAGATCCTGCGGTGCTGCAGCTCCAAGCTCAACTCCACCCGGAGGGAGGCGTGTGCCCTGCTGTATCTGCTGATGAGGACCAACTTTGAGTACTCCAACAAGAAGAGCTTCACCAGAGTGCACCTGCAGGTATGTGAAGTTCTACCATGACATTGAACAATAATTGATTCTGATTGGTTCAAAAAAGGTATTCTTTTTCCAACTGAAACCTCTTTTAAATTAGCCTAAATACTGATCCATAAAAAATGGCTGCCAATTCTCAATTGGCCTAAATACTAATCCATAAAAGCCTTGAAATGGCCTAGATTTGGTAATTTGTGCATAATTTGCTCCATGTGCAGGTATGACCATATATGGATTGTATGCTTCATGTGCAGGTATAGCTACGACCATATATGGACTGTATGCTCCATGTGCAGGTATAATTATGACCATATATAGGCTGTATGCTCCATGTGCAGGTATAGCTATGACCATATATGGATTGTATGCTCCATGTGCAGGTATAGCTATGACCATATATGGATATATGTTACAGGTGATCATCTCGGTGTCCCAACTGATCGGGGACGTGATGCTCCTCAGTACGTCGCGTTTCCAGGAGAGTCTCGCCATCGTCAACAACTACGCCAACACCGACCGCGGAATACAGGTGAGAATGCTTCTCTCTCTCTGTGTGTGCTTCATGTGCTCTGCAGGGCCTGTCTCAAAACTATATCTTTGAATATTATATACTTAAACATGATCAAAATTATCATTGGACATATATTGATGTGGTAATTTGAATATAATCATTCATACAACTTAAGCCTAATGAATGTCAAGGCATCTAAAATCATATTAATTCAAAGTTATCATTGCATGACATTTTTTTGGCTGGTGTACTTTGGAATATTATTATAACTTTTAATGCAACGTAAACCTGAGGAATATTGTAAAATATTACATTTTGAGACAGTCCCCATTTAGATTGAAACTAACACTATATTCTTCTTTTGAAAGTAATATTAACAGCTAGGATGACTAAAAGGTTCTAAGTGTTGTTTTGGAGAGTTAATTCATGGGAATCTAGTTAATATTTAATTGGTGTATGGGGACAATAACTGTTTTATTTCTTGCTAACTTAAGCTTGCTGTGAAGCAATACCACAGACTTTCATTAGCCAATCATGATCATGGTATCAGGTATAGGTAGACATATCTTTTCGCAGGGTAACTTTGGCGTAAGATCTGGCCATGTGACTAACACTCAGTTATTGTGTTGCATGATGGGAAGGAAAGAATCTCATGTTTGTTTTTCTCAAAAGTTTCAGGATAAAAATTCTAAGACAGTGAGTATGTTCTTTTGAACATGTTGGTTGGACCACATGAGTGAAAAGCTTGAGACATAGTTGCCTCTCTTGCTGCCGACCCATGACTTACTTTAGTGGGGGTTGTCTCATGGTTATTACATCAAATATTTAGGGACTGACCATTTCATCTTCAGCTTCAGCCTAGAAAAAACATTTCTGATCAAGGAAAACTGACTTTTCCTTGACGTTATGGTCAAATGAATATATTTTCAGATGAAAATAGGATTCTGAGAAATAAGATTTGCTGAATTGATGACAGAATATAAAAACTCACAGGTTCCACGCTGAACATGAAATGGCCGATCCCAGTTGAAACCTTTGTTTGTGTTTATTCCCTTTACCCTTTCACCAGAAAATGGAGGCTGGAATATACTGCATGATCGTTCCTGTTGGGAGAAGTCAAAATACCTCAACCCTCAAACATAATGTTTCATTTTTGAATTGGCAACTTTTGAGACAACCCCTACATCTGCATCACACTGGGCAACACTTGCTGTTGCTATGACAACTGATTTTGATAACTCCTGCAACACATAATGTCATACTAGAACAAATAGGACATAGACGCACAGGTTTTGTGGAAACAATATTAGCATTAACCTAGTATTATAATACTGAAGTTACTTACATTTAAAAATATGTTAGTACTACAGTTCTTGTGATATTAATAGCTTGACTTTCGTCATATTTGCATTTGAATTTCCTTTTAAGTAGGAGGAATAAGCCTGGATGAGTAGACATATTTTTGTATGGGAGATTCATTCATTTTATTTATTACTGTTTATTACATTAAAAATCTTATAATTTTGAAGTTATGTAACCACATCTCATTTTTTTCTGAAAATCTTGAGCTGCTTGGTAGAGACTAATAGTTAAGTTTGTGTATTCAAATCCAAAGTACTATGGTATATTTTCTCAAGTTAGACATAGATATTGCGAGAGTTAAACTAATTAGAACTTTGTTAACATTTAACAGATCATAGAACACTAATGTTTGTTTTGTTTGGACATGCAATATTAACAGTTTGATTAACTATGTATGTACCACGTCATACCTTCTGAAATCAACACCTTGCAACTGACAATCACTTCTACCTACATATTTCATGTATAGGACATGCACGGTTCATCTATTACCAGGGGCGACGGGGTAGCCTAGGGGTTAAAGTGAAGACCCGGGTTCGATTCCCCACATGGGTACAATGTGTGAAGCCCATTTTCCGGTGTGCCCCGCCGTGATATTGCTGGAATATTGCTAAAAGCGGCATAAAAAATTCTCTCTCACTCACTCATCTATTACTAGTTTTAACAAACAATATGCTGTTTGTACTGGACACTGATTATGTATGTCAAAGGTCAAGGGTCAAGAGGTCAAATCTGGATTAAAAAGAATTGGTGTAAAAAATGGTGATTTCACTCAGTCAATTAAGTTCAACTGACAGTCCATTCTTTTGCACATGGATTAAGTAAATCCATAATCAGTCGCACAGTTCAAGACAAAAAATGTTTCTTGTTTTTTTTTGTTTAATAAGTTTGATCAGGTTTCTCATATAATATCCTTTCCATGGCCAAATCGTATTAAAACATAACATTTTCAAAATGCTGGTATGTTTTGTCTGGCAAACAACCAATCCAGCATTAAACGTAATAAAAAATAAGCTCTCAATACATCAGACTCCGGACATTTATGAACATTAAGTCATATAGTCATGTTTATTAATTAATATCTCCAAAAGTTATATGTGTAAATAAGGCAGAATTGTGTCATTAGACCAGGGAAACCATGTCTTATAAATAACAGCCTTCCGATGGGTTGTCCAAAATAACGGCGCAATAGGGAAATCATTACGAAAAATACAAACCAGCAAAAAACATCACAAAACTTTAGTTACGTTTAATCCCAGACTGGTTGTGCTCTCGAAAAAACATACCAGCATTTTGAAAACCAAATTTGTATTCTTTGAAAGGCATTTAGAAGAGATACACATAAGGAAGAAAATTTATGGATGTCAACTTCTTCAGAGTATATGCTCACTCCTTTCATTCACCTGATGAAGGAGTAAACATATAATCCAAAACATGTTCCTCATAATAAAGAAGTTGACATCCATAAATTTTCTTCCTCAAATGTTTATTACCGTTACAGGGGCGGTCAGGTAGCCTAGTGGTTAAAGCGTTCGCTTGTCACGCCGAAGACCCGGGTTCGATTCCCGACATGGGTACAATGTGTGAAGCCCATTTCTGGTGTCCCCCGCCGTGATATCGCTGGAATATTGCTAAAAGCGGCGTAAAACCATACTCACTCACTCACTATTACCGTTACATACGTGTTGGTTGTCCTTGAGAAAACATGCAAGCTGTGCTTAGGATATACCGGTACATCATTGTTCTCATTGTTCAAATTGTTTTCATGAACATCTTCATTGGGGGGACAATGTATCTTATTTTGATTTGGTTTCTTGAAACTAAAAGTGATTAACTACCTAAGCAGCCTTCGCAATTCACAACGCTAAAATTGTGCTGAGGGCAAATAAAAACCCCATGATGGTAGTCATCATTGTGTTATAGCTTTTCAGGGCTATAATTCTGAATCAGGGCCTACTTGCACAAAGCGATCTTAGCGCTAAGATGATCGTAACTCCCATGCTTTAACATAGGCTTACAATAGTCATAGCGCTAAGATCGCTTTGTGCAAGTGGGCCCAGGTCTCAGTGCTTCAATTTTGCTTCAACTTGGAGCTAAATAAAACTGACAGAATATGTAAATATAGTGAACAGTTTCGAAGAACTAGTAAAGTAAAGTTTACATTTGTCCTTTGGACGTCTTAAAAGGACTGAATTTCTAAGGCTGATCTAACTATGGTTTACTTGAGATGTGTAATTATATAAGTAAGTTGTCAGGTATTCAGGTTAGTTTAGTAAGGCAGGGCTAGTTATTGAACTGTGATAGTGATACGTGCCCATCAAGATCTGGGTTAGAAGACCCATGCTAAGACGGGTAACGGGATCGGGTGGTCAGGCTCGCTGACTTGGTTGATGCATGTCATCATGTCCCAATTGTGTAGATTGACATTTATGATGTGAATCACTGGATTGCACTGGGTCATACTATGACAGTGTGGAACATTGCTTCTAATATTGATCACTGGATTTTCTGGTCCAGATTCAATATTTGTACAGACCACTGTCATATAGCTGGAAAATTGCTGAGTGCATCATTAAACAAATAGCAAAAAAAACACACAAAAACAAATGTGTAAATTGTTATGAATATATCCCAAAGAAATGCATGGCGACCAGGTGTTGGAAATTACAAATTCAACCATTATTTCCTTGGTGGATGCCCCATTTCCCCAAACCCTCAGCCCCGGCCTGCCAATGTATTGTCCCTGTTTCTGCCATGCATTATGTACAGTCAGGGTTCCTTACACTGAGACTTGTAGCACATCCTGTATTGTGTGTGTGGAGGTATGGTGGACTGGGACATTTGGTCAGATATTCTTGGTTTGTGTTGATTGGTTGTATTTTCTCCTGCTATACTTGTTGGTTATAAGTATAGTTTTTTTATGGATGTGATTGTAAGGAGACTCTATGTCAGATTGTTTGTAATTATTGCATATTGTAGTAAAAATGTTGCCAGGTAGATCTTTGGAAGGGATCCTGAGGGTACTGACTTCCTTTAGAAAATTACATATTCACTGTCAGTGACCATTGACCAAATATACAGTGTAATATATTTTTTTAAAATTATTCCCCCTTTCACAAATTCCTGGGACCTTCCTTGTTGCTCTTTTTCTCTTTTCTATTTTTACGTTTTATTGATTGTGTACAAATAGACTGAAGTATTTTGGTTCGTTCTGGGTTTACCTCCCTGGACATGGGAACTGTGTATGGTAGATCACATGCGCTGGCAGAATCGCATGATGCTCATTTGGGGGCGTAGTCATCAAAGATGACACAAGTCAATGTGCAGAGTTGTCCCCCTTTCACATGCCAGGATTGAGTGGTTGTTGGTTTAAAACCCCAGAGTGTCCTTGATCCATGCTTGATGTTTTAACAGACTTCACTTTGGGCTTTCTCTCACTTTAATCTCAAATACACAATGTAGAAATACTGTACAAAATGGCCTTAAACTATGACAATCATGAATTACATATTCTTTATGTACATAGAGGCCTGTTCATAGATTCCCATGAAGATCCAGGGTAGAATAGGTCTTCAGCAACCCATCCTTGCCGTAAAAGGCGACTTTGCTTGTCGTAATTGGCGAATAACGGGATCGGGTGGTCAGGCTCGCTGACTTGGTTGATGCATATCAGCACATCCCAGCAGCGTGGATTGATGCTCATGATATCAATCACTGGATTGTCTGGTCCAGATTTGATTATGTACAGACCGCTGTGAATATACATGTAGCTTGAATATTGGTGAGTGCGGTGTTAAACAACAAACAAGTCTTCTATAGTCAGTGAAGAATGTGAGTGAGTGCTTTCTCCCCTGGCTTGGTGAAATTCTCTCTGTGTTGACTCTATGCTGGATACCGCGCCAGTCGTGTTATCCGTGTGTAGCGGGATGCCTGGCTTCATCAACCTGTGTGGCTTTACCTATTATAGCTCATTTGTAATTTATAGCATCTGAAGTCACGAATGTTTATCTTCTATTTAATTGTTTTGTCTTATTACTGAGTGAGTGGTTTTATGCAGCTTTTTGCAATATTCTAATCAGGTCTTGACAACTTTTAATTTGAACTTGATAGTATATTGAAATATTTTCACCTTGCACAAGAAATGATTGGTTTTTATATTCTTTCTTCTTGTTGAAAGATCTTTTATAACTAACTATTTGCTTGTATTTTCAATAACAAGTGGTAGGGCTAGGACGGGTAACTCGGGTACCCGGGTCAGGTGGGTACTGAGTAGGACCCGGGTAGAGGACTACCCGGACCCGTGGTTAGTCACGTGATGATATTGTTTAATGGCAAAAATGATCAAGAACTCTTTGGTTACACTATAAGTGATAAATGTTCTCATTTCTTTCTGACTTTGCACACATTCCTTCTGACTTTATATGTATGCATAATGATTAAACATCAGTCAACGTCAGTGTAGGCATGACTAGATCGGATTATACGTGTATCTAAATACATTTTGACAGAAGTACGGTCAAACTATTCCCAATCGGACATTTTGTACCTATCTCTTGAAACCTACAGTGGGTACTCGGGTAGGGTCGGGTAATAGGGGGGTGGGTACCCGGGTAGTAAATTGGGACTCGTCCCAGCCCTAACATGTGGTGGAGATCATAGGATTAATTTAGCATCAAACAAGTGTCCCAAAACATAGGGCAATCTACAACCTCTCCACTTAAATCAAATTTAGTTTTGACAATTTGTTCGAAATAACGACAAAAAATGTTTCACTAGTTTTCTTAGGCTCCATGCAACAGTTGGTGAACTTTCAGTCAGAACGATGGAATCATTTATTTTATAGATAAAAAATGTGTTTTGCCTTCTTTAGGACTCAGGGGGAAAGATAAAGTCTCCTAAAGTAATGTCATTGCACATTGGTGAACATTTGGGTTGGCAGATACATACACTGAGGAGTTTAAAACATCAACAATAGAATATATGTAAATATTACACACGAAAAATACATTTGTAATCAGTGATAATATTGTTAGCTACACAATGTGTTTTGATTGTTCAAAATTCTTAACGCTTAAGGTAACAGAGGACTAGGAGAAATGACAGCTATTTGTAATACTTTCTAACACCACGAGTTGTACTATTGGATTATAGACTGAAATGGGACAGGTTCTGCCATCAGAAGCTATGATACTTGATCAAACGACCCACTTCCACAAAGCCATCTCAGCATCGCGACTGTAAGTCTATGTTCAGTATGAGAGTAACGATCATCTTAGCGCTAAGATCGCTTTGCGGAAAAATGGCTTAGACAGCTACGGCCCATTACATACTATGGTGATTCTTGGTTAGAATCGGTTCCCAGCAACTTATGATTGTTGTAAGCTTTGACTTAGTGGATCTGGTGATCAGGCTTGGTGATTTGGTTGATCGCAAAGGCATTGATCGTTGCTCATAATATCAATCACGGGTTTGTCTGGTCTCGATTTTTAAAGTCTGCTGTCTTATTACTGAAGTATAAGCAATGTTAAGCAACAAACAAATAAACTAACATACTTATTCTAAAGTGATCTTAGTTCTGAAAGTAAATATACATCTATGTTAGAGTCACAATCATGTATGGCTAAAGCCCCAGAAACCCCGGTCCACAGAGACATCTTAGCACTAAGGTGCTTGTAAACCTAGACTTAAGACAGTCATGGCGCTGTCTTTGTGGAATGGTCCAGATGACTTAGACACCACTACCTGAAATGGAGTCCAAAACAGTTGCATGCGTAACTAAGCATCATGACCTCACCTGCCTTTGTCCACGCACACAATGCTACTACACCAGCGCTTTGATGTCCAGTTGGGAGCTTGTTGGTGCTATCTGCAGATGTAACATGTCTGTCACTCGCAACATGGTGGCTTCCAGGTGGCGACACTCATACTAACAAGGGAATATGGAGGAAGATCGCACTCTCTTTCTTCAATGGTTTACTGATTCTTTTAGTAAGTGACTCAGTGAGTCAGTGAGTGAGTCAGCCAGTGAGCCAGTGAGTCAGTGAGTGAGTCAGCCAGTGAGCCAGTGAGTGAGTGAGTGAGTCAGCCAGTGAGTCAGTGAGTGAGTCAGCCAGAGAGCCAGTGAGTCAGTGAGTGAGTCAGCCAGTGAGTCAGTGAGTGAGTCAGCCAGTGAGTCAGTGAGTCAGTGAGTGAGTCAGCCAGTGAGTCAGTGAGTAAGTCAGCCAGTGAGTCAGTCAGTCAGTCAGCAAGTGAGTCACTGAGTCAGCCAGTGAGTCAGTGAGTGAGTCAGTCAGCAAGTGAGTCAGTGAGTGAGCCTGTGAGTGAGCCAGTGAGTCAGTGAGTAGGGTTTTACACCACGTTTATAAATATTCCAGCCTTGTTACTGGGTACATAAAAAATGGGCTGAACATATTGTACCCATTTGGAATCAAACCCAGGTCTTCAGATTGATGAGCCAACACCTTCACCAGGGGGCTCCCTCACCAACCGACCCTTAAGATCATGGGTAGAATAGGTCTTGAGCAACCCATGCTTGCCGTAAAAAGTGACTATGCTTGTAACGGGATCGGGTGGTCAGGCTCGCTGACTTGGTTGATGTATTTCATCGTATCCCAATTGCGAAGATCGATGCTCATGATGTCAATCCTGGATTGTCTGGTCCAGACTCGATTATTTACATACAGTCGTCATGTAGCTGGAATATTGCTGAGTGTGGCATTAAACAACAAACAAACAAATCCTTATTGTAAGACCATGCCAAACATTTTGCTTTTCAGCTTTTCAGGAGGTCATTTTAAGAAATGTTAATGTTGACTTGAGGTTCATTTGTTTAAGCAGATCTTTTGAAATAACTGGGCTTATTTAAACTCAACCCCAAAGATGGGTTGGCATATTTTCAATTAGGGTATTTTTACTTTGGCAGTATTTTTGTCTGGGTTGTATGTAAAACAAGAATCTTATTTTGTCTGGCTTAATAATATTTAAATGGTGCTCCTTGTCTGAATATTCTTGATTTTTGGGTGACATTTAGTGTAACAAATGTTATATTTGGGATAACACTTTCTTAGTAAAGTACAGATTCTCATACTTTTTTGGGGTTGAGTCCTGTCCAGGATTCCAACCCACACTTGAGTGAGGCACCTAATCGCCAGCACACAAAGTCAGCGATCTAACCCACAAAGCCACCGAGGCTTCCACAAAAATGAAAGTCTGTCAATTGGTAGTCTAGATCACGTACTTTGTATTCATGACATTGAGTGGTTTGGGATTTACTGGGGTTTAGCAGGAAGGACATTGGGATACTATGCCGCAGTTTAACATGGATACCCCACTCAGACACAGTATACTGACTCTGAGCCGACCAGTCCTTGTTTAACCCCTAAATGCCGAGCGCCAGACAGGGTAACAAGTAGTAACATCTTTTCACATCTTTTGGTATGACGCAGCCGGGGACTGAACCCTGTACCGTCCTCTCTCCACTAGTAGAGTACCACTAGACCAAGGAGGCGGTCGTTTGGGCTTGTAAATGTGTCTGGTTAAGTGGCATCACTGTTTGATATTGAAATTTTATTATGATGTGTGTGCAAATAGTTCATCTCATGTCCCTCTCAAACATTGGGCTGTAAAGTTAGAATGGTTAGTCTTGTTCTCTGTTGAACTTTCTGTTATTGTTACCTTCTGAGGTTGACGTTTCTGATTTAATTACTGTGTAAATGTTTTCTGTTATTATATTGTTGATTGTGATATTAATTTGAGATATCAGGGATTTTTTGCTCAGAGACCACTATGTTACATTAATATACAATGTTAAAAGTAAGTAAGTTGGGTTTAACACCGCTTTTAGCAGTATTCCAGTTATGTCACTGCATGTTAGATGATATGAGAGGAATAATTGAAGTGACGCAGGTCTCAGACGTTTTTCAATTTGGTGAAACCCACGAGCAGGAGTATGGTGCTGGCAAACATAGAAACATGGTAGGGACAAACCAGAATTTGAACCCACAATCATAGGATTCTGGCATGCCCAAGGGACACAACTCTGCTCAGGACCTGCAGCGCCTTAGACGACTCGGCTACCCGTGTCCCCCTATGTTAAATACCACTGAATTAAAGAAAATACAAAATTTAAGAAAATCCAAAGTTTGAACAAAATAACTATCTTTTTTCCAATTTGACTACCAGGAGGACCCTAGGAGATCTGGGTTAGAATAGGTCTTCAGCAACCCATGCTTGCCCTAAGAGGCGACTGAGCTTGTCCTAAGAGGCGACTAACGGGATCCGGTGGTCAGGCTCGCTGACTTGGTTGAAGCATGTCATCGTATCCCAATTGCGTGGATCGATGCTCATGATATCAATCACTGACTTGTCTGTCCCAGACTCGAATATTTACAGACCGCTGTCATATAGCTGGAGTATTGGTGAGCGGGCGATAAACAACAAACTACCAAGGACTCTCAGTTTGGTGTCACAGATAATCACCAGACATGGAGGCGTCTCAGGCTGATACTGAAGATCATAAGACTGCATTAAATGCCGTGAAAGGTTTCTGAGGTATATTTGGGTTCAAACTGACACAATAACAATGAGGTCAACTTTTTATTTTTCTCAGCAGAAATCAAACAAGAAAAGTCAGGTCAGTTTTTTTGAGCATTCAAGCTTTGGTAGTGACTAACATACTAGTTGTCTACAACATATTATCAAGTCTTCTCTGCTCTACTTGCTTTGATTCCTGTATGCACTCTGTTGTTGCCTCCTGTAACTCACACCCTGTGAAGATTCCTGGGTAGAATAGGTCTTCAGCAGCCCATGCTTGCCAGAAAGGGCAACTATGCTTGTCATAAGAGATGACTAAAAGGATTGGGTGGTCAGACTGGCTGACTTGGTTGATGCATGTCATCATATCCCAATTGTGTAGATTGATGCTCATGATATCAATCACTGGATTGTCTGGTCCAGACTCGATTATTTACAGACTGGGGTCATGTAGCTGGAATATTGCTGAGTAATGAATAAAACAGTGAACACATACACAAGGGCGGAGGATAGAAGCACTGAATATAGAATGCTGCATACGAAACTTTAAACTAAAAATTAAAGACCAAAGTCGCCATTTGTAAAGTGATGTCCCAATGCCTTGGAAACTTTCATCCATTTCGGCCTAACATTCAAAATAACATATCATTCTTAGTTTCAACAAAATCAAAATAAACATTGGATTGTCTAGTCCAGACTCCCATCACTAGATTGTCTGGCCAAATCCGTTTACAGGCTGCCTTCATATGGCAGAGTATTGCTGTGCAGCATAAGACAACAAACAAACATGTTAATGCAAAGTGTACTACCGGTAGATGGTAGGGCAGGAGATGCTTACTCTTTTCACAGACACCTGGGGGCACGGGTGGCCCAGTCGTCTAAGGCGCCGCGATTGGCTGTGCAGAGTTGCGTCCCTTGGGCACGCCAGAAACCTATGATTGTGGGTTCGAATCCCGGTTCGCCCTGATTATGTTTCTAGGTTTGTCAGCACCATACCCGTGCTCGTAGGTTTCACCGAAGTGGTAAACGTCCGAGACCTGCATCACTTAGGGCTTTCCTCCCACATTAAGCTGACACGCCGTGATATAACTGGAATACTGTTAAAAGCGGCGTCAAACCCAACTCACTCACTCACTCACTCACAGACACCTGGTGTCATCACTGATTTTTTGGGATCAATTCATTTCAATTTCACCACTATTTTGTTACACCCAATGGAATCTGTTTCTTCAGATGATCAAAACTGGTTATTTCCCTGTGTTGATGTTATACATTTATAGAAATAATGTATGTACTTGGCAGCATATTAAATATAATGCTTAAATATTTAATGTGTAAATGATGTTGTTACTTTGAGGAAATGCAATTTTACTATGTAGCAATGAGATTCTGTGTGATTTTTTTTTTTTTAAGTAAGCCACTTTGTAGGAATAATATCACAATGAGATGCTTGAAATGGCTGCAATCATGTCACAGTGGGCTGACAGAAATACTCACCCATTAATATGACAAGGCACAGCCTATCAGGACATAGCATCTCATTCATAGCCAAGTTTGTTTCCTCTATCAATAGATCTGTGCCTGGATGAAAAACAGGACTGACATTGTTGTGCCCCACGGCAACCTTGTAGACCGTCCTATTGTTATAAATGATAATGCCTGTTTGATGTTGTATCTGAGTAAAGTTGTTCAGTATCTCTAAGACAACACTGACAAGAAAGTTACAAATATTGACCAGCTTTGTTGCGTTTAACACTCTGAAATGGACAAGCTTGAGTAACATTAGAAACTAGAAACATTGTTCCGATTGTACACCCTGTGAGTGAAGACTTGGTGTGGTCCACACCTGGGCTTGTTCCACTGTTGAAGGGATGGAATAACGTCACCACTGCTGGTAGGTGGTCAGTAATTGTTGTTATCACCCATATAAAGAGGATAATTATGATGATTAATTATTTAAAAGAAACAATTTTCTGATTCTTGAGATGTTTTTTTTTGATTGGTTAAAATCGCCCGCTTTCCCTGTGTGGGGATTCCAGGATAGAATCAGTTCCCAGCACCCACACCTGTAGGGATTCTGGGCTTGCTCATGCTATCAATCACTGATCTACTCCCAGACTCTGAAAGGTGCTCATGTTATCGACCACTCATCCACTTGTCCGGCCCAGACTCTGAAAGTTGCTCATGCTATCGACCACTCATTCACTTGTCCGGCCCAGACTCTGGAAGCCATAATACTATCAATTATTGATCCACTTGTCCGGCCCAGACTCTGGAAGCTGCTTATGCTATTGACCACTGATCCACTCCCAGACTCTGGAAGCTGTTCATGCTATCAACCGTTGATCCCAGACTCTGGAAGCTGCTCATGCTATCGACCACTGATCCGCTCCAAGACTCTTGAAGCTGCTCATGCTATCGACCACTGATCCGCTCCAAGACTCTGGAAGCTGCTTATGCTATCGACCACTGATCCACACCCAGACTCTGGAAGCTGTTGATGCTATCGACACCGATCCACTCCCAGCCTCTGGAATCTGCTCATGCTATCAATCACTGATCCACTCCCAGACTCTGGAAGCAGTTGATGTTATCGACCACTGATCCAATTGTCTGGCCCAGAGTTGATTATTTACATGCCACGGATATGTAGCTGTATAACTATTACTATCCTCAATAAACTCAAGGTATTCAGATAAGCAGGTTGCAAGGATAAGAGCTTACAAGGGGTGGGGTTGGATCATGATATACGTGTAATTGCTCGTATGATAGTATAGACGGTAATGGGAGGCATTTGTCTCTGCTTTCTCAACTTTTGTTTACGTAGGTTTTGTAATCTGTCAAATGTAAGTGTCAGGCATGGAGAAGGTTAAATCCCAAGCTTACCCCACCCTCTAGAATGTCTGTGCAATGTTTCATTGTGTTTACATCAGCCGTTTAAAGAGTCGGCCCCATCAGAGAGTCAAGCGATAATGGCCTGCTCAAAGTAAACAACATGGTGCAGTTGTAATGAACATGCGCCATGATCATTGTTAAACTGCATTGTGAACTACCGGGCCAGCATCAAGATTACTGAATGGTCATTTCTGGGATGAGATTGTCAAGTTTTAGTGCTTTAGATTCTGATGACCAACCAACCAATCATCAGTATAAATGATGAAATCAGCAGTACTAAGCAATCTCATTAAAATCAGATCTTAGTTCTCGCTACCGCGAAGCAAAGATCTGAGGACATCCCATTACGGGTCACGTCAGATCGACCTTGTGCGAACTTTGACCGACCAATGGAATGACCAATCAGAAGGCAGCTTTCTTGTGCTTTACGGCACTGTTTTCAAATTGGCGGTAACGCTTCGAAATATATTTTGACAAAATCTCGATTAAAAATTTGAAACCTGAACAAAAGAACATTCTGGAATCGCTAATAGATGATCTAGATTGTATGGATTCAGTCGTTAAACCCGTAACTATCATTGGAAGTACCCCGTGTTAAAGTTTTTGAGGATGCATGACTAGAAATCACATTCCGACTGTCACTTTCATGATCTGGTAAGCGATGCTCTGATTGGTCGGATGAAAGTCGTCCTGACGTGACCTCTACTGGGATGTCCTCAGATCTTTGTTTAGCGGTAGCGAGAACTAAGGTCTGATTTTAATGAGATTGCAGTACTAAGCTACTAGCTTCTATGCCTGGTAGAAAACTTGATACAGGTAGCCTATTTTCTTGAATGACATTATGTTATTCGCTCTTGCTTGAGGTAGTGTACTGGGCCGTAATGAAATACGTTCCACTAGGGTCGGGCGGTAACATTTTAGAACACGATACCTTTCTGTTGTAAAAACAGTACTTAAAATGCAATTAGAAGTGTATGTTGAGGGGCCACCTTGTCTTTGAGTGAGCACACAGAACAGATCCCCTGGTCTTAGTGAAGGTATGTAGGAATAGGGAAGGGTAAACCCTCTATTCTATAGGGCTTTAGGCACAGGCAATAAGTTTCAGGAACACTTTCTATTGTATTCAACAAGTGAGAGAGGTTACCTTGTCTTTGAGTGTGCACACAGAACAGATTCCCTGGTCGTAGTGAAGGTATGAAGGAATAGGGAAGGATAGACTCTCTACTATATAGGGCTTTAGGCACAGGCAATAAGTTTCAGGAACACTTTCTATTGTATTCAACAGTTAAGAGGTCACCTTGTCTTTGAGTGTGCACACAGAACAGATTCCCTGGTCGTAGTGAAGGTATGTAGGAATAGGGAAGGATAGACTCTCTACTATACACTTTCTATTGTATACAACAGGTAACATGCAGTTGAGAGGGGTCACCTTGTCATTGAGTGAGCACACACAATACATCCCCTGGTGTTTGTGTACCTGCCTAGCATATGTATTGTGGGAGGGTAAATTTATAACTGAGGTTCACGCACATGTGACAGTTGACGCAAGTTTAACCTAGATTAGGCCATGGAAGCAATGAGGGTAGAACAGCTACAGTCACTACCAGCGGAGTGGGACACGCTTCAACGGGGATGTAGAATGCTGCTTGAGTCGGACACACGTACAGGTAGCGGTATTCTGGCCTTCACAGGTGAGGTAGTCGGGGTGGAGGTGTGTAATGACTGCCGGTGACCTGGTGTGCGTTTTGTCACGAGCGATATTTTTACTTCCTCTTCCTCTGCGGTATATGACAGCTGTGTTCGTGAGAGGACTGATTGGGGTGACGCGTGTGTGTACAGTTCCAAGGGGGGAATGCTGACATAAGCTACAAGCTACATGGATATTTGATCTGTTTTTATCCTGGGACGTACAGGTTTGTGATTTCAGAGAGATGTTTCTGATTCTCATATTGTTGATGGTGATACAAAATGTTCTGAACTTTGTTAGGAATGACATAGAGTGAGTGAGTGAGTATTGTTTTTTACGCCGCTTTTAGCAATATTCCAGCAATATCACGGCGGGGTACACCAGAAATGGGTTTCACACATTGTACCCATGCCGGGAATCAAACCCGAGTCTTCGGCGTGACGAGCGAACGCTTTAACCACTAGGCTACCCAACATAAGAATCATTCATTGATCAAATGAAAATATCCCAGACTGCTTGATGTCATTTGTCCTTCTTGAGATTTGTTGGTTCTGTGTGGTATCTGAATGGAAGTTATTGCACACTGTTAAGACACAACCCAATACCATGTAGACGGAGATATGGACTGACATGAATACTTATGTGGCCAGGTATTGGACATAGAGAGTAAGGGAGGGGTGATATTAGCCCTGTGGGTAAGGTGTTGGCTTGAGGAAGACATTGAGTTCGACTCCTACAAGGGTAGAATGTGTGAAGCTCTTCTGGATGTCCCTCATGATATGGCTGGAATATTTCTAAAAGCGGTGTAAGATCCTACTCACTCACTAGTGAAAGGGGCCATATGGTAGCAGTAGTGGGACATATGTGTTTCGCAGGGTCAGTGACACCCGACAATCTGAAGTACTGTCCTGTGTGGTGACCGCGTCGGTAGTCCAGTGGGTAGAGTGGTTCATTTCTTCGCCGCATCATACCAATAGACCTTAAAAAATGGTACTTGTTGTTACCCTGCCTCACACTCGTCATTAAGCAGATAAAATAAGGACATGTCCGCACTGAGTCGGTATACTGTGTCCAAGTGAGGTATCCATATTAACCTGCAACATGGTATATCAGTGGGCTAGCACTATGAAACCTGCGTAAGTCCAGACTAGTACAAGCAGCCACACACACAGACACATACAAGTACCTCATTATATAAGTGCAATAAACTTGAGCGCAGCGTTAAACCCCATTTCACCTGACCTTCAATACATGTTAACTTGAAAGCTCCCCCCTCCACTGCAAGCCATCTCATGCAGATCTTTGTCCAACTCTTGTGGAAATACAAATGTTACTAAGTGTGAAGGTTTGTGCTGTTCTTTATTTGACACTGTTGCTGTTTGAATAGAAGTTGAATAGAAAATAAGTGTAAATGCTTTGAAACATTCCTGTCTTCTGTTGTAGATAATATCAACATTCTTAATGTAGCTTTTATTAACAGCAGAGGTAGATTTAACAGCAAATTCCTATGTAGCCAGCAAGGCTGCTTGTGACTGTTGCAGTTGCGGTCGTGTCATGATTACTGATATCGCATTAGATAACAATATTTTTTGTTATGACCATTGGAACGGATTATAATGCCTGTATCATTAGTGCAGTTGGGAAACTGCCTGTGAAGATCTGGAGTAGAATAGGTCTTCAGAAACCCATGCTTGCTGTAAAAGGCGACTATGCTTGTCGTAAGAGGTGACTAATGGGATCAGGTGGTCAGGCTCGCTAACTTGGTTGATGCATGTCATCGATCCCAAATGCATGGTTCGATGCTCATAATATCAGTCACTGGATTGTCTGGTCCACACTCGATTATTTACAGACTGCTGTCATATAGCAGGAATACTGCCGAGTGTGGCGTTTAAAACAAGCAAACAGGTTGGGAAACAGAGAAAGTACAGGTCATCAAGAGAATAACATTCTAGGTTCCACTGTTAGCTCCAGTTGGTGCTGCAATATGCTGTGCAGAGTAGTGTCCCTTAGCTGTGCCTGGATCAGCATGAAGCATCTTTTTGGATCATTGATAAGTGTTCATGATAAACATCTGTGGCAATCATCTCTGGTCTTTTCCCATGACTTTAACTCTACTCACTCACTCATAATAACTCACATTAACGCAGTCATTGAGTTAATTGCAATTTGAAGGATGTGGACATCATCACTTCAATCAAGATAGGAAAATATGAATTTTGGCTTCATACACTTAGGCATGCCTACTGATGCTTATGGTGACATTTATGATGATGATGATGATGATGATGAAGATGATGATGATTAAGATGATGATGATGATAAGAAGTCCTCCCAGAGCCTGTCTTAGTAAAGAGGCCCTGTAGGACTGTTCTTGGAAGAAAGGCCATCGAGGGTTTGTCTCTTGCAAAGAGGCCTGTAGGGTTGGCCTTTAGTAAAGGGGCCCTCTATACTTGGTCTTAGTGAAAAGAGTCCCTCCAAAGCTGTAGGGTTGTTCATGGAAGAGAGGCCATCGAGGGTCGATCTCTTGAAAAAGAGGCCTGTAGGGTTGGCCTTTAGTAAAAGGGCCCTCTATACTTGGTCTTAAAGAAAAGAGTCCCTCCAAAGCTGTAAGACTGTTCGTGGAAGAGAGGCCATCAAAGGGTTGTCTCTTGAAAAAGAGGGCCTGTGCAGTTCATTGTAAATGCTGACAAGAGGTTGTCAATAGTTTCTTGATTGGTAGTTGAGCACAAGGGGGCACGGGTGGCCCAGTCATCTAAGGCGCCGCGATTCGCTGTGCAGAGTTGCGTCCCTTGGGCACGCCAGAAACCTATGATTGTGGGTTCGAATCCCGGTTCGCCCCGATTATGTTTCTAGGTTTGTCAGCAGTGCTTGTGGGTTTCACCGAAGTGGTAAATGTCTGAGACCTGCATCACTTCGGGCTTTCCTCCCACATTAAGCTGACACGCCACGATATAACTTGAATACTGTTAAAAGCGGCATTAAACCCAACTCACTCACTCACCCATTAGTTGAGCACAACCTCACTCTAAAGCTACAGCATAAATAAGAGCTGTGATCTCCTTGTCAGAGGGAAGGCATACCTTTCTTAGTTACTCCAGCATCTGCCCTTAAACATAAAACAATCTGTGATCTAACATTTTCCTTAACATGGGCTTTTATCTGTCCTGTTTACTTTCTACTTTATCTAACAGTAATAGTTTGACTTGGAGGAGAAGTGCATTAAAGCTGTGGCTCCCCGGAGGTGTGACCTTTAAGTTACTGAGTAGGGCAGAATAGTCTCTCACTATACAAACACCTTAATCCTGTCAATATGAGTCTGGTGTTTGGTTTGAATGTCATTGTTTGTCTTGATCTGAAGAAGTATGTTATGTAAGTGGTACACATTTTGCCTATCACACTTGAATCGTATCTAAGGAACTGGTCATTAGGTAGGGAGTGATCATTGAGACAGATTTTGGCGACCCTACACACCTCTTTCGCAGTTACTTTCATCTTTTCATGTAATCATTGAAGGATGAAATAATACACACGCCTTATCTCAGCATTTGAGCATTTATCATTCTAAGTATTAAAATAATAACTGATAAATGTATATTTTAATTTTATACGTCCTATATCCAGTGATGTAGGAGATGACATTTACATTACCATAGATATGGCAGAATGTTTGTTTGCTAAATACCGTGTTCGACGTAATAAGCGCCCAGGGCGCTCTCAAAATTAGAAAAAGGGGGCTCTTATTAGAATATTATTTTGGTGGAAAAAAGAGAGTTGAAAGATAAATTTCGTGGTTTATGCTGACACACTGAAATATTTATATGCGACAGATACATTTTTCAAGAATTTAATTGCCCATAATTAATAATGCATATAACACACGAGTGCGTATTATACGCGAATAAATAAGTCTTGTGTACATTGATCAATCGGAAGGAGTGCTAATTGGGATTGTTCACTAGCCAATATATTAGCAAATATCGCCATGGGCGCTTATTTGAGCGGGGCTCTTATTACGTCGAATACGGTATGTTGTTTCTGATAACATACAGAGGGAAAATAACAAACATCCACTTTGACTACAAGTTTTTGTGGGTTTGCTGTCACTTTCCAAATCTAGGTCAAACCTCTTATCTCAACCAGGAAGTGGGGGGAAGATAGCAGACATTTCAATCTATCAAAATTGTTGTCACTCCGGATAGCTTTGTGTGTCCGATATGAACAGGGTTACATTACTTTGCTATGCACAACTGAACAATTTATTAAACTTTTGTCACTCAAAATTCAGGCTAAAGGGATATACCTTCCTTGGGCCCAAAGCATTCATCTGCTTATTTGCGTTATGTCTCTGTTTGTATGAAGACTGTGCCTTTTCTTTATGTTTTTCGAAGTGTTCTCATGACTTGACACTCCAGGAATGAAGGATGAAGGTGTTTTTAGTAGTTTTCGAAATATTTCAACAAAGAGTATAGCTAAAGGTCTTTTTCATTTCCAACTGCCAGAGAAATTCTTTTTTGAAAGTGAATAAAGTCGGAGGGAACTAGGACTTAAGCTTCTGTCATCTCCAAGTCTTCATTTATCATCTTGTCCTTTTTTACTTTCTTTCACGGTTTTGATTTTTGTCATGTCAGCAAATTTTAGGTAAAAATGAGAATAAGAGACTTTTTTAATTATGGAGTAAGGAAATCCAGTGCAACTCATGTATTGTAGGAAGTTGTCATAACACGTCTCTTAAAGCAATAAATATCAATGTTAATGCGTCTTACTTTTAATAATTATAAAAGAATAATAAAATGAAACATTGTTTATTCTATTTTCAAATAGTAAATTTTACGTGTATTTTCAGTTCAGTATAAATTATGTTAAAATATTTTTTCTTTATTAAATTTTGGATTTGGTGGGACATATGTGATATTACAGATATCATTACATAAAAAAGAACAACAAAAAACAACATGTCATTGCAAGATCACACTAAATATGATGCCAGGTATCATGAGAACGCATAGGACATGTAATCAGTAATCATCTTAATTACTCTGCTGCAGAAAACTCCCTTCCCTGGTGAGGTGAAGGATCTGACAAAGCGGATCCGAACCGTGCTGATGGCAACAGCACAGATGAAGGAGAACGAGAACGACCCTGAGCTGCTGGTGGACCTTCAGTACAGCCTGGCCAAGTCGTACGCCAGCACGCCCGAACTGCGCAAAACATGGCTGGACTCCATGGCCAAACTCCACAACAAGAATGGAGACTTCTCAGAAGTGAGTTCACCATAGTTACATTTCTTGTTTATAGATCTGAGTGCCGTGTACATTACAACCTAAGCGCTACAGCTGTCGTAAGGCTATGTTACGGTATGGGAGTAACGATCACCTTAGTACAACGGCACCCTGGTTTTGTCCATAATATCTGCTGCTGTATGTTTAGACTCCCCAAAAATAGGCAACCACAGCAAAATATGTCTTGTTTCTGGTTACGCTTCCACCTAAGACCCTCCATCCTTAATATTTCTTCTCACATATCATTAGAATTACAATTTTTATACCCCCAACCTAAAAGGGCGGGGCTGATAGTTACACCGAGGAATTCTGTCTGTCCGTGCAGGACCTTGGGGGTAAGGGTGTGGCTCCCACTCCCCCAACCACCCATTAACACTTTCTCCTATTTATACAAGTCTCCAGCATGATATTGCTGGAACATTGCTAAAAACGACGTAAAACCATACCCACTCACCAATATACACAATTTTTTGTAGGAGATTGAGTGTACTATTAATTGGTTAATTAATTGATCAATGAGTTTCTACATTTCGATATGTTCGTTGTTTGTTTCAGGCTGCCCACTGTTACATTCATATCGCTGCTCTTATCGCGGAGTATTTGAAGAAGAGAGGTATGGTTTGTTCTGACATTTCTGTTTTGTCCATCCCATTACCTGCAATACATTTAGCGTATGCCGTTCTCCATGGTATTTCAGTCATAGCTATTCCGCTAGGTCAGTGGGAACACACTCTCAACAAAGGTGTAAAACAGTCAACAAAGGTGTAAAACAATCAACAAAGGTGTAAAATTCTCAACAAAGGTGTAAAACTCTCAACAAAGAAATAACAAAAAACATGATTTTGTTTCCGATCTGTTTGATGATGTCCCTTAATGACTCATTTCTGATAATAATGAAGCAAGATTTAGTTTCCTATATGTTAGTGTTCACTCTTGTAGGGGCCATGTTGTAGATAGCCCTGAGTGTAATATAAGCATTAGTTGTAGAGTGGCAGTCCCTTTCTCTTCCATAGCTTACAGCACTTTCTGTAGGAGGAGGTTCAACATTCCATGACTCACTACCCACCTCTAGGCATAGAACAAACACAATGTACTCAAATTCACCATTAAGTGCCCTAGCTATTTCTTTCCAACCTTTCAAGGTTTATTCAAGAGGAGCATTCACTTAAACCGGATCGTTATTTTTAACGTTCACGAACTTGTACAGCTGTTAATGAGCCTTGATGTTCTATCTGACCCTGGGGCTACTGTGGATTGTGTGAATCTTGGCTACTGTACAGTGAAACCCTGTGGTTTGAATCAGGGCAGGGCCCCGTTCAACAAAGCGATCTTAGCGCTAAGGTGATTGTAACTCCCATTCTTTAACACTGACTTACGACAGTCGTAGCGCTAAGATTGCTTTGTGGAACGGGGCCCAGGTGTTTATCACTTTCAAGGTAGATGTGTACACCTGGAAATTAATTAAGCACCACCTTTTTTTCGAACAAGTGTTTCTAACAACATGGTGTCACTCGCACCCAGTCTGAAATATGATGGAAAAATATACATGTATATATGCAATCTGGAAGATGAGGCTCTTGACAAAAGACAACTCAGATATTGATGTCAATGTTCAATTTTTTAATGGCAGAGTTTCGCCAGGACTGTAGTTGAGTCAAAGTGTGAACCACAATAACTATGGATCTATGAAGTTGTATGATTGGTGTAAATGAATATTGCTGTACGAAAACGTTCATTGTAATCTCATAAAGACAATCCAAATGCTTAAACTCAGTAGCAAGTATAATTTCCAGGTGATATATTAAAAGCAGGTATGTGATCAATGATACACAGTACATTAAGCTGGCTCATCCTGTTATCAACAACCTTTGTTGCAGGTGCATCAATTTAGTTAGATGGGTATTCATGTAATGTTCAAGATTGAGATTCTTCCACAAGATAAAGGAGCGATCGGGTAGCCTAGTGGTTAAAGCGTTCGCTCGTCACGCCGAAGACCCGTGTTCGATTCCCGACATGGGTACAAGGTGTGAAGCCCATTTCTGGTGTCCCCCGCCATGATATTGCTGGAATATTGCTAAAAGCGGCGTAAAACCATACTCACTCACATCACAAGATAATCGTACCATTTTGACTCTCCTTCTTCCAATGCGTTTATATCTATGGTTTTGCTTCATAAGATTCTACTTATATTTCTGATATAAAATTAGCTGGCGTCATATCTGGAGTACTTCTCAGTGCGGCGTTACACAACAAACAAATAAACAAATCCAACATGGCCAGTATTGTTGGTAGATCTGGAAACGCGATGTTCCCGCTGGCTTTTTAACTCTAAAAATTACCAGTCCCCCCTTATTTTTGTCAGTACCAACTCTCCACAACTAAAAAAACGTATGGAAATTACCTGGTCTCAATTCTTTCAAAATCATGTTCAATGCAATGACGTCATCTCTGAAGTAACTTAGTTAGATCTACACGTCATTGACACAAAGTTCAATCACAATTTTCTCTTCCATTTTTGTAATATTTTGAGACTAAGTCACTTCAAATATATATTTAATCTCGAAACAAACCAAAATGTTATTTCCTTGCAATGATAATTGACAAGGGGAACCCTGATGGTAACTGATAGACTGACTTCCTTTGACATATACATTTATATGAATATCGCCAATGTTTTGTTCAAGAACAAAGATTTATAAGTACTGGCAGACACATGAATTAACGGTCCAACCCTAATTTTGCCGGTAGAAAAATGGTAACTACTGGTAAACAGGAACACTGGAAATGGTTGAAGATTTACTAGTAGGATGAATCTTTCATATGTGCATGGAATTATTTTTGAAATGGTTTGAAGCTATCAAATTTTCAACAGATATGTCCATACGTCTGCATGTTATGGATTTGAATATATAAAAAATTTCATAGCAGGATGCATGGACAATTTGACATATGAGGAAGAGGTTATTTCTAGTTATAAGTGCTGTTTTAAATACAACCTCGTTGTTTGAATTGAAATATTAGGCTATGTAGGGGTAGCCAAGTGGTTAAAGCCTTTGCTAATCATGCCGAAGGTCAGGGTTTGATTACCAACATTTGTGAATCCCCCGTCGTGATATTGCTGGAATATTGCTAAAAGCGGCGTAAAACCCAACTCACTCACTCTCTCACGATGCTATGTTTTCAGAAATTAAGAGATAATATGTTGAATGTTTAAAGAAGAATTAAGTTATTAATTAGTTAGTGTCTGTGAGGTTTTAGAAGGAGACCGCCAAGTAATCCTTTGTATCTTGTCTCACCAGGAAAACTTAGATCACGTAAGTTTGTTACTGCCTGCTCGCTCATCACGAGTAGATCCCATGATGCATTGCGACTACCACTAGATGTCAGCGTTCTAGAACTCAGCCTTGTTTCATCATTTGCATGTCATCATATTAGATTTCATTTTGAAATTCCTGGCGCCATCCCACAAACTGATCTTAGTGCCACGACTGTCGTAACTCCCATACTAAAACATGGACTTACGATAGTCGTAGGGCTATTTTTGCTTTGTGGAATGAAGTCCTTTTCTGACATCTATCACATTGCATGATTGTTCATATCTTAAATGGTTTCCAAGTAAAGAAAAGATCCATTCACTTTGGAAGTTAAGGAGTCGATTTTCAACGCACAGAGGCTAACAAGTGCTTTTACGTCTTCTGTGCAGTGATATTTTGAATAAGTGAAAGTATTATGCAGGAACAACCCTGTGTTCTTAGTAACTTGTTTGGTCTGCAGTCATACGCGGCACATCTTCCACAGCTGCAATCTTCACATGAACAGACCATGAGAAATTCCGTTGGCAAGAATCCTGGATGTTGAGATTTAAGATATGAACACATTGTGAATGTTTTAACCTATTAAATTCCAGTTGGCTTAATGAAATACAGGCATGTGTTCTTTACAGTTGATTGTCTTCATAAAAATATGTGGCTGAAGTATTAGGATGTTTATTGTTTACTAAACTAATAACTCCGTAGATGTTTAACATTGATGGAATTACAAAGATTTTCCGTAACTAACTGACCAGTTGTCATTAGAGGAGATTGTTTATGTAACAAATGTGATTTCATTAGTCTGTTGTCGATGTCTTAACCATGCTTGTCATCACAGACTAAACTGAAGGATAAACTAATTTGATCCCCCAACAGGGCCCAAGGTCACTCAATGTTTGAAAAATACTTGTGCACTGTAAACGAAGATCCACTTCAAGTATCCTCTTGAGACACAAGATATATGGATTTCGTCTTCTGTATTCTTCATATACAACATTTTCAGTGGTCCTTTTGTCCTTTGTCTGGTGAATTCAGGGGCAAGTAGGAGTAGCCTCAAAATATTGTCACTACGTAGGTCGAAATCCTTATATTCTTGTGTCTCTATAGAGAACCAATTTCTAAATGGCTATCCCCAGGGCGGAATAGACCCTCTGTAACCCACTGTACCTAGTAATGTCGGAAGGTTACAATGTATGATTATGTATACAAATAAATATTAGTGTGGTGATTTTAGAACCGAATCGGTCTTCAAGCTTCTTGTTTGTTGTCAGAACTGACCAATGAAGATCAGATGGTACACCTAGCTGAATGAATGTCAAACATTAAATATATCTGTCACAGAATCTTCCATCATATATATCGCTTTGGTGACTGGGTGGCAGACTAAGTCCTCAGTTACCGATGCTAGTTGGTAGATCTGATCAGTGAGGAACAGGTGGCTGCTATGTGTTATTGTCTGTCATCACAGCCTAGTGATCATTGTCCATGCTAGCAACCGCTGCTTGCTTGACCCATACATGCAAGCACTGACTACTGTGTCACAGACCAGTGAGACCCGTGAAGATCCGGGGTAGAATAGGTCTTCAGCAACCCATGCTTGCCGTAAGAGGCGACTATGCTTGTCGTAAGAGGTGACTAACGGGATCGGGTGGTCAGGCTCGCTGACTTGGTTGATGCATGTCATCGATCCCAATTGCATGGATCGATGTTCATGATGTGAATCACTGAATTGTCTGGTCCAGACTCAATCATTTATAAACTGCCGTCATATAGCTGGAATATTGCTGAGTGCGGCGTTTAACAACAAATAAACTGACAAACAAACGGGTAAACATAATACTCTGAATTTTGACCTTTTTCATAATCCACTCGACATCATCAGTATAGAAATCCACCCGTAAGCCTGCATGGTTGAAGCTTTATTCGTGTCGGTTGGCAGTCAAATTAGTACCTTTTGAATAAGTATTTCACTTTCACAGTAGCCGTTGCTTCAAGAACTTGGCAATATTTTTCTCTTTTTCCCCTTTTTCTTCTGGGTCGAAGTAGGTATCTAGAGGCATTCTTGTTCACTGTCCTCTTGTCTGAGTGGAAGATATGGTCTTGGGGGCGTTGCCGGCGTAGGTTAGACTGCGGGGACCTATGAGCAACCTGGAGTACCGGGCCCAATCTCAGGTGTGCTCACAGGCTTCTAAACATTACCAGCAAAGAATTGTGAAGACTTTTGGTGCCATTGCAGTCAGTGTTTATGAGAATCAACTGGCGTTTTGTGGAACCATCTCTTCTGTCCATCAATAAACCTGCTTTCAGACAGTGACAAAGATATTCTTGGTTAGGATACTTTGTATATTAACTGTCGTGAGCCTTCTTTTTTATTTGGAATCATTTGCACATCACCGTTGATGATTATTTTAAAAACCTGAGGATACTATCAGTTAAAAATGTAATTTTACAAGAGTCATCTGTGAGTTATCTTTCCGGAATGGGGCGGTCGGGTAGCCTAGTGGTTAAAGCGTTCGCTCGTCACGCCGAAGACCCAGGTTCGATTCCCGACATGGGTACAATGTATGAAGCCCATTTCTGGTGTCCCCCGCCGTGATATTGCTGGAATATTGCTAAAAGCAGCGTAAAACCATACTCACTCACTCACTCACTTTCCGTAATGTTACTATTTGCGTTAATGATTTCCTGAAAAAGCATTCTTCTAAGATCAAGTGACAGAGTGGCTACATTTGAGATCTCCCAGGTACTCTGGAGCATCCCCACAGCTCCCACTACCTGGCAGTTTAACCTACTCCAACAACACCCTCACGGTGTGTGGTCACGGATGCAACATTTTCCTGTTCATAATTGCAGTCATCTAATCTGCTGAAGCTGTGTACACGTCTTCACTTGCACAAGGCAATGTCTGGAAACTGTTTTCCTTATTTTAGGAAGTGTTTATCAGTGCATATATCTGCAGCTGTTAACTGTGGCCGTGTCATGTACCGTATTCGACGTAATAGGCGCCCCGCTCTAATAAGCGCCCACGGCGACATTTGCTAAGATATTGGCTAGTGAACAATCCCAATTAGCACCCCTTCCGATTGATCAATGTACACAAGACTTATTTATTCGCGTATAATACGCACTCGTGTGATATATGCACCCTTAATTATGGGCATTTAATTCTGGACAAATTATATCTGTCGTACATAAACATTTCAGGCTGTCAGTATAAACCACGAAATTTATCTTTCAACTCTGTATTTTTCACCAAAATAACATTCTAATAAGAGACCCCTATTTCTAATTTTGTGAGCACCCTGGGCGCTTATTACGTCGAATACGGTATTTGGTAATCAGGCATGAGGTATTTTTACCAAGATGTAGAATTGTTTATTTCTTTTTTTAATCATTTTGCAACTTAAGTCTATGGTCTAACTGATGGCCCCTAAAATAAACCAACTCACTCACTCTGGGGCCATTCACTGTCCCGGTTGTCGTCCTTTAAGTCCTTGCAGGATCATAGGTAAGTTGTTAGGTGGTGACATGAGTTAAACCTGACATTGAACAATTAACAATAACCGTTCAAGATAAAACTGCTGATTATCGAATGTCACTTGCATGGTAATATATGTTAGTTGGAATAAAGAGTAATACATAGTATTATCTGATAACAACATGTTTATAAAAGGCGTAGTAGGTAGTATACATCAGCAGAGCGATACATTTTTTATTGATTAATTGATATAAAATAGCAGTTTATCAAGGAGCTCTCACATGGTGTAAGAGGTCAGACGGTTCAGAATTCGAGATAAATACCTGGGTCCACTTGCACAAAGCGATCAGTGCTTCGATGATTGCTTCCTTACTGTGATACAGACTTAGGATAGTCGTAGCACTAAGATCCATTTGTGCACGTGGGCCCTCGAGGGGATGGAGTGGGGGGGAGGAGGTAGGTACATGGTACTAAATGAGTTGAACTTAATATATGTTGTCATCCGCCCATTTATTGTATGACCGCGTGCTACATGACATGTGTTTTGTATTGTTGCATTCTGTTTTGCATAACAAATAATATTGGAATGATGGTATTATGTCTTCATATTGATTGATTGTTTTAGTTGAAACATTTCATGTTTATTCATTTCAGTTTGTTGGTTAATGTTTGAGAATCTTGCATATAGTCTTGAGTATTTCCTCTGTCATTGGACAGAAACTGCATTTATGTTTCAGAACTTCAACCAGATAGTTTGTGAAGCCCATTTCTGGTGTCCCCCGCCGAGATATTGCTGGAATATTGCTAAAAGCGGCGTAAAACCGTACTCACTCACTCACTCATTTAACCAGATAGTTTAAACCAGAAGCACATTATAACAGGGGGGTACGGGTGGACCAGTCGTCTAAAGTATAGCAATTTGCTATGCAGAGTTGCATCCCTTAGTAATGCCAGGAATCTATGATCAGGGGTTTGAATCCTGATTCCCGATTATGTTTCTAGTTTCGTCAGCAACATACCCGTTCTCAATAGTTTCACGAAAGTGGTAAATCTCTACAACCTACATCACTTCGGGCTTTCCTCCCACATTAAGCTGACACTGTGATATAACTTGAATACTGTTTAGACTCGCGAAAATCTAAACTCGCTCCCTCCATGTAACCATAGGAAGTGAGGCATAGGTGCCTAGCATTCCATTATAGTAGTTATACCCAACTATCAAGGTTCAGGTAGTCCGACTGATTGGGGGCGGTCTGGTAGCCTAGTGGTTAAAGCGTTCGCTCGTCACGCCGATGACCTGGGTTCAATACCTGACATGGGTACATTGTGTGAAGCCCATTTCTGGTGTCCCCTGCCGTGATATTGCTGGAATATTGCTAAAAGCGGCTTAAAACCATAACACTCACTCACTCCGACTGATCGATTGTGTGTCATCTAGGGCTTGGACGAGTCCAAATTCCAACCCGGGTACCCATCCCCCTATTACCCGACCCTACCCGGGTACCCGCTGTAGGTCTCAAGAGATAGGTACAAACTGTCTGATTGGGACTAGTTTGACTGTAGCCCTGGCAAAATGTATTTAGATACAAGTATAAAACGATTTGGTGATGCATACACTGAAGTTGATTGAAGCTTTATCTTTATTCAAACATATATAAGTCAGAAGGAATGGATGCATGGTCAGAAAGAAATGCGAACATTTGTGACTTGTACTGTAACGTTAGAGTTTCAGATAATTTTTGTCATTAAACAATACATCACTTAAACATTTTTTATCCTACTGTTTGTATGGGTTGAAGTCACCCTTCTCAAGGGTTCCATGTGTCATGCTTCCTATTTACATCTGGAGCATATTTCTTCTTCTAATAGGGATTTTTGTACATGTATAGCACATGCAGGGTATTTTTGTTGCACTTCAGTGACATGGAGTAATATATACATTCAGGTCATAAAATCTGTGAAGATACCGGGTAGAATAGGTCTTTAACAACCCATGCTTGCTGTAAAAGGCGACTTACGGGATTGGGTGATCAGGCTCGCTGACTTGGTTGATGCATGTCATCGTATCCAATTGCATAGATTGATGCTCATGATGTCAATCACTGGATTGTCTAATCCAGACTCGATTATTTACAGACCATATAGCTGAAATATTGCTGAGTGGTGTTAAACAACAAACAAAACAAACAGACAAACCTTAATAAAGAATCATCACTGCATCGAATTATGTTAATTTTAAGAAACAAAGATGCATTTGTTACCACAGTCAAGTATATGCTTGCCCTACAGGAAAACCTGTAGCTGTAATGTTTATTTTGTAGTGGTATGTTGTGCTTATCTAACAGTCTTTTTTTAGCTGAGATATAGCAGGGCCCCCTGTGTACTGGAGAGGACTGTTACATTGCAGCTAGACTAACTCTTTGCCTATGAAAACATTTCTTTAAAATAATTGTTTGTTTTTTTCTTCAAAAGAACCTTTCCTCTTCTGCTGTTTTCATAAGCAACTAGACTTGGTTTCATTTGAACTAGACTTGCCTAGGCTTTTAATATAAAAAATATCTATATATTTATATATAAATTCAACAGTCATGGCGCAGGACTACATTGCAGTTGGTGTTGACTGTTTCAGGAGCGTACCCCCAGGGTTGTACCGCCTTCAGCCGCGTCTCCCCCAACATTGCAATTGAGGAGTCGGGCATCAAGGACGACTCCGGAATGGAGGATGTGCAGTACACTGAGGTATGGCTAGCTGTGGTGGGGCAGTCTGGCATTGGGTAGGGGCAGTCTGGCATTGGGGTGGGGCAGTCTGGCATTGGGTAGGGGCAGTCTGGCATTGGGGTGGGGCATGGCATTTGGTAGGGGCAGTCTGGCATTGGGGTGGGGCAGTCTGGCATTGGGGTGGGGCAGTCTGGCATTGGGGTGGGGTAGTCTGGCATTGGGGTGAGGCAGTCTGACATTGGGGTGAAGCAGTCTGGCATTGGGACTGAGGCAGTCTGGCATTGGGGTGAGGCAGTCTGGCATTGGGGTTGGGCAGTCTGGCATTGGGGTGAGGCAGTCTGACATTGGGGTGAGGCAGTCTGGCATTGGTTTGGGGCAGTCTGGCATTGGGGTGAGGCAGTCTGGCATTGGTGTGGGGTAGTCTGGCATTGGGGTGAGGCAGTCTGGCATTGGTGTGGGGCAGTCTGGCATTGGGGTGAGGCAGTCTGGCATTGGTGTGAGGCAGTCTGACATTGGGGTGAGGCAGTCTGGCATTGGGGTGGGGCAGTCTGACATTGGGACTGAGGCAGTCTGGCATCGGGGTGGGGCAGTCTGGCATTGGGGTTGGGCAGTCGGGGTGAGGCAGTCTGGCATTAGGACTGGGTTGGTCCATCATTTGGATGGTGCAGTCCACCAGAAGGAGAGGAGTACTCTGGTGCTTCTGGTGGAGTGGGCGTATTGTCGCATGTTTCTGGCATCGGGGTTGGCACAGTTCAGTCTTGCGTGTGTTGAAGAAACTCATTGCCATGCTGTAATGTTACGTGTTATAAATGCACACCATCTTTCAGGAAACCCTGGTTGATTTCCTGGAGCAGGCTGCCCAGTCTCTGGAGAAAGCAGAACGCTACGAGCTCCTGGGTGAGATCTACAAACTCATCATCCCCATCTACGAGAAGACCAGGAACTTCCAGGTGAGCTCCAGCTGTCGATTCATCACAAGCTTCATGCAGGGCCCTGGGGTCTAAGGTGCACTATACAGGTGTCTATTCACTGTGGCGAGTTGCCTCCCCTAGCAGTGCAAGGATCTGCTCATCATAGGTTCAAACTTCAGACCCTCCCTGAATATCCTCCTTCTGTCATCACCCATGTGCTTATGTCTGGTTATCTATGTTCCAGAAACTTCAAGCAAGTTACGATCGTCTGTCTGGTGCCTACCACAAGGTCATTGAGGTCATGTACTCCGGCAAGAGGCTGCTGGGAAAATACTACCGAGTTGCTTTCTTCGGCCAGGTAATCCCTTTGTCTGTCAGTCCACCATCTCTAAAACTGTTACTTGATCTGTCTGAATGTTCATGCCTTCTTATCTCCTGTGTCCGGATATCTCGAGTTACATCATGGTCCCACTAGGTTCAAGGGAATGGGGTTCGACTGTATTATGGTACTTTGTTAAGTTTGCTGTTTTAAAATAACCAGATGTTTCAAGTCAAATCTCGTAGCTCAAACAACACCATTTGAAATTTGAAAAGGTATTGGGTATTTGATTAGCCATAGAGGTACTGATATGGAGAATATAACCCAGGTTTTGAATGTGTCATGAGTGAATGCTTTACCCACTAGCCCATCCAGAAGCACCATAGCCCAGTGGTTAAAGAGTTTGCTCGTCACACTGCAACCCAAGGTTTGATTCCTCACATTGGTACAATATGTGAAAGATATTCTTGAGTTCCCGGCAGGAATAAAACTACAGTTCACTCACTCATTCATTAGAAGCATCATGGATGTCAGAAGTTTGATGTAGCCTCCCAACTTGCGTTTACCTTCAGACGTACTTCGAGGATGATGATGGCAAGGAGTACATCTACAAGGAGCCCAAGGTGACTTCGTTGACGGAGATCTGCGAACGGCTCAAGACGATGTATGCGGAGAAGTTCGGGAAGGACAACATCCGACTGATTCAGTCGGACAACAAGGTGAGGAGACATGGTGGACTAGGTTACAGGTGGACAACCATCAAATTGTTGCTAACCTCTCTTCAGAGTTGCCTCCCTTAGGTGTGCCAGGATACTGATTTGCCCAGAATTGATGCTTTTTTTGTCAGCACTATTTTTCAAACTGGAAAATGGCCTGCATCCAAGTCAAAATCATCATCTATATTTCACGTAATGATACACTACATGCATGTTCCTCCATCACCCGTCAATACATTTGTCCGATATGTGTTGTAGTGACACATGTCTATGTGTGGTCAAGTCAGTGTCATGTAGTCATTATAAGTAATGAAATCAGGTCGTGTATAACTCTTGGAAATCCAGTGAGCCATACTCTGCATGATTGTTGTGTGGACCCTTCTGTGCCTGCATGCAGAAGATGGCCGCAGTTATGTGGCACGTTATACGAGAAATATTGAAATAATGAATCTAGTCTGAGCAGTTGAAATCGTTCATCTGAGCAGTTGCAGATTTCCCTGTCAACGGAACCAGGTCGTGGGTTTTTGTTGTTGTTTAAACACAGATTGGGAACAAGTTATCCAACCTAGGACTCCCTCTTCGTGGGTTGTTCGTTGATTATGAATAGCAACTGTACTGCCAATCAGCTGTATGTCCCTCATTTTCTCTCCAAACAGTACAGGTGTGTAGAGGGGGGTGCACATAATACACGCTTACAATGAGTTTTGGTGCTTTTTCCCCACACAAATGACTTTACCATGAGCACATAACACTGGAAATACTATGTCATCAAATCTGTACTCAAGTTTGCAATTTAATCCGACCAATACACTATGTGGTTATAAAAAATGTTCTGTATCCGGATTTAGGTTTGTAAATTTGTGGTGAATGAACATTGTGTATTCAATCCAGTGAAGTATTAACAATGAATGTAAGTAACATAAGATATATATAGTCCTTCAATTAGGATGCTTCCGTCAAAAAGTTCTGCTTTAGTCACTTGTCTCCATCACAACTCAAATTTGGTACGTAGGCTTCTGATCTTAGTTGGATTAGAATGAGAAAGTGTTGAAAATGATCCTGATCTTCAAACTAAACCCTATAGCTATCTGCACTGTTTTCGTTTTGATGGTATTGTTTGTAACCATGAATATTTTCTACTTCACTAAATGGTCACCTTGATAGCTGCAAGATTGCTGCTGGACGTTTATCAATAATCACTCTCACTTCATTACGTGTTGGGATCCTGAATTCCTGTATTTGTTATTATTTTGATTTGTTGCATTTGTTAAAGGTGAATCCCGCTGAGCTGGACGCCCGATTTGCCCACATCCAGGTCACCTACGTCACACCGTACTTTGACGAGAAGGAGCTGGCAGAAAGACTTACCGACTACGAACGCAATAACAACATCCGTCGCTTCATGTTCGAGACGCCATTCACAAAGGATGGCAAATCCCACGGAAACATTGATGAACAGTGCAAGAGGAGAACCATCTTGCTAAGTAGGACTTTTATTGTCATATATTGCTCTTATCCCCCTCAAAACACACCGAAACACATTCACACACATGTCACTATAAGTGCATGAGGAACATTGATTGGCTACTGCCGCTTGACCCTTTCTGTACAGAATTGTGTCCCTTGAATGTCTGTGGTTTCACCTTCTATTTCAGCTATATGAAGATCCATTAAGTCACCTACCCGTGAAGATCCGGGTTTGAATGGGTCTTCACCAACCCATGCTTGCCGTAAGATGCGAATAAAGGGATCTGGTGATCGGGGAGTCATGCTCGCTGACTTGGTTGATATATGTCATCGTATCCCCACTGGGTACATCGATGCTCAGGATGTCAGTCACTGAATTGTCTGGTCCAGACTCAGTCATTTACAGACCGCCGTCATATAGCTGGAATATTGCTAAGTGTGGAGTTTAACAACAAACAAACTAACAAACAACAGCCTTGATAATGAGCCCTGGTTGGAGGGTTTCATCAACATGGTAGACGTCCCCATCTGTCTACATCTGGGCTTTGTTGGTGTGCCAGTCAGTAAGGAGTAGGATGAATGCTGGTTCAAGCAGTGATACCCTGTACTTGTTATTGAACCGCCTCCGTGGTCTAGTGGTAGAGCGTCCGCCCGGAGAGTGGAAGGTCCGGGGTTCGATCCCCAGCCGCATCATACCAAAAGACGTTAAAAGATGGTACCTGTTGTTACACTGTCTGGCGCACAGCATTAAGGGGCTAAAACAAGGACTGGTCGGCTCGGAGTCAGTAAACTGTGTCTGAGTGGGGTATTCATGTTAAACTGCGGCATGGTATCTCAGTGAGCTAGCACTATAAATCGGCATTAGCCCGGACTAGTACAAGCAGCCACACACACACACACATACACATGCATGCACGTCGCTATATAAGTGCAATAATCTTGGACGCGACGTTAAGCCCCATTTCACCTCACGTGTACTTGTTATTGAAAACTTTCGTTCCAGCTTCCCACACGTTCCCGTATGTCAAGAAGCGTATCGACGTCAAGGACCGCAAGGAGTACATACTCAAACCTATTGAGGTCGCGATCGATCAGATGCAGTGCAAGGTAGCGGAGATGAAAGAGGTCCTCAACTCTCCGGCCCCCGACCTCGTCAAGCTGCAACTTAAGCTGCAGGGGAGTGTTAATGCACAGGTGAGAAAGGAAAGCAGGTGTTCAACATGTGCGTAGAGGAACAAGATAATCCAGGACTGGTCCACCTGGCCACGTTCCCTGACTCTGACTTGGCTAATTGCATGTCATCATTTCTTCAATGGCATGAATCAAAGCTCATACTTTCAGTCACTAGTTTGACCGCCTCTGTCTAGTGGTAGAGCATCCACTTGGAGAGTGTAAGGTACAGAGTTCAATCCCCGGCCTCATCACACTAAAGTGCCGCCTCCGTGGTCTTGTGGTAGAGCGTCCGCCCGGAGAGCGGAAGGTCCGGGGTTTGATCCCCGGCCGCGTCATACCAAAAGACGTTAAAAGATGGTACTTGTTGTTACCCTGTCTGGCGCTCGGCATTAAGGGGCTAAAACAAGGACTGGTCGGCTCGGAGTCAGTATACTGTGTGAGTGGGGTATTCATGTTAAACTGCGGCATGGTATCTCAGTGAGCTAGCACTATAAATCGGCATCAGTCCGGACTAGTACAAGCAGCTACACACACACATACACTTGCATGCACGTCGCTATATAAGTGCAATAATCTTGGACGCGACGTTAAATCCAATTTCACCTCACCTTACCCTGCCTGGGGCTCGGCATTAAGGGGCTGAAACAAGGACTGGTCGGCTCAGAGTCAGTATAGTGTGTCAAAGTGGGATATTCATGTTAAATTTTGGCATGGTATCTTAGTGGGCTAGCACTATAAAATCGACATCAGTACAGACAGACACACACACACAGACACACACACACACAGACACACACACACACAGAGACACACACACACACACACACACACACACACACACACACACACACACACACACACACACACACACACACACACACACACACAGTGAGTGTAGTAAACACCATTTCACCTTTTCACCTCACCCTGTAACTGGTTTGCCTTGTCCAGACTTGATTATTTACAGGCCATTGTAATGGAGCTGGAATATTTCTACTGTCTGCGGCATGAAACAGCATTCATTCATTCAATGTGACCTGGCAAACTAATTTGACAGTAACAGCAGACAGCTGTTCACATGAAGCACTAACGGAATACAACATACATAAAAACAAGTAGACTTTGACATAACAAGACATTGATAACAAGATCCTAATGACTTGACTTCCTTGTAACTGTCATCTGTACAAGTGTTATATGTGTGTACTTCCTGTCCAGGTGAATGCTGGGCCGCTAGCTTATGCTGAGGTGTTCCTTGATCCCAAGAAAGTTGGCAACTGTAAACCAGAGAAGGTGGAAGCATTGAAAGATGTGTTTAGGTGGGTAGAACTTGGTTTATTCAACAGATGACCCGTGAAGATCCGGGGAGGAATTGGTCTTCAGCATCCATTGCTTGTCGGCCAAGGCGACTAACGGGATCGGGTGGTCAGGCTCGCTGACTTGGTGGATGCATGTCATTGTATCTCAATTGCGTGGATCGATGCTCATGATATCAATCACTGGATTGTCTGGTCCGGACTCAATTATTTACAGACCGCTGCCATATAGCTGGAATATTGCTGAGTGCGGTGTTAAAGAACAAACAAACAAACGATGTTCAACAGATAGTGTAAGTGTTGCAGCCAAGGCCGTAGTTAACTTTTTTTGACAAGGAGGGCAAATGTTTGTACAAGTATCACTTGTCCCCAACTTGATTCAAATAAAACTGTTTTCTATAAAAAAATCCAGGGGGGGTAACTGCCCCCCCTGCCCCCCGGCTGGCTACGGCACTGGTTGCAGCATACAAATCAGGTTCACACTGCACACTCCAGTTTTTAATTAATTTTGAATGGAATTTTGACTTGAAAGTTCCTTATAAAAAAATAATAATGACATTCCTCATCAGCATTCCATACATAGACAGGTATAGACGAGTAGGTATCAAATTGAATTTTGCATCGCTTGGTAAATATTACTTTTAAAAACCAGTACAGAATTGAGGCATGAATCCCTGACCGACAAACAAAATGACAGATTACCACAGTACTGATACATATTGCTGCCATTTTGCTCGTACAGTAATACTGCCACACAGTTGGTTGGTTTGTTGTTTCACGCCGCACTCAGCAATATTCAAGATATATGACGGCGGTCTGTAAATAATCTAGTCTGGACCAGACAAACCATTGATTAATATCATGAGCATCGATCCACGCAATTGGGATCGATGACATGCATCAACCAAGTCAGTGAGTCTGACCACCCGATCCTGTTAGTCGCCTCTTACGACAAGCAGAGTCGCCTTTTACGGCAAGCACGGGTTGCTGAAGACCTATTCCTCCCAGGATCTTCACGGGTATACAGACTGGTGAGACTACACAGAGTCAAGTCACACTGCAAATCATGACAACAGTAAACACTTACTTAGGAGGGGGTTGTCTGAAAATGGCACTGTATCTCATTAACTGTGATTAGCATTCAGTCGTTTGAGTTAAAAGAGAAATGAAGTTTGCACTCTAATGTATAAAATTACCTGGGTGAGTTGATTGAAAACTTTAAACTACTACAACAATATTTGTATTAGCTTTAGGAATAATCACAGCACAAAGTTGACAGGCTATAGCTATAGCCTAGCAGCAACCACATTTTGTAGCCATTCTCTGGACTGTTGATATATGTGTGATCCACTCATATTTTGAAACAGAAAAGTAGGCTTGAAATGGCAATGGTGAAAACAAGGCTTTGATATAGGCTAGTGGACACGCCCACCTCGGGGAGAGGTACTGGGTGGGTGTTTTGTGTTTCATATCATTGGCGGGTGGCCCTGTCGCCTAAGGCGCCGTGATTTGATGTGCAGAGTTGCGTCCCTTGAACACGCCAGAAACCTATGATTGTGGGTTCGAATCCCGGTTCGCCCCGATTATGTTTCTAGGTTTGTCAGCACCGTACCCGTGCTCGTGGGTTTCACCGAAGTGGTAAATGTCTGAGACCTGCATCACTTCGGGCTTCGGCGTTAAGCCCAACTCACTCACTCACTCATATCATTTGGTGTAAATCGGAGATGTTTCGTTACCTGTGTGAAGCGTGACAGCCCTAACTTTGTTTACTTCTGTTTCGTCCTCAGGGAATTTGTGAATACATGTCGGGATGCCTTAGAATTGAATGCTCAGCTGATAACCACCGACCAGAAGGAATACCATGAATCTCTGAAAACTGGCTTCAATGATATCGTTGACAAGCTGTCCGTCATGTTTGGAGAGAAGGTAAGATCATGTGATCACATCTAGCAATATGATTGGTGGTAGAGGAATGCTCTTTCAGTGTTTTCTATAGACAGACAAAATTTTCGACTAGTTGAGGCTTCAGATTGGCATGAAGAATGTCATTCTGATGTTTGAAATCTAAAACCAAGACCGAAAATAATGCTGTTGATTTGACCTTGACCTTGTTCCACAAATCAGGCTTGGGGATGACCTCTCAGTGTCAATAAGTATTGAACTATACTGGTCAGTGAATTTAAAGTTGGATAAAATATTACAATCAGGAATAGTTGCATGGCCCAAGTAAAAGGATAGGAGTTTAAAAGGGCATTCTAGATCATGATCTTGTCCAAGAAGATAGTCTAGGCTTGTAACAATGATGACCGATTTTTAAAAAATAAAATCTCAATTCCCATCTTCTCAGTATCATCTAGGTAAAAACATTACATTGATGACAATATAACGTCATTGTATCTAAACCTGTATTGAAGATTGACAACATCAACAAATAATCGTTATAGTTGTTTGCTGGTTACATTTGTTGTGGATTATTGACAATGTACAGATACTGGTATAGCAGCTGTGTCGTAATGTTTATTCATACCGGGGTTGCCCATATTTAGGTAGGCCCATGCGAAATTCAGACCATGGGCGTAAAAATAGAAAATAATTCCATATTTAGGCCTGTGGGATTAGATTCAGATTACTTTGTACAAATAATATTCCACAACATGAAGAAGTTTGTAATATGATTTATCTTATTCAAAACAAGAAATATTACAGTATGATGTCCTATAATGCATTATATAAAAAAATAAAGATTAAAACGTGTATGAAGTTACTATTTCGCTGTGATTTCAGCTTTCTGGCTTCGTTCCTTGTTAGTCTAATGTTGGTGTTCTTGAGTCTAACTTAATCCTTTTCCAGTTTAAGCCCTGGGCTTAATTTCGGATAAAACATTATCTGCCTGAAGGGGTATTTTCTGTATTAGAGCCCGGGGCTTAAAAACGGGAAATACCAGGACATGGCGTTCATTGTCTTTGCTTTGTGGAACCAGGCTGTTTGCTGATGCATCAATCTGTTAATTTGAAATATCTATAGAAGACACTGTCGTTGTTTGATTTCTTGATTGACTTGGATTGACTTTATTATTCTTAGTAATGGTGGTAGGTGTTTCTTCATATTCACAAATAACATCTCATTGTCACTCTCTGTCACTGACGGTGTCTCATCCCTACAAGTAACACCCGGTAGTTAACTGATTCCTCCTCCTGGTGAACGGCACCTGATTAACGGGGAGGTGGACTCTCAACTTAGGGTTGTCCTTGGTTGGCAAGTTCAGCATTTATTAACCTTAGCAGTAAAATAGCACAATATAAGTGATACATCTCAATGACAGCCACACAGTCTTACTGGACATCTAATTTCTCGCAAAACCTTTCTGCTTTTTTCAACACAAGTGAACATTTAATATTTGGACAATTTTAACAATTAACAGCCCAACAAATCTTTATAATCTGATCACAGCACTGGATCTGTTCACTTGGATTATGAACCACTAACATTAATCGAGGGCTCTATTCTCTAAAACCATGATAGTTGTATAAAGATATTCAACTGAAGTTTTTAGTTTGCTGAGAGACCAAGGACTAAGCATCAAGACAATTGCAGACATGAGATGAGATTTCCCAAGGTCCTGATTGAGTTACTTCCCTTTGTATCATGAATAACTAGATGATTATCTCCCTTTGTACATTATCAGATGCAGAGATAAGATGATCTCACACAGAGATAAACTTGTGCCTGAGAAACACAAAAAAAACATTTTCAGTCAAATAACAAAATTTTTAGTTACCGTATTCGACGTAATAAGCGCCCACGGCGATATTTGCTAATATACTGGCAAGTGAAAAATCTCAATTAGCACCCCTTCCAATTGATCAATGTACACAATATTCGTGTATAATACTTGTGTGTTATATGCACCTTAATTATGGGCAATTAAATTCTGGAAAAATATATTTGTCGTACATAATCATTTCAGGCTGTCAGCATAAATCACAAAATTTATCTTTCAATTTATCTTTTTTTCTCGCCAAAATAACATTCTAAATAGAGCCCCCTATATTTAATTTTGAGAGCGTCCTGGGCGCGTATCTCGTCGAATACGGTAACCTTTGATAACAATATATTTTGAATGTCCATTTGCAATGGGATATTGTAATGCAAACAGTGTTGCAATGAAAGTAGCATATTTTCAGTTTGACTTAAATTAGATGTAATTACACATTGCTGTAAGTAGTTGTCCTTTTAGTGTGAGTAGTATATGTGGATCACTTTGGTTTATTGACAGCCACTTTGCCGTGTTGATTCTTACACCTCTATGAAGAGCTTGATATGGAGGGAGCACTGGGGATACATACACGTATGCAGTGGTAACAATAAGTCTGTAACAAAACAGGAGGCTGTAACAAGCTAGATTAAGGAGGAAGAGCAGGATTACTGTGCTAGGACAATAGGGATTACAATAATACATTTGTGGGAAGAGTAAAGACTTTCTTGGCCTCAATTCTGTGGCTGACCTTACTGCCTCAAACACATGTGTACTGCGGCCATCATGCATCGTGGATTCAGGATTTCGGCTGTAGAGGAACATTCTTGAAGACATCACTCTTTCTCATCCAAATTCATCATTTCCTTCTGTACAGTTTCCAACTTTATGATTAGTCTTCCTCAACAAGCTCTCTTCATCAGCTGTCCGAGACAAGCCTTCATCATCAGACCTTGTAGCAAATTCATCATTATAAACCTTCCTCAACAAGCCTTCATCATCAGCTGTCCGAGACAAGCCTTCATCGTCAGACCTTGTAGCACATTCATCATTATAAACCTTCCTCAACAAGCTTTCATCATCAGCTGTGCGAGACAAGCTTTAATCGTCAGACCTTGTAGCACATTCATCATTATAAACCTTCCTCAACAAGCCTTCATCATCAGTCCTTTTATCATGAAACTATTGGATCGAATGTATCTTCATCATCAATGCTTCTAACCAGCTTCTGTCGTCAACCTTTATCATCAATCTTCATCAGCCTTCGTCAACTTTCATCATGAATTTCCTCATCCAGAGTTTATCGTCAAATTATAGGATCAAATCGATCTTCATCATCAATGCTTCTAACCATCTTCATCGTCAGCCTTCACCATCAGGCTTCATCACCCTACGAGACAGACCACCAAAGTGTCTTGTAGCAGCAACAAACATTTTTCATTCTCTATACGACCGTCAGCATCACTGCAGAACACAACACAAACCTCGACTTATCATCACCAAATACAAACACTTCAGGTGATAAAGGAGAAGAATGACCACTCCAGGAAGATGCTGAAGAAGTACAAGAGACCTTCCCTCCCACACACTCCAGGGTTTCCCTCCCTGATGGCCATCTGTTGCTGCCCCGTATGTCTCTACCCTGGGCTTTCAGAGTAACCAACCTACTGGTGAACACAGATGTGTTAAACATGTGCAAAGACACGTTTGTGAAAAGTGGGTGCCATGTTTGCTAGGGACGATCCCAATATTCCCTGACAGGTATTTTGCCTTAGACAGGCCGAGCATAGCTCAGTATGCACAGCTGACAACCATCATATTGCTGCAGGTGACAGCACCACTTTCACCCCTGCAAACATTTGAACCATGCCCAAACCTTGAGTCACTCATTCCTACTGACTGAGGTCGGCACACATGACTCTTAATCTGTGTTTACCAGTAGTGTTGTAACTTAACTGTTGTGACAGCACTATACTTTCTTTTACCAAGCTTATTGTGGGCTGCATTGTTGTAGTTCATAGCTGTCCTGAATATCATTTGCTTATTAGGGTATCTCCAATGTGACTCCCAACGATTCCAACCAAAAGCTTGCCTGGGTGTGCAGGGATGGGCTTGATTGAGCAGGGCTGGTCTTGGTTGAGCAGGGGTGGACTTGGTTGAGCAGGGGTAGTCTTGGTTGAGCAGGGGTGGGCTTGGTTGAGAAGAGATGGGCTTGGTTGAAAAGGGGTGGACTTGGTTGAGCAGGCGTAGTCTTGGTTGAGCAGGGGTGGGCTTGGTTGAGCAGGTGGTTTGTGTGGGCAGGGTTGGACTTGGTTGAGCAGGTATGGGCTTGGTTGAGCAGGGATTGGCTTGGTTGAGCAGGGGTGGTCTTGGTTGAGCATTAATGGGCTTATTTGAGCAGGGATGGGCTCGGTTGAGCAAGGGTGCTCTTGGTTGAGCAGGGATGGGCTCGGTTGAGCAAGGGTGCTCTTGGTTGAGCAGGGATGGGTTTGGTTGAGCAGGGTTGGGCTTGGTTGAGCACAGGCATGTTTAGTTGAGCGGGACTGAACCTGGTTGAGCAGAGCTGTCTCTGTTGGGCAGTTAATTGTTTAAAATATGACCTAGCTCAGTGTTTAATATAATTATAGAGGTGTAAGAAACAAACCATTGCCATCAATAAACCAAAAATGTCTCCATGAACTTTATTCATTATTTGGATGTGTAATTTGACAAAATAAACTACAATTGTTGCCGTTCACTTTCTTTAAGGCGTGTACTTGATGTGTAATAAATGTAACCCCAACCAGACACCTGAAGTGATGATTCAGCACATTATTGCATGCATCATTTTGTCTCACTGTGTGTTTCTGTCTCCCTTATTTTCTTGTGTTTTTGTGAAATAATTTCTTTTACATCCTATAATTCCCCTTGTCTAGGAAGCAACAGTACAAATAGTTTATCCCAAGGCCAGTGGTAAGTAATGGCATCCCGGTATAGATCGACCTAGCATTGCCCCTGGGGACCCCAGTGCCTGCATGGGGCACGTGTAGACTAGCGACGCCCAGGGGACTTGAGTATAGCCGGGGCCTGATGGTGTATTTGTGGATTATTGTGGACTTGTAGATCATTTTCGATCTATACACGAAAAATGGTTGCTAGGTGTGTCATGTTGCTGCGTCCTCCAGGTGTAGATCGGGCGCACCCAGGGGGCGTCAGTGTCGCATGGAGCGTAAGCGTTGTGGTGCTGCCTGCATTGTATGGACACGTTGCTATCTGCCTGCATCTGTATGTGGTGGACTCATGAATGTGACTCCACTGTTTTGATTAAGGATTCTGCTGATTTCTTTAAATCTGTAAACGCAAACTGGTGATAGTGTGCAAAGTCAATGAAATTATTCCAGATGCAAAGGACATATTTATTTAATTTTCAAAAAATCAAACGAAGAATTAGATACCTGGCAGAGTTGCTTCCCTTAGTTGTGCCACAAACCTATGATCAGGGGTTTGAATCCTGGTTTGCCCAAATTATGTTTCAAGGTTTGGCAGCCCCAAACCTGTGCTTGTGGGTTTCACCAAAGTGGTAAGGGTCTAAGACCTGCATCACTTCAGGCTTTCCTCCAATATTACGCTAACAGGCATGAGCTAACTGAAATACCGTTCAAAATTAAAGCCAGTTCACTTCATCTACTTTGCCAAGATGGAAGCCAGTTTGCATTTACAAGTTTGTCCATGTAAAAAATCAGGTGGCTGACTGTTTATTTCTTTTCCTAAACTTGACGTTCCAGATAGTATTTGACTTTGAGGGATTGAAACGAGATTCTAGAGTCTAGGTGAGATGGACCGACTTGTTCACACTGCTGAACTCATCACCTCAATCACATCGCTTCACAAAAATAATTTTCTTCTTCATTTGAATCTGTTCCTCTTTTCACACAAAAACCTCTTGTTCCACATGTGTTCCTGGAATTATTGTTTCATTGTCTGAGAAAATAGTCACTCTTTCTATCAACACTTTAATGAAATAATACTGTCATATGTTGAAAATTTGATATGATCATTCAGACCGTTTGAAACCATTCAGGACAGGATTCAATTTTGATGAGATTATTGTGACATTTGCTTGAGAAGGATGCTAGCTTCTGTACCATGATGTCACATTGAAAGAACAGAGTTGCTGACATCCATAAATCAAGATCCGGGTAGGAATAGGTCTTCAACCACCCATGCTTGCCTTAAGAGGTGACTATGCTTGTTGTGAGAGGCCACTAACGGGACTGGGTGGTCAGACTCGGTGACTTGGTTGATGCATGTTATCGTATCCCAAGTTGCGTGGATCAGTGCTCATGATGTCAGTCACTAGGTTGTCTGGTCCAGACTTGATTATTTACAGACCGCCGTCATATAGCTGGAATATTGCTGAGTGCGGCATTAAACAATAAACAAACAAACAATCCAACAAACAGACTCGATTATTTACAGACCGCTGTCATATAGCTGGAATATTGCTGAGTGGGGCGTTAAGCAACAAACAAACAAACAAACAAACATCCGTAAATCAGATTTAGCAGGCGTGCATGTTGGGCTGCCTATGCTCGGTGTTGATCCAGGTTCACTGCTTGGGTTGCTGTATATAGTGTTAGTTATCAACGGGAAATCATGTTACTGCAGACATTTGTAGGCTAGATGAACACTCAACAGCTGAATTTAGAAACATGTTTCAAAACATCTTGGCTTTTTCTTTTGAACTTACTTTTCATTATCTTCACATTTGATCATTTTGTTTTTGTATCATTAGAGTGTGATTAATTGCCTTAATAATTGCCCATAAACAAATTAGTTTCGGTTGACCCAGTCAACCATGGTGCCACCACATTTCACTGTGTTGAGTTTCCTCCCTTAGTTGTGCCAGGATCTCCTGGTCATGGTTGAAATGCCAGCCTCATCCTTATTATGAGTCATGGTCTGCCAGTGCCATTCGGTTTCACCAGTGTGGTGGTCACCCTAGAGCCCTCCAGACCCACACGAACTGGTCATTTATTGTAGGGGAGGAGGGTCAAGAAAGAATGACAGGAAAAGAGTACTGGGGTGTGGGGCAGGTGGCGGGGGCGGTGGGCAGTGGGCAGTGGGCAGTGTGTATTAAAAGATGAAGCTTTTTTTTTTTCAATAAAGAAATTATAATATTTGAATATTCTTAAGGGACTGGCCATTATAGGGAAGGGGAGTCATGAAAAAATGTTACATGTAATTCGTTTTTTGGTTTTGGTTTTGTTTTGGGGGATAGGGATGGTAAAAATGTTACATAAACTGGGAGGTCAACAAAATATGATACAGTTCTTGGACTAATCCAAACCCATCCCCAACAACCCCCTATGATAAATGACCAGTCCCTTAATAAAATAGCAGCATTTGTCCCAACTCACTCACTCACTCACTCAGAAGTAAACTAGTTTCATCAACTGTTGTTCAGCAGTAGCCATCATCATCCTTCCATTCTGACCTTTACTCTGAACTGTTCATTAGTTCCTCCCTGCACCATTGTCGTCATTGTAGCTGTAGTACTGTAGGCACTGGACATCCTCTCCATTACTGGTAGTCTGGAGTATTAATAATATGTAAATATCTTGTACATGTATTACGATGAATATCAGTCATGGCTGCTTAAAAATTGATAACTTCATATGATGATGTTCTAAATGTGATGACTCCAATTCATGTACAAGATGTTTTGATAGAGTGTGAATCTACTACTGACCTCTTTGTGAAGGCTGTTCATTGATCCTTATATCATGGGACCTATTCCACAAAGTGATTGTAGCACTAAGGTGATCGTAACTCCCATACTTTAACATAGACTTACGACTACGATCACTTTCTGGAACCAGGTCCACAACCTCATTATTCTGAGTGATTAAAACTCCTATACTTTAGCACTGTCTTATGACAGTCATAGGCCTAAGATTGTTTAGTGGATAAGGGCCCAGGGCCTCAAATGATCTTAACGCTGCAACAGTCGTAAGTGTATGTTAAAGTTATGATTGTCTTAGCGCTGACATTGTTTTGTGGATAAGCGCCCTGGTGCCTCAATAACTCCCATACTTTAACAGTGTTCCATAACACTCAGATCCAAGTCGTCCATTCCACAGAGCGATCATCATGTTTAGATGGTCATAACTCCCATACTTTAACACTGTCCTACAGCTGTCAGGGACAAGTGGTCCATTCTACGTACAGAGTGATCTTAGTGCTAAGATGGTCGAAACTCAAATACTTTAACACCGTCCTACGGCAGTTGGATTAGGTTGTCCATTCCACAGAGCAAACTTAGTGCTAAGATGGTCGTAACTTCCATACCTTAACACTGTCCTACGGCAGTTAGATTAGGTTGACCATTCCACAGAGCAATCTTAGTGCTAAGATGGTCGTAACTTCCATACCTTAACATTGTCCTACGGCAGTTGGATTAGGTTGACCATTCTACAGAGTGATCATAGTGCTAAGATGGTCGTAACTACTATACTAGAACACTTAACAACAGTCGTAGAGCTAAGATATATGTTCAACGGATGCAAGGCCCATTCCACAAAGTGATCTTAGAGCTACAACTGATGTAAGTCTGTTAAAGTGTATGTGAGTTGCAATCATCATACCGCTAAGATCACCTTGCGGACAGACCCTTAATCATAAGGTATCATCATCTTAACAACATATTGATTTGGAGTTGTAGTGAACAAGGTTCCAGAGTTTGTCTTTTGCATGATCTGTTTGTGGGTTTGACGGATAGCTTAGCGAGCAGCTGTAGATGACAAGGTGCATGTTGTGGTGATTGTTGTCCTGATAGAGCTATCTGTTGTCGCAGATAGCTGATATTTCCGTCACTTCCCAAATACGGGGGCACAGGTGGCCCAGTCGTCTAAGGCGCCACGATTAGCTGTGCAGAGTTGCGTCCCTTGGGCACGCCAGAAACCTATGATTGTGGGTTCAAATCCCGGTTCACCCCAATTATGTTTGTAGGTTTGTCAGCACCATACCCGTGCTCATGGGTTTCACCGAAGTGGTAAACATCTGAGACTTGCATCACTCCGGGCTTTCCTCCCACATTAGGCTGACACGCCGTGATATAACTGGAATACTGTTAAAAGCGGCGTTAAACCCAACTCACTCACTCACTCACTCACTCACACCCAAATACAATCTTCTTCGTCTCCAGTGACACTACTTGTCTTATTATCTGTTGCTGTTTAGCTGTGAGATGCCTCTTACTTCAGTGTGAGACTAGTGGACACATATACTGTGCTGAGCTTGACTGCATGATTGTCATATTTCATCATATGTTGTGCTATAAAATGACTATGATTTTCAGCTTTAGTTTGTAGTTGCAATGTGTTTTTATTCTTGTTTGAGAGAAGTTCACACATCCTTCTAAACAAATGTTTATATCTTTTCAAGAGTAATAGTTCTAACATTTGAAATGTACAGTTGTACACTTTGAAGTTATTGATTTTCATTTTAAATGTAATTGTTCTCCATGTGTACATTTTCAGGAAATTTTAGAGTGCAATTCAGGCAGTTTGTACAATTATGACATCAAAAATAAGATGTGGGCTCTTGTTCATATGTTTTTCAGTTCATGTAAATAAATATATGGAATTATTTGAAAATAACCTAAATATTCTTCTTTTCTTTTGAAAATAGACTGAGTATTTTGTTTAAGCAAACAGCAAGTGTGCAAAATCTTTTTTGTTGCTTTGTTAAATGTATTTTCATATATTCTTTTGTTTGGGGTTTTAAGTTACACAAACACCTTCCCTGTCTTCCGATATTTTCTGTATGACAAAATACAATATGACACAGTGTACTGAAGCTCAACTCTGTCTCTGTGTGTTTCAGATGGCAATGGCAGACACCCGTAACTCCAACGCCCGGCTCTCAATGACGTTCTTCCCCAACTCTGGGTCAAGTAATGCCTGATTATCACACCTCACACAGGAACTACAACCACTGCCTTGCTGCTGGCCAGCAAGGGAGTTAACTCTCCAGTAAGGGAGGTAACTCTACATCAAGAGAATTTACTCTCGATCAAGGGAGATAACTCTAAGTTAACATTAGAACCTTCACTGTTTCTCCATGGAACTAAGGAAGTAGCAAGGAAGTGTTCTTCTTGCTGACCTTTGCTAACGATGAAGTACAACAGTTTGCTTGGATAGAAAGTCGTTTTGTTCAAAGGCGGAAGTATCTAAGTCAGATCAGTTTCAGTGAAGAAGTTGGTGATATCAATGTAGCCATTGGTGAGGCCATACCTGGTCAAGATGGGGAAGAGATGCTATGATGGGAGTGAACGAGATTCAGTAAAACTAGGGTGCCTTCAGGTAAACCAAAAACATACAAGGCCATCAACTCACAGTCCAGGGGAGACAACTCTTGTCACTTATTCTCCAGTCCACCAGCAATGAAGATGAAAGATCTCCCACAACATTATTAAGGACAGGTGTGAATGTAAGCCTGAGCTGATCGCATTTTATGATATGTAGAGTTAAAATATGAAGCTATTTCATGTATCTGTAAATTTCCTGGAATGTTTTAGCAAGAATAATAACAATATTCCAGCAGCTAACATGTTTCTGAGATCTTGTTACACCTAATTCAGCTGTATGTAGTCCAATGTTTACCCTAAATGGCAGACAGTCAGAAACTTGTCATGTACAGTTTTAACTATCTGTTAATTCATTGCATATAAAAGTTGTACCCGGTAACCATTAGCTATTTGCCTATTGGACACAGATAATCATTGCACAGATAAGTTAATATTCAATATACCCCAAAAATTCTCCCAGGGACCTTTCAAGTTGTTGTATCTATGATAGCATATATGAAAAAAATGTGAATTAAATACAACTACTGAGCGATCAGAATGGAGTTCATTCGGCCACACACAAAATAATTATTAGAATTGATCTAATATATGTTTTAGAATATGAGGCGAAGAGCAGTTTCTTTAATTTCTTTTTAGACAAACTGTTCGAGGCATCTGAGAACATTAACTGTCAGGTGATGTCATGTGTGTTAGAACTGTGAAAGGTGAACTTCACCAAGCAAAGACAGACGGGAACGCACATATCACTTTTGTCTGTGGGTACCTGGGAGGGACGAAGATCATCTCAATCCTACTTAATATTACACATGTTGACAATGACTCAATGAAAATGTTTTTAGGAATTCATGAACCACTCACCTAAATATGTAAACTAATGTCATACTGCGGATTTATCAATATCTATTTTACACTTGCTTATTGAATATTTTTAAACAGATAACATGACAATTCTGTTTACCTGGCCTGCTGCTGTTGTCGCCATGGCAACAGAGATATAGCATGTTTAATATAGTCATCCTTAAGCAATATACTGTTTGGGGGGAAAAATGTGCACTTGACTAACTGTATGCAAAGAAATGGACCTTATTTGTGGGATAAGTCTTATTGGTTTATGATTGTAGGTATTCATGTATCTGAATGACTTTGTTTCAATCCGTTTGTTTAGGAGGCTCAGTGTTTTAAGTAGACTCAAGGATCTTTTACTGTATCAGCTTGTTTTTACTGTGAGTGTGATGCTCGAGCTCAAATATGTTTAAGTCAATTGTATTCCTCATAATCAGTTTGGATTGGGAATTTTGATTCGCAATTCTGTTAATTTGTTATTCATTTTACGGTCTAGACATAAAGTTTTTAAAAATTTATTTGATTCTACAGTTATGCTAAAAATCTCCCACACTTGACTGATTCAAGTAAAAACAAAGTGTTCCTTGAATAATAAATCACAGCTAACTGTATCTTAACCTGATGACTGTACTTAAAGGGACCCGAATGAAGATCTGGGTTAGAATTGGTCTTCAGCAACCCAAGCTTGTCATAAGAGGCGACTAATGGGGTCGGGTGGTCAGGCTCGCTGACTTTGTTGATGCAAGTCATCGTATCCCAATTGCGTGGGTCGATGCTCATGATGTCAATCACTGGATTGTCTGTTCCAGACTTGATAATTTACAGACCGCTGTCATATAGCTGGAATATTGCTGAGTGTGGCGATAAAGAACAAACGAACAAGGCGGCCCAGATTATCAACCAACAAGGGGTCGAGTCATGGTTCATTAACTAATATGAATCAACTTATAATGGTGTAAATAACCTCCCAACACAGCTCATCCTCAAGACTCGCCTCCATCCCTGTAGAGGTAGCTCATTCATACATGTGTTTATTGTGTTTGTCTGTTTACCATGTTTTTGATACAATAAAGGTGCTAATCTACTTGTACACTAAGCTGGAAATGTCAACTAAATGTTTATTTATTACTGTTAGCCTGATGCAATGATCAGTTTCAGTGTAGATGGTTTCAATGAGTTTTTATATGTGTTTTATCTCATCTCGTGTTATCACATGCTTAGCTCAATTGGAAAACTTTCTGTTGTCAAATGGTCCTGTTGATAAAGGTGAAATAGTTACATAGTGCAGAGTTACATCCCTTAGCCATGCCAGGATCTGCTGTTCGTTGGAATTCCAGACGTCTCCTGATTATTATTTTTGATTTGTCAGAACAATACCAATCGTAAGACCTGCATCACTCCAGGCAGTCCCCACATTGAGTGGACGTAACATCATATAACTGAAATACTGTTTAAAGTGGTGTAAAACTCAACTCACTCACTTAAACACACACTGGGGAATATTATATTTGTTTTTACTTACGAAAAGTATCACATGTTTGTTCAATCTCATTAAAATCAAATCTTAATTCTGCTATCGCTAAACAAAGATCTGAGGACATCCCATTACAGGTCACGTCAAAACGTCCTTTCATCCAACCAATCAGAGCGTCGTTTACCAGATCATGGAAGTGACGGACGGAATGTGTTTTCTGATCATGCAACCTCGAAAAATTTAACAGAGGATATTCGGAACAACAGTTATGTTGTTTTTTCTATTATATCCATACAATCTAGGCCATCTATAAGCCATTCCAGAATGTTCTTTTTATCCGTTTTAATTTTTTTAATCGAGAATACGTCAAAATATGTTTCGAAGCGTAGCCGCCAGTTTGAAACTTGTGTCGTAAAGCTCGAGAAAGCTGCTTTCTGATTGGCTAATGTCGATTTCTTGTCAGTCATTTCATTTGTCGCTAAAGGTCATTCTGACGTGACCCGTTATAGGTTGTCCTCATATCATTGTTAAGCAGTAGCAAAAACTAAGATATGATTTTAATGAGATTGATGTTTGTTAAACAAGGCTTATCGAATGATTGAGTGTATATCCTATTTCATTGTCTTTTGATATTTGGCTTGTAAAGTAAGAGCATATTTTACGGCTTTTATCCTCAATACAGCTTGGACAGATCACCAGGGTTTGCTGCAATAGTTCTTGTCTAACAAAGTGTTGAGGCTTCTGATACTAGACAGTCGTCCTGTCTTTTTGTGCGGGCATGTGTTACCCAGTTGCCCAAGGCAAAGCAATTCGCTATGCAGAGTTACGTCCCTTTGGGACGCCAGGAATTTATTGTTGTGGGTTCGATTCCCGGTTTACTCCAATTATGTTTCTCGGTGTGTCAGCACCATACCCATGCTCATGGGTTTCACCATAGTGGTAAACATCTAAGACTTGCATCACTTCGGGCTTTCGTCCCACATGAAGCTGACACGCCGTGACATGACTGGAATACTGTTTAAAGCAGTGTTAAACCTCACCCACTCCTGTCGTTTTGAAGAAAGTGACATTATGAGATGTTCTAAAGAGTTGACGAGGATGAAACAGATGATAAAAACATTGACAGTCATATTCAGATTCATTGTTCGACAGCACAAAGTCAAAAATGGAACTGTTTATTTTATAACTGAGGTATATGATACGAAACTGAAGCTACATTTGACTAAGTTTAAAAAGACAAGCAATGATTTGTCAACTGAGTTAGTTCCCCTCACCAAGTGTTGTAATCGTATTGTCTCTAACACGCTGTCACATCCCATTCTCATACACATGTACAGAATGCTAGTTTCCATCTTCCCGAGGCAAGAGAGTTAACAGACTATAAAAGTCCAGTTTCCACCCTTGCCGAACTAGGCTGGTATTATGGAGTTACATTTTGGCTGGACTTACGAGTCTATGCACCGAAATCGAAATCAGGTTCGTAAACTGTCCTGCAGATTTCGATCGATTGCAAGATTTGCAAAGCATGTGCACCGCCAACTCGTTGTCAGCAGATATTTTCCAAATCTTTTCATGTTTTTAATCAAGGTGCTTACGTGATTTTATGCATTTCGCGATGTAAGACCCGTTTTATCACAATATAGATGTTGATTATCAATCAGATCGTCCTGACTGGGCGCCACCATTTTGTGTGAAGCAAACGCAAGTGATGGAATCTGATTGGTCCATAGGAGAGGTTTAAAAGGGATGTAGCTGGTAATAGCCACTGGTGGCGCTACGATCGAGCCTAGTAATTCCAGCCTAGTTCGGCAAGGGTGGAAACTGAACTTTTAAAGTCAGTTAACCCTCTTTCCTCAGGAAGATGGCTAGTTTCATGCTTTAGAACTTGTAACTAAAGTGTCCCTTTTACATGTACATTTAATTTTATGTGTAATTATTGTTAAATATTTTTGTAAAGTGTTCAGAGGTTTTGAAGTCAGTCTTAGTGTTACTAACAGTTTGCGTGTTATGTTTTTGTATACAGCTGATCTTTTTATCAGCTTACAGCTGTATCTTCAAATGATTGGATAAATGGTTGCCTGATTGATTGACATCATTTATTATGATATGATATGAGATTTACTGAATGATGACTTGTATTTATTTAGACATTTTATTGTTATAGTGTGTCATGTTGAAAGTGTTCAAAATATGTGGCATTTTTTCTAAAACTTTCACCAAACAAACGGAAAACATCTGATTTCTAACACAAATACATTTTAACAAAAGTAGTATCTAGTGCATTGTGGGATAGCTGTGACCCCACAAAGGTCATTTCCTGTTTTTTTTGTGAATTATCAATATTTTGTTAATATTTGTTACATTTTACATGAAAAAGCATTTGTTATTTTTACTTCTTTAACATATTACCATGACTTTATGAATAACATAGATCATAAAATGTGAAAAGAATCTGGAAGACTAATTGTTAATAATGTGAAATCTATAATTAATTGGACCTTTTTACTGTAGAAACATTCACAAAATATGGTAGCATTGCAAATAGGAAACTTGGGCAATTTGTATAAAGGGACATAACTCAGTATCCTTGATTCGATAATCCAGAAATTTCTTACCCAGGACAATTTCACTTAGAACAGTACAGTCTGATTAACAGTGATTCACTGTACAGTTTTTCAAAGTCAGTGGGGTTGAGTATATCTGGATCCTTATGAAAATGTGAATTTCAGACTGATTTGATTACTGACCCAACTTCTGCCCTGTGAACTAACCCAGCTGCGTGTATGTTCGCCCTTCCTGCTCTGTATGTACATTCTGTGTGTCGCCTTCGCTTGACCTCAACATCTCCAACTGTTTATATTTACAGTGTTTATATTTAGCGTTGCTTATGACAGATCTGCAAATAAACCAACAATATCTAATAACTGTTGTTATTTATAGCAAGTGAGTGATTATTGTTTTATGCCGCTTTTAGCAATATTAATGCAATATTACGGCGGGGGACACAAGAAATTGGCTTCACACATTGTACCCATGTCGGGAATCAAACCCGGGTCTTCAGCGTTACGAACGAACATTTTACCACTAGGCTACCCGACCGCCCCTGTTTATAGCATGTGAGTGAGTGAGTTGGGTTTAACGCCGCTTTTAACAGTATTACAGTTATATCGCGGCGTGTCAGCTTAATGTGGGAGGAAAGCCCGAAGTGATGCAGGTTTCAGACATTTACCACTTCGGTGAAACCCACGAGCACGGGTATGGTGCTGACAAACCTAGAAACATAATCGGGGCGAACCGGGATTCAAACCCACAATCATAGGTTTCTGGCGTGCCCAAGGGACGCGACTCTGCACAGCGAATCGCGGCGCCTTAGACGACTGGGCCACCCGTGCCCCGTTTATAGCAAGTAAATTACATTCCTTCAATTGTTTGATAGGCATTACTGAGAAGTTGATGGATGACAATGCAGACACATTTTAAGGATAACAACTTCTTTAGTTACTGTTAAAGTGATGTTTCGGTATAGATCTTTATACTGTTGTCATGCAAAACTGTCAAGCAAGTCTAGCTTGACAACTGTATTAGGATCTTTACCGAAATGTCGCCTTTACAGTAATTAAAGAAGTTGTTATCCATCAATTGTGTCTATGTTGTACATTGCTTCATATCCAGTTTTCGCCCGTCAGATCAGTGGTTGATAGCATGAATGCCTTAGTGGAGAGGTGTAAGAAGTTAGTCCATGGTTTGTGAATTTGGAACAATGTGTGGAATTCATGTTCCTTCAAATTCATGGGTGGAATCCATTGCCAGTGGAATCCTTTGTGGAATCCTGAGTGGATGGAATTTTTTAGGAATCCTGAGTGGATGGAATCCTTTTAGGAATCCTAAGTGGATGGAATTTTTCAGGAATCCAGAGTGGATGGAATTTGTTAGGAATCCTGAGTTGATGGAATCCTTTTAGGAATCCTGAGTGGATAGAATCCTTTTATGAATTCAGAGTGGATGGAATCCTTAGTGGAAT